AGTTTTTTCCTCTCCCTCGTCGGTCGACTATACTTAGACATCTTCTTTTACGTCACAAACTTATTCTACTTCACAGATCTGCTATGCTGCATGGCCGTTCCTTTTTGGATTAGAACGCAAGAACAAGCAGGGCGTGACTAATGGCGCCGCGCCTCGCTCTTCCATCCGTCGCCATTTCCGAGGCTTCGTTAGCTATAGTGGGAAATATTTGGTCAAACTGCAGGCAACGGAATACAATAGCGTATGGCTTCTAGCCTTGTTCTTTCTTCTTTTACTTAGATTTATCTTCTACTACAGACAGTAACTTTTTATGGCTTTTACAGGACTTGTTGAAGCTTTTCCGAAGCTAGGAAAATACCGAACAAGTTGCTCGGTATTTTACTAGCGTGAAGTTGAATCTATCTTCTCCTTTCCTCTTAAACAACTTCACACTCATCCGCAACTCTTCACAGCGTCAAAACTAGTAGTCGACGATCTCTCGACACTAGTACTCTGCTCCTTTACTTGAATCAATTTGGACTCATAACTAGATACGATCTAACATACTTATCGCTGATGCAACTATCTAAAATAGTTTATTAGACACCGTATCGTCTGCTCCGGCTTCTCGCTTGACGAGAGTCCTTATTTATTATACTAGAACAAATTTAACACAACCGGTTAGTTTTCACCGCAAAAAATCTAGGCTTATCCCGTACAGCAATTATACTAGAAATTTAGCACAGTACTAACTTCTGTTTATGTAGAATAGATAGACTACTAGACTCGAGTATCAGTTTCTCTAGATTAGTTCTAGTCTATTGGAGTCGAGACTCCAAAGGGCTTATTCCTTCCTCTAATAGTCGAGCACTACGAGAAACGGCAGGGACCGGCGAACCTTCCGGAAGTGATTACTCTCAAGTATGCAGCAGCATCGAAGCTTGAGTGCCGTACTAATTTTATCCCCTTTCTTCCTATTTATCATTTCCTTTTTTATATGATTTGGCTGAGATGATGGTAGCCAGACTTTCTACAATCCATATCAATCAAGACAGAGCGGTTACGATCTGACCCAAGTCAAAAAGGCCACTCAAGTCATCATATCTATCAAAGAAATCACAAAACAGCAAATCATAGCGCTATCAAAGAAATTGAATGTGAAATCACACAACAACTAAGAACAAAAACAATTCACAGGCGATAGGGTCTGCATGACGTTAGACGAGAACGATATCGTGGATCCGCTATTTCCGTACACCGCAGCGCTACAGCACGAGGCGCGCCGCTGTGGTTAAAGTAACAGGGGGCCTCGCATGCGATAAAGCTGCAACCAAGGAAGAAGATTTCTGTTTTGGTTTATGATTATGCTTGATGCTACTTACGTTTCTGCTCTTTTATTTAGTAGGGACCGACGAGGGGGGTTGGTCGTTATGCATTCTTGTTCTTGTTCATCCCTGAGTTTGCTCAGTGCTTTTTTCGAGTTTTTGCACCGATTAACGGTCTTCTTGAACAAGGAGCATCTTCAGGTCGTAGGTTTGAACAAGCAGTACCTAGCAGTAGATGTAGATGAGTTTACAAACGGTGTTATGGAATAACTACTCTTTCAGGAGTATGCTGTTAGCGAGGACAACTAATTTCTTTGAATGAACGAAACGAAAAAGTACGTCGCAGCGTCACGGCTGGCCTGCGTGCATGATCTTAGATGTCTTGCGCAGGTCTTCTTATCAAGATTGATCGACAAATACTTAAGTGGGTTGCGTAAAAATTGGAATTATAAACCCACACGGACAGACAACATAGCATGCGTTATGCTTCGAAAAGTGAAAATAAGCGAGCTAGTGACTGCAATGAGAGAATCTTGACAGCATTCCTCTTCTTTCAGTATCTTCTCCCGTTACTCGCTTATTTCAGTTTTTCGACTAGATAGCTCAGCTTGATAATTTCTTTTGCTCAACAAGCTCTTCTAGATCTACGCACTTAGCCCTTATCTGTCTCAGACTAGATTAGCAGGCCCTTTTCAGAATAATAAAGAGCACGAAGAATAAGAACAGTCAGAACATGAATAAGAATCATAAGAATGATAATATTAAAAAAACCAAAAAAATGAAAAAAAGGACTAGTTGATAATATGTAGTGTGATTATCATGGCATGAGCGTGTTCGGCTAGCGGAGAATAAGGAAATAGCTAGGTAATGTGTGCCTTTCCTTGCAGTATATACAAGAGTGAATATGTAGAGTCTGCGGAGTGCAAGCACAACTCGTAATACCGAAGACTTGAGGGCTCCCCCAACGAGAGCGACAGAAGAAGTAATTGTTGGTTGAATATGAACAGGATGAGGCTAAGAGCAAGTTAGGGTAGGGCGTTAAATAAATCTTACGCTGCGTGTCCGTCTTGTGTCCTTCCGCGGCGCACTTGTCGGTCCTGCAGCTATAGATATTTTAGGGGACGTGATTCATCAACCCTTGCTATGCGACGCAAGGTTTTGGTAGTCCCTCAGAGGCTGCGTTAATCCGCTTGAGAATGCAGCTAAACCCTGCGGATGGCGGATCACATCCTAATCCTAATCCTAAGCATCATAAGAATGATGATATGAGGACTAATTATGCAAATAATGACCGTTGAAAAGTGAACCGTTAGAAATGCGTCTGATGTTCCGGATCCCACCAACCTGATGCTTCGGGAATAGTAAAAGTAATAATAGGAATAATGTTAATGATAATAGCATTCTCCTTCCTGTCCAAAGGTGCGACTCCACTAGGGGGTGCGCTTGACTGGGGGAGCGGTGGTGAGAGGCCGGCTTTCCTCTTGTTCTTTCTCTTTTTCTTGATCGGTAATGGATTGTTCTTAGTTATATTTTTCTATCTAGGTCGTGGCGGCTTCTCCATGTGAAGGTAGTGGCCCCGAAATTATTGCTTTGAAGGTAAATCTAGAGTTGTCAAAAGCACTCAGTTCTTCGCCTCAAGGCCTATTGAATATGTTTTTCTTTGAAAGGTATAAGCGTATACGCGTTTGTCTTTCTGAGTGAAGACAAAAGAACCTACCTCCTTACTCCGAGCCCGACTGTCGAGCTCGATGTTCTTATTCTCGCACTTCTATGGTATGTAGCTGCTCAGTGAGTTCTTGTACAGCCAGAAGAAGAGCTACACAAGAACAGCTAACAAGCCACAAGTCGCCGGCCTTGTCGTTTGGATTTTGTAACAAGCAGCCCCGGGAAAAAACTGAAAGCGAGGAGGGGGGACAGAGGTAGCAAGTAGCCGGCTTGGCGGGGCTGTGGCAGAATTACCGCCCTGGCGGAGCTCTTTCAGAAGGGCGCTGCTGCCCGGGGTGTTTCAGAGTGGCTGCCTTGGGTGGGCTGTTTCAGATTGACTGCCCTGACGGGGCTGTTTTAGGTTTGGCGAGCTGGTCAGCTCTGGCGATGCTGTTGCAGCGGGCTGGCCTTGGCGGGGCTGTTTCAGGTGGGCTTCTCTAGCGAGGCTGTTCCAATTCGTTAGCTTTCCTGGCGGGGCTGAGCTCTTCCGGCCAGGCGGTTTCAGGTGGGCTGAAGTGGCGAGGCTGTTTCAAGTGATCTGCCCAGGCGGGCCTGTTTCAAAACTCTCGCCCTAGCGGGACTGTTTCAGATGAGCTGCGCTGGCGGGGCTGCTTCAGATGAGCTGCCCGCGCGGGGCTGTTGCAGATGAGCTGCTCTGGCGGGGCTGTTTCAGGTCGCCTGGCTTGGCGGGGCTGTTTCCGGTGGGCTGCTCTGGCGGGGCTGTCTCAGATGAGCTGCCCCTGCGGGGCTGTTTCGGAAGTCTTTCCTTGGCGGGGCTGTTTCAGAGGTCTTCCGCTGGTGGGCTTGTTTCAGAAGTCTTGTCTTGGCTGGCTTGTTTCAGAAGTCTTGCGCTGGCGGGCTTGTTTCAGAAGTCTCTCTCGGCTTGGCTGGCTTGTTTCCGAAGTCTTGCCCTGGCGGACTTGTTTCAGATTAGCTTTCTTGGGCAGGCTGTTTTTGAAAACTTGACCTGGCGGGGCTGTTTCAGATGAGCCGCTCTGGCGGGGCTGTTTCAAAGGCCATGCGCTGGCAGGGCTGTGCCAGAAGTCTTGCTCTGGCGGGCTTGATGTTTCAGACGTCTTGTTCTGGCTAGCGTGTTTCAGGAGTCTTCTTCTGGCAGACTTGTTTCAGATTAGCTGGCCCGGGCAGGCTTTCTCATAAAACTTGCTCGGCCTTTGTCCTTGGCAAGCTGTTTCAGAGCCTTTGTTCTGGACAGGGTTCAAGAAGGGCGGTTGCGGCTGGGCTGTTCTGGCTGGCTTGTTTCAGATGTCTGGCCTTGGCGGGCTTTTTTCAGAGTAGCTCGTCTGGGCAGGCTGTTTCAGAAGCTTTAATCTGGGCAGGCTGTTTCAGAAGCTTTAATCTGGGCAGGCTGTTTCAGAGCCTTTGCGCTGGGCAGGCTGCTTCAGGGCCTTTGCGCTGGGCAGGCTGCTTCAGAGCCTTAGTTTTGAGTGAGTAGGGTCAAAAAAAGAGATGTCTCGGATATTATTCTATACACTTCGACTATTTGCGGAGTTAACCGATAAAGGACTTGCTCAAGTCGTCAGAAGAACGCACGTGTTCACAATCAAAGAGTGAGAATCAAAATATGATGATGTAGTTGCAGACAGATGCAAGAGTGCAATTAACTTCGTTTACCCAATTCTGATCAAATTCAAATTGCAGAAGATCGTTCAAGAGCTGGATTTGCTTACACTCCTTCGTCATTGCATTTGCTTACACTCGTGCTGTCCAAAAACAGAGAACAAGGGGGATTCCTAGTCCATTATGAGAGTGACTAGAAGTAATAGAATCCGAAGCCCATATGTATTCGTATAGTTAGCGACCAAAGAAAGCTCCTGTCTTAACAGTTGCGTTTTTTCATGAACTCACTGTCGTGTCAACCTCAACATAAATTCAAATATTAAGTAGACGGATATCATCATCACGAGCAAGATGGGCGGCAAGAAGAAGAAGCCAGCGGCACCACCGGTTTTTAATACTGGTAGTGTCAAGAGCAAAAAGAACGTAGAGGATGAAGCCAAAGCTATCGCCGAGCAAGAAGAGAAGGAGCGGCTAGCCAAAGAGGAAGCTGAGAAGGCGGCTGCACGTGCGAAAGCCAAGGCCGAGAGGAAAGCACGTGGATGTCATTCAGACTCAGACGATGATGACGAGCAGGATGGACATCATTATGATGGGGATGAACACTGTGATGGTAGAGCTGAACAAGGAGCTAACGCTGGTGGAGATCATTATTCCGCTTCCATTTTGAATGGCGCATCAACAGCAGGTTTGTCTACCTCTGCTACCACCTCTACTATACCATCTTCTACTTCTACTTCAAAGGAGATAAAGCAAGGCAAAAAATCAAAGAAGGATCTTCATGGAACTTGGTCTACAGAGGAGGCCTCTTCGGCTTTAGGAGAAATAATAGACCGCTTAGTGGCGGAAGAAGTCTCGAAGCTGATAAGTGGGACAAAGACTACCAGTCGTAAGAAGCCAGAACTGAAACCAGCAGGCTTTGCCCCATTGGCGAAGGACTTGGAGAACAGCCTTATCAAGTTTTTCCGGTATGGTGGTGGCCTGCTACCGGAAAAAGTGGGAGAAAGTGGTCCAACTACTGTGGAAAACGAGCCAACAGCTACAACATCTGCTGCTGCTGCGGATCCAACCAGGGGAGCATGGGTCGCTGAGGCCACATCAGGCACTCTATCCACCCCACCGAGTTGTAGAAGCGACCTTTATTTTCCTGACTCCTGGAAGCTGAAAAGAATTACGTATGAGAAGCTGTCCAGTTGTTATCTAGAGCTGCAGGAAGCGGGCTTTGATGATGTGACGATTGAACGGGGAATGAGAGCCACATTTGGCTACGATCATCGTGCAGCCGTGGAGTATTTGGTGTTAACCTCGGAGACTTTTTCTTCGGCATCGGTAGCCACTTCTTCGGCAAGCGCTAGTGGCAAAGCTGAAATAGTACAGAAGCCGACCACGACAGCAACCACTTCCTCAGATTAAGGGTTCTTGGAAGTTGACCTATCTATCATCTAAGATGGCTTCTTCAAGCAGGATATCCTGGAAATTGACCTATGGCTTCTTCAAGCAGGATATGATCCTGCCATAGTAGATATGCGACCTACTATAGGAACCGAAGTGACCTGCTTAGAAATCACTCAAAAATTCATTATGAGTAGTACTAGAAGGGGGGCCAACTTTCATCTACCCCTAATTAGATGACCACGCAACGGGAGCGGCAAGAAAATGGCTACCCCCACTCCTGCAGGGTGAACAAGAGCAGCATGAGTATTTTGCTTATGAACGCAAAAGGAAACAGGACGAAGCAGAACGAAAGCAATGGGCAGAAGAGGAGGAGCGTCGTTTGCGCAAACAGCAGCAGAATGCTGAAAGAAGAAAGAGGAAACATTTTTTGAAAAGGTTATGAAGAATTCTGGTTTTTTTGGATGTAGTTGTCACTGTAGATTTTGGTATTTAATATTTCAGAAGATTCTTCATCTCCTGCTCCTGCATCGAGGTAGGAAAAGACTTCCTTCACAGTTCACACAAGGAGTCCTCGTGTGCATCACTAAATCACTTGATTCCGACTAACTTGCACTTCCTTTTCCTTGCTCTAAGTCTTCAAAGAGAACTTGCAGCTGCCAATGGCACCCACCCCGACGAACAAGCTGGAGAGGAGCAAGGCCATGACGATGAAGGACAAGCTAGGAAACCGAAAGATCCAACCGCCGTTCAGAATTGGATTCTAGAACGTTTCGCTGAAGTCGAGGGTGAGGACAGCGATCCTGAGTCCGCTGCCCCAACTGTCGACGCTGCTGGAAATACTATCATACCTGGGCAAGAATTAAGGGTACTAGGTTGAAGGCGTTCGTGTTGCCGCTTGTTTTGCCGCTCTTATAAGAAGGGAGAGACGAGGCATAACAAACTAGGTTAAAGCCGAACACCAAAAACCTACCTCAAAAAGAAGGTGGAGAGAACGCTGGCGGTGAGAACGCTGGCACTGCTGCTGATAGTAAAGGAACCGGAAAGATGAATAAGAAAAACAAGAAGGGAGCAATAAAGCGTCCTGCTTTACAACTAGAGGGAGAACTACAGGGTGCAGGCGATGAAGGAGAGGGAGAACTACAGGGTGCAGGCGATGATGATGTCGACGGTGACACAGAAGCCGGTATTGATAGCGACGAGGATATTGTTAAGGCTACCGCTGGAGCATCCTCAACACCATCCTTAGCCCTTTTTTCAAGGGGAAAAAGGGCCGAGGGAGGCTCCCAGGGATGCACGTCGGTACCTCTAATATTGATAGCGAAGATGGTGAGATAGAGATTGAGGTATCCTCTGAACAGGGTATAGATGAAAATTGGGATCCCGAAGCCGTAGATTTGTTCGGAGAGGCTGCGAGCATTAGTGCAACCTCCGCGTTTGCTTCTAGAGTGGAAGTAGTGGATGCGGATACCACAACCTCTACAGTGCCGCTGTCACAGCCAGCAGATGTCGCGCAAGAGGAGGAAAAAAACGGTGGTACAACTTCACGAGGACCGCAGAAGATGACCTCTACTACAACTACAACTACAGTCGAGGGACAACAACAAGTTGTTCCTACAACTACATCTTCAGTTGCTGGACATCAACAAGACTCTACAAGAACCGGTCTCAGTGCGAAAAAACCTCTGAAGCAAAAGCCTAAGCCGCAGAATTTTCCGCTCAAAGAAAACTTGCAGATCCACAGGAGTTGGACTGGACAGACCCCTGCTCAAGTTTTGGATGGTTTTGTTTCCAAGTATCTGGGGAAGACCTATGCCACAAAGAAATCCGTTGATAAGCAAGGTGTAGGCCGCGTGCAGATTGCGCAAGGTGCGGGCAGCAATATTGTCTCAGATTTCGTAGTCCCGTTCAGGTGTCGTACCAAAAAGGACGCAATCGAACTGGCCAGTACCTATGCTTTGTATCAGTTATTGTCTGGCTCGGCACCAGGGCCATTGGCAGGCGTTGATGGAGGTTCTGGGAAAGTTGTAGAGAGTGGAAATACTGGCGGAGGAGCATCCTCTAGTGCCAGTGCCTCTTCGAAGAACAATCTCCAGCAGAACAATCTCCATCTACTGCAACTGAAGAGTATCCAGGAACTGTTACCTCCAGCGTTCAAGAGTTTCTACAATTCGATGGTTTTGAAGGCTGAAGAGATTAAGCTACAGGAAACGCAGAGACGGGTGTTGCCAAGAGTGAAGCTGTGTTTGGAACTGAGCGCTGGGGAGTTCGGCACAGCCGGATCGGTTGCGGTGGCCGGGAGCAAGAGCGGAAGTGGTGGAAGCTCGGGTTCAGGTGCTGCTAGAAGCGGAACTACAGCTGGCGGAGGCAAGTCATCCAACAACAAAGGGAACAAAAACAATAGCACAAGTAACAATCTAGCAGGGGGCGCAGGAGCAGGAGGACAAGCTTGCTCTGTGGGAGCTACGGCGAAGTTGGCGGAAAAAGTGAAAGCATTGTTGGTCTCGACAGGCTGCAAATTGCCGCCAGTAGCGAATTTCAGTCAAAACAGGCATATGTTGCCTTCAGCGGGAAGTTCGAAGACAACGAAGGATAGAGCTGCTGAAGAGAAGAGCAGTGCATCTGCCTCTGCTGCGGCATCCAGTAGCAGTGCTTCTGCGTCAGCCGATGAAGACGATGCTAGTCGTGCTCTTGTGGCACATCAAGCAGAACAAGCAACTTCTGCCAGTCACGACAAGCGCTTAGCCGTAGATAAGCAGTTAGTTGAAGCGTTCATCAACCGGGAAGACAAGCGAAACGAGTTGCGCACAGCCAGAGAAAATTTACCAGTGGCTGCATTCAAAGAGGACATCGTGCATTTGGTCAACCATAATCGTGTCAGTGTCGTTTCCGGAAGCACAGGATCGGGAAAGACTACACAAGTACCACAATACGTATTGGAGGAAGCGATATGGAGGGCTTCGAATCAGGCAGGAGATGGAGGCAACTACAATGCCAGGTCATCTTGCATTGGTACAACTACTCCTCAAAGTCAAAGCACTCCTAGTTGTAGTTGTAGTACTAGAGAGCTCCTCCCAACCATCATCGTCACCGAGCCTCGGCGCCTCAGTGCTATCTCAGTCGCCTCCCGAGTCGCTCAAGAGATGGGTGAGAAAGAACCGGGGCAAAGTCTTGTGGGGTACCAAATTCGATTGGAAAAGCGAGCTCATCCTGTCAATTGTAGACTATTGTTTTGCACCACGGGGGTGTTGTTGCAGAGATTGAAGGGTGACCCGACCTTGGCAGGCGTGACCCACATTTTCGTGGATGAGGTCCACGAACGATCGTCGGAGTCGGACTTGTTGCTTTATGATATGAACATTTTTGATGTTGATTTTTGTCTGTGAAGATTCTTGACTGAAGACTTTTAAGTACAACTTCTCGAAGTTGTGAGTGAAGATCAAGATTTTTATTTTTTATTTTTCTAAGAAGTAATTACTTAAAACAAGTGTTGAGTCGGTATGTTGATCACTGAAGATGTGTTGACTCGAGTAAGGGTCTCTATCACGTACTAGATACTGTTATCACGTCGAAAAGCTTTAATATGTAGAGGACTTGAACTGACTGTTGATTTTTTTATTCATTCACTTTTACCACCTCTCATCCATTCACTTTTACCACCTCTCATCCATTCACTTTTACCACCTCTCATCCATTCACTTCTCCTGAAACGATTCTCTTTCATCCATTCACTTTTACCACCTCTAATCCTCACTCCTTCTGAAGCGACAATTGACCGAAACCAGTTTAAACCTGTGCATGATGTCAGCGACTGCGGATGGCGCGAAGCTCCAAAACTACTTTGACGGCCTCAACTATGACCCTGTTTTACACCAGATAGATTGGAGTAAACAGGTTGGTGGGCCAGGTCCTCGCGGTGGTAATACGATAGTGGACAAGGCCAAGAACAAGGTGGCAGTAAATAGCGGGGGTCCGAAGGACAGCGATTATGATGATTTCTTGGGCGAGAAAGATGGTAGTAATGACTCAGACGAAGATGGTGAGAAAGCAGGTAGTTCGTCATCTGATGGTGATGACTCGGACTGGGATGCGGACAGCGACGACGCAGCTGCAAAGAAAAGCAAAGCTGCTAAGAAGTCCAAGAAGCGACACAACCAACTACAGCGCGATAAAGAAACAAAAAGTTCAAGTGCTACAACAGAAGATGCTGACTACTTGGACCACGCTGATGCCGATGACGATGACAACAACCAAGTCTCCTCCTCTTCTTCAAAGAACTTGAACTGGAATATGATCAAACAGAGAGTTGGCTTCCTAGAAGTCCCAGGTCGTATCTTTCCAGTCGAAGAGTTCTTCCTAGAAGATGTGGTGGAGTTAACCGGCTACGGGATCGATCAGGACAATATGAAGTGGTTGGACGATGACCGCTTCTATGAAAAAGATGGGAAAACACTGAAACTAGACTCCCTCTTGAGCGCTTACAATGTCGAAAAGGTGGACTCGGACGCAAAACAGGACGTAAGGCTGCCTAATTCTACGGGGAACATCAACACTTCTTCTGTAGGCGGGAACAATAGAAATTATATTGCCTCCAACGACCACAACGACAAGCAGAAGAAGAGGCACTATTCCAAGGAGACCATCGCTACGCTGTTGTCCATGGACCACTATTGGATCAACTATGAGCTGATTCAAGCGACTCTGGATGTGATAGAGAGGGATTTTACCCACGCAGACGATTTACCACGTCATGAAGGCGCAGTGTTGGTTTTCCTACCTGGTCTACCGGAGATATCGCGGACGCATGCGTTGTTGGCTGAACATCCGGTGTTTGGTGACGACCGACAAACAGTGTTACTCTCGTTGCATAGTGCTTTGACGGATCAGCAGTCGGCTTTTAGACCGGCGCCCAAAGGAAAAAGGAAAGTTGTCTTGTCGACGAATATTGCCGAGACGGGTGTCACGATTCCTGACATTGTTTTTGTAATCGACTGCGGCAAAGTCAAGCAGCAGAGTTACCACGAGGCGACCAACAGCAGTAGTTTGAAGGAGGTGTTTGTCTCCAGAGCTGAAGCTGTGCAACGCAAAGGTCGGGCTGGGCGTGTCCGGTCTGGATTCTGTTTTCGGTTGTACACGCAAAGGCGCTTTGAGCAGAAATTCTTGCCTGCAGCGGTGCCAGAACTTCTTCGCTGTAGCTTGACAGAGCTGATGTTGTCAGTGCTGTTGGCGGGGTTCCAACCAAGCTTGTTCCTGGATGCGATTGACTCACCGCCAGAAGCAAGGATAAACCAGACGATCACTCTATTGAAAGACGTGGGATGTTGTGCCGAAACTTCTTTTACGAAACACCGCAACTTCTTCTAGCAGTTTCGTGTCCACTTCGATAGTCTTTGTCTCCCCCTCTTCTTCCTGACTACTCTCAAAGAGAACCATAAGTTGAGCATATCCAGTCATTCATATCGTATTGATAGTGAATAGAAGGGGATAGAATTAGAACAGTGAAAGTGATACTAAATTCAATCCTTTTAGAAAGGGTGTCCTCGCTGTCAGATATTACCTATGTTTCAGTGATATAGTGTTTGTGTTTTAAGCCTTGACCACAGTAGTTGTGAGCAGGCTTCTAGGAGTACAACTACAATGATGACACGAATCTACTCGGCAATCTGCCTAAGAATCTGCCTAAGGCGAATTCTGCCTAAGATTTCCCTGCACAACTACAATAGGGAATAATTACCAAGCTGCATTTTCTACCTCATCTAATCTTTCGTGCACAACTATTAATTAGTACCAAGCTGCATTCTCTACCTCATCTAATCTTTCGTGCACAACTATTAATTAGTACCAAGCTGCATTCTCTGCCTCATCTAATCTTTCGTCGATCGGGAAAGCATCCGGAGACGATGATGGAACCAACTCGCCACGAGTCAAGACTGCCAATTCCTCAGCTCTGTTCTTGCGTCGCAGCACTTACAAGATCACCGCGTTAGGCACTGCATTGGCAAGACTTCCCGTCGATATCCGACTCGGGAAGATGCTATTGCTGAGTGAGATTTTCGGAGGAAGCGAGTACCTGATGAACTGCGTCGCAGCGATCAGTGTGGCGTCTGGCACGAAGCTCTACCTAGACTTCGTGGATGAGACGAAGAAACACCAGGCGCGTCAAAAGCACGCTCTCTTTTTCCAGAGGTTGGCGACTAAGACTCAGGTTCTGTCAGACCATTTAACGATGGCGGAGATACTGAAGGAGTACGAGACGATCTTGAAAAATGCTGGCGGGGAAGAAGGGCAGGGCGCTGTCGGGAAAGGAAACAACTACAAGGGTAGCGGCAAAGGTGGAGATAAAGTTAAACAGAGGTCATCTAATTAAACGGTCTACCATACCCCACGAATGGGTACACTACTACTACTACTTTGCTTTGAAGGGTGATGTTTCAGTTTCTTTGTTGTGTCATGTCATGATACAGCAACATAGAAAAAAAAAGTTAGTTTTATAGTCTACTTGGGGTCACCGAATCACGACTGAGCAGAAGTTTCTTCGCCTCATGGGGGAAACACTAAAACACATCAACAAGAACTGTTATATATGTATTCTCCCTTCCCCTCTCCACTCTCTCCTCCTCTAACACAAGAAGTTCTTGCAAAGGCGGTTCAAGTTGGAGCGTGAAACAAGCCCAAGAGAGGTTTGCGCAGATGCACTGCCTCAATCGAAACGCTCTACGACAAATGCTAGAAGTGAAGGACGACTTGCGGCAAAGAGTGAAAAAAGCTGCTTTCACTGCTTCTGCTACGTCAACCACAGATGATCAACATCAGGGGATCTTCAAAGACCGACCAGTATTAGCTGCCTGCCTTGTTGCTGCTGGCTTACGGCCTAACGTTGCGCGTATTGATCAAGCTGCGAACAGCAACATCACAATATCTGCCGGCAATGAACTAATGAAGCTGCATCCTCAATCCTCGTTTCTTGATCAAAACAGTTTGATGACAGCAGGAGCTGCCTTGTCGGGGTCTTCTGGGTCTTCTGGTGCCATGATTCGCTGGCTAGCCTATCATGCGAAAGTGAAAACCAGTAGCAATTTTCTCAGAGATGCAACCTTAATACCCAATCCCTGGTGGCTCTTGCTCTTCCACTCGGACGAGTGGGAACTGTATCCTCAACAACGGTGCGTCGCTTTTGGGCGCGCGACTGGAAATAACGCATGGCAGTGTGTCTCAGTGTCGCCATTTGCAGCGATGTTGCTGAGACAGGTCAAAATGAGGTTTGCTGTGCTTTTTCATCATTGGGTCGTGAGGTTTGCTAGGGCTATCGACGGTGGAGGAGGCAAAAAGAATGGAGCATCTCCTTCAGAACCCCAGATGCAGGGAGAGGGAGACCTCAAGAACTATGTTGATTTCACAGGAGAAGCAACAAAACTCGTCTCGTTGATGAAACGAGTGTTGGAGACGAAAGTGTAAAGAATGGATGACTTGGATTGTTCTAAGTACTTATCTCTACTTCTCGACGAGTATAATGTCCTCAACGAATTCAGACTGGTCTCACGATAGAGTATCTATCAATTGCTGTGGAGGAGCTTTCAGGATGAAGATAGTTCCTTCAGATTTGAATTGTTCTAGCTGTCGACCTATAATTGTCGTCAGTGTTCAATGCCTATACTGAGTATGATTCCTACAACAACTTTATGCATCTTCATAGGAGACAGTCGTAGCAGGCAGAGTTCAGGATCCTCGTCAGAGTGTACTAGAGATAAAGTAGATCTGTAGAAGTCCTCTGTTGTCCAGTGAAATATAATCTTGTCCAGTGAAAGAAAACATGATCGGACAGAAGTTTTGAGCGACATCTTCGGTCAATAGATTTTCGCATGTGCATCTCCAACTCCTCCTGACCTATCAGCCTCCCATCCTCCAAATCTTCCCCTATGCATGCCTCCTCCTCCATTCTTAACAGCCGCATTGTACACAGTGTCGTCATTCATGATGGAAGAAATTAAACGTGTGGTACGTAAGACGGCAAGACTGACGACCATTTTTGCTTCTTCAAAATTACTTCAGGGCATTATATCAGGTCGTGACGTTTTCCTCTTCCTGTCCCTTTGGGTCGTGACGTTTCCCTCCCAAAAATCCCATTGACAAAAGAAAACATCCCGCCTTTGCTTACACTTGTTTTTGCTTAGACTCTTGTTAGGTTGTTGTTCTGGACATAGTAGAAGAATGTTTGCGACATCACAAGTAGAACTACTACATACAAGATAATAGCTAGTTGTAGATCTAGATACTTTTACTTGTTGTACCTCTCTCACAGAAGACAAGAAGAGCAAGTTCAAGAAATGAAATGACATTTGCCTACTTGTTCTGCCGCTTCTACGTCGGGAACGAGAAGAACATAACATTCGTCTTCATTGAACGATCAACACAAGGAGGATCTAATCTGAACCAAAACTACGAGTAGAAGAATCTATCACGTGAAACAACCAAGACGACCTCAACAGTGAAGTACGCGAAAAGCTTGCAGACTTCTAAACACGTGTCTGAAGACCTGCTCATCCTCAAGAGCAGACTACGTACAACGCGAAGATCGAATCGTACTTCCTCAACATCCAAAACATAAGAAGCCAGCGTCAAGGAAGTCTAGGAGAAGCCTCAACCTCTTCTTCTAGAAGACAACTTGCCTCGTCTTCTAGCGAACAAAATGCCGGTGGTCTATTCGCCTCGGTTTGATGATGGGGGGCCAGCCCCCTGCGGCGCGCGAATGGGCAGCATAGAGCTGTTGCAAGCAGGGCTCGTTCCTTTTCTCTTTATGGTGTGACATCATGAATGTGCCTCTAGTACAATCAGAGCTGCTCCTGCTATGTAATTATAATTGCAAAAATATCATGTTGGCTCTAGTTGTACGTTGTAGTAGGTACAACTACCTCCGTAGGGAATCATTCAAAGTAGGAAGATACCACCCAACTATCGGAGGGAACAAGCAACCCTCGTCCTCCTTTCTTCATACTCTTGGTCCGGTGCGCTCATTGCGGGTTGATACTCCAAAATAGGGATGCCGCGCCATTGTCGCTGCAAATCCTATCCGCCGGGAGTCTTATGAAAAGATAAAGACTTGAAGAAAAGATAATGTATCTTAAAAAAAAGAAAGACTCTTTATTAAAGACTTCGATTTTTAGATTTGGATACAATGCAAACGAAGACCTGCCGTCACAGAATTTGAATGATCCGTCGAAGCAAGAAGAACGAAAATATGTTATAGAGTCTGCTAGATTGCATCGCGGCCCCCTCATCTTGACGGGCCCCTTGATGTACCTTGTATTTCATGAGAATACAAGGGAAAAAGGGACCAAGATGCCAAGAATGATGGACGCTAAATGTTGACCATCACTATGGTTGTGATTTCTGGTATTCGAAAACTCAAAATAAGCGAGCTACTGACTGAAATAAGAGAGGCTTGACTACATTCCTCTTCTTTCAGTATCTCCCTTATTTTCAATAGTTACTCGGTTATTTCAGTTTTTCGAGTAGACAGAACCTCCAACTGTTGGCTCTCCTCTAATGTCTTGTGCCTGTATACGATCATGGTCATACTCCTGCTGCTGCAAGTAGTGGGTAAGAAGAGCATTTGTGGATTGATACTCCTTTTTTTCGCAGCAATTCTTTGCGGCTGTCTCCAGTACGCATGCTCAATATTGTTCTTATGGCCACAAGAACTGACGAAAAATTCGAAAAATACTATCTGGTCTCTCTCGCCAGTAATAGAGAATGACCACCAGAGGCGTATAATAATGAGAAAGATGTCCTCTATTCGAATTGTGAGGCTAGCACACCAAGTTCTCTCCTTGATGTAACAAGGTTCTTGTACTACTACTCGATTAAATAGTACTCCTTGTTCTTCTTCTTTCGTAGTATCGGAGGTGCACCATCATTTTTATCAACAAACTAATCGTAATTGTACTAGATCAACAATTACGACCGTTTATGTAGTATCAACTCTCTAATCATAACCGTGAAATCAACAATGGAGAACGCGGGATCGAATGCGACGTCAAAGACCTCACTGATAACACAGAGAAGTAAAAGCGGCGTGAACGCGGAAAGAGGAATAATATCAGCAGACACACCTGCAGTAGCTTTCCAAGAATACCACCAACTTTTCTCGATAGAGGTACTACTTACTACAAGTTTGAGTTTGTTGTTGATTTGTGTTGTAGTTTGAAAGCAGAATTCTATGTATCTATAAGTTCGTTTTTGCCTGGAAGGTTGAGCAGCTTTCTTCCTGCTTGGGCTTTTTTCCTGTAAACACTTACTGTGATACAAAATTATACTGATTGATTTTGATGAGACATCATATGCTTTAGGTAAAATCATCATCATCATCACCATCATCGCCATCATTCTTTTTTTTTATTTCTCAGAGAAACCACAAAGTCAAATACAGGGTTAGCAACGTACTTCCTAAAAGTAAGATGGAATTGTTGCGTACTTTCTAACAGATGACTGAATGGGTGAGTGAATGAATTTGCCTAGCGCGGCAAGGCGTCGCGTGTACAACTGTTATACTTATATCATTTCTGATAAATTGTTTTATATCAGACAACTGTTTTACTTATAATATATCATTTCTGATATTTATATATTGTTTTATAGCAAAGGATCATTGGATCGTGTTTGCTCTCATTTTCCTCCTCAGACGTACTTCGGTTGTTACGGAGTTGCCTTGTTAGCGTGGGTAGAGCTGTACTGTCATCCGAATGGGGGGTGGACACCAACGATGGCAGACGCAGCTGAGCTGTCAGGGAAATTTATGATGTTGTTCCAGTTGAAATAGATGAAATCAAAAGTTGAAAAATCCTTGTAGTCTCACTTCACTCTTGTAGTCAGCTCTACTCTCTCTCGTCCTGAAGTTTCTTCGTCCTTCGATTCTTCTTTCTTACTTCTACCTTTCTCTATAATATCTTCGGTGGAGCACACCTAACTAGAAAGCAAAAAACTACCTTTCTCTATAATGATCAAATGTGATTTCTACAACTCTTCTTCGTTCTCCCTCTACAACTCACTCTAATTTTTATGACCGAGAAAAGCTGATCGATCGCGACCGGGATCGCAGGGATCATCGCAGTCCCAGTAGAAGGTGATAGTCGTGGAAGGTGATACATTGCTTCGTCAGGATATGAGAGGACGGCTATATGGGAGAGATTCCCTAGTAAGTCCGTCTAAGATAGGTTCTTGCCTCGTCCTCAGGATATGGAGCTCATGAGGAGGGTAGGTTGCCTTCTTCTGTGGGAGATCTTCTGTGGAGTGGACCATCTAGAGGAGAGTGGAGATCTATGGGGGAGGGGAGGAGGCAAAAGATCTAAAGGTATGTGGAGGAGGCACGCACGACCACGCAGAAGTCGAAATGTCGATGTAGTGAGAAGAATTATCTTCAGCACTACTTAATATGATGTATTAAAGTCAAATTAGAACTACCTGTAGATAAAAAATACAAACGAGAAAAATGCATAGCAATTACACACACACACGACTATTACACACACTATTGTTGAACCGTACGAGAAACTACTTACATGGAAACAAAAACATAGAGAGCACTAATTATCTAATAGCTGCGTACTTACTACATGGAAACTAGCGTACTTACTCTTGAAGATGGAAGTAAAACCTGTAGAGTTCGATTGTCATCATCCCTATCATCTTTTAACGTACATACAAACACAATGAAACATTTGAAACATCATAGTTACAAGCATATTTGTAAAGAAACTTATATTCCATTCTGTCTTGGCACAAAGTCCTCAAATCATACCTTTCTTCTTTCTTGCACACCTATCTTGTTTAAAAAGTTATAATGATACAGATAAAACAATGAAATATCAACGTTACAGTTACACACACATACACAAGAGAATAATTGAAATTGTGACATAGTAGTAAAAAACATTCTGCTTCATCTGCACACCTATCTTGTCTCTGAGAAGATAGGAATTTCCTAGAACAACGCTTCTGCCACAGAAAACGTCACGACCTCCTCATCAATCTCCTTCACAATCAAAGTAAGTTGTACCAAAGTGAATTCGTATCGTCTCATGACGTGGTAGGTGGGGCTGCAGTCACTCTCACTGCAGCCGGGAGCCCGGTCCTCCCCCTTCAATGCGGCCCCGTGACTGAGTGGATTCGACGAGAATGCCTCTTCATCAGTAGGCAGCCAAGATCTCAATGAGTTGTGGATTCGACGAGAATGCCTCTTCATCAGTAGGCAGCCAAGGAATGAGGAATGTTTCCGAGGTGAAGCAGGAAGCAGCACCCGAGGTGGGTACCCAAGCACTTGTGAAAGGTGGATACTATCCTGATTTCGAATCACCACGTGCAAGGTCTCTAGTATGATCAGCGTGTAAGGTGGTCAGGGACCAGAAGCCGTTCTTCCTAGTGCTCAGGCTTGGGGTCGCGCCGTTCACTTCGCCGTAAGGTGCCGACCTGGGTGACCTTTAAGCATTTTGGTGGTCCGCCAGTTAGCGCCTTTGGTAGGAGTTACTTACTTAGCCCTCCGGTTTCTGTCATTCTTTTTGGTTATTTTTTGACGGTGGTGTTTGCGGAACAAGGTAGTTTAGAAGCGATGGCGCGAAGAGTGAAGAGCCTAGATTAGTGTAGCCTCACCAATACGATGACTTAACTGCAGAAACTCTAGTGCAAGGTGGTCCGGGACCAGAGACCGTTCTTACTTTATTGTTCTGAAGTGGAACCTCCTCTAGAAGTACGTACCACCTCTTCTGGGAAAACGTGATATGTAGAGGACCGAAAAGAGAATACTACTAATTACCTACTGGACCACTGAAAAAGAAACTAAGTACCTACTCGACTGATTCCAGGACCTAGAAGTAGAAAGCTTGAACTGTAGCTCTCTAAGTTAAAGGTCGTTTTGAACTGTAGCTCTCTAAGTTAAAGGCTCAGAAAGCGGACGTGGAGCTTGTGAAAATAGCTGTCAACAACGAATGTTTCGCACTGCGCTTGTTGCCACGCAGCATGCGACAGAACAGGGACATGGCCATCGTTATGACGGCTGTGAAGTGCAATGGCCCAGCACTCCAGTACAGAGGACTTGAAAAGTGACGGGGAGATCGTCACGCGGACCGTGGAAAGCGATGGCGAAGCACTCCGATACGCAGCTGAGGAATTGAAGGCAGACAGGAAGATCGTCACGCAGGCGGTTGAAAGCAAGAGCGGTGCACTCGCTTACGAAAGCTGCTACATCCGATTGTTTGTTCTTCGCTTTGCTAGTAGGTTCGGGCCACGACCCCGATTCAAGTCACGCGGTGGTGCACTTGTAGACAGTAGACAACAACAAAAAAAAAAATTCGTTTACGCAGCTGACGAATTGAAAAAAGACAAAAAGTTTGTCCTGCAGGTCGTTGCAAACAATGGCTTAGTGTGTGCTTCCGGTATTTGATGACCTGAATTTGATCACAAGGGAAAACAAGAAGAGAACCCTTGTGATCAAATTTAGGTTACCAAATACCGGAACCATTCACTTATAGCATTTCTACACGTACATCATAAATCAATTAGAAAGTAGCTCAATATTTCTCAGTTTAATTTCATTTGATTTGAAGCTGAGTCGTTGTCACTTCTTTTTCTCGCAGTTTCCTTCTGATACCCCGGAGATTGGCTACGGCTGCACTACCACTAATCTTATGAGATTACTACTACTTCTTGGGATTCTGGAGAAAATGAATTTGAGGGCAGACAGAGAGATTGCTATGGAAGCTGTTGCGTGCGATGAGCATGAGACAGGGAATGCATATATGCAAGCAGCCCCCGAGTTGAAAGCAGACAGAGAATTTGTGATGTATGCTATTGCGTCCCGTGGACAATCAGGCGAACTCGCACCGGAGGAATTGAAAAGAGACAAGGACTTTGCCACGTAGGCCGTTATAAGTAAGTAATAGTGACGCTCATGTAGAAGATTGTACAACGCGAGAATCTGCGCATAGACATGGACGCTGATGGACGCTGTCAGGAAAGCTGCTGCTCTTCAAAACGTTCATGTAGAAGTCGCTCTTCAAAGCGTTGATGGGGGAGGTGCTCTTGAGCCTGAGTAGACAAGCCGCAGAAGAGAGACTTTACAACCAGCCACGTGATGCTTCTAGAGACGAGCCACGTGATGCTTCTAGAGACTAACTCAAACTTACGGGCACCCAGCCACCGACTAGCCTAACTCTGTAACTAACCTTGTAGTAGTAGTAGAAAAGCGAGCGCTACACTCGAAGTATGCGTGGACAGGTCGAAAGCTAAGTCGCGGACGCTGTCATACTAAAAGCCCTGCGGGGAGGACACTACAGGAGGCACTCAACATCAGGTTTGTTCTCATCAGAAAGAGAAGAAGCATTCGCATGAAAATGGGGAACAAGACGAGGAAAATATTCTCTACCAGGAGATTGTTTTCGCAGATGGGCTATTCCTCCACAAGTCTCTCTGCCTAGAAATGTGCAAGAAAAGACTTTGCAACTGGACTTTGTGCGAGGGAGACAGAGAGAAGAAAAGAATGCAACAAAAAGGAAAACTGATACTCGCCCCGCGATTGTCTTGTATGTGCTCCACCCTGGCCTTCGCTCGAAGACAATTGGGCGGGATTCAACCAGGATAGAAAAACTCTAACCTCCTCCTACATGGATCGAAAAACTCTAAACTCGTTAATCATCATAGAAAAACTCTAAAACGAGCAAAAAAGAGTTTCAGATGTTCACGTATTTGTTGGAAAAGGAGCAGGAAAAAAGTCACGTGGGTCTCTGATAAATCAATGAGTGAAAAAGATGAATAAACTGAAAAAGACACTACATCATGCAAGAAGATCATGGGACAGCTGCTTCTTGAAACTAGAAGTAGCAGGAGAAAGAAACCAGATTTGTTCACCTCGCTAGAGGCGGTAACGCAACGATAAAAATGGAAATGCTCTTAGAGCTCGCTCTTAGATGAGGTGGTTGCGGGAGCGCAACGAAAATGATTAAAATGTCCTTAGTAGAATAGATATAGAATTTTAATCTTAATCTTTTTACTTCCTGAATTCGAAAAATCGAGAAAGCCACCAACCTAACACCACTAGAGCAAAACCGCTGTTCTCGTCTTGTCCGCACAGAAAAAGCTCTTTTGTTCCGCGGTCTGTTTGGTGCGGTCTACTCTCTCATGTATGGATCTTTTTCTATTGGATACAGCACTACAGAATGAAGAACGTCTTGAGTCTGTAGAGACCCAAGAAATAAATCTTGAATCTGTAGAGAAACCGAAACCCAAGGAAAGAATATATGGACGAAATCAGTATTTCTATTTTCATATCGTAACGTAGGTATTTCAAGCAGAACTTCTACGTCGGTTTAAGAGTGGAAAAGAAAGTCGCTGCTCATCATGAGTGGAAAGAAGAATCGGAGAGTGAGAGTCCTCCTCCCCACTTCTGTCTCCCCTCCGATAGCAAGCTACAAAGCTCTGCATATTCGTGGTCCCATTCAAGAGTCTACAATAAATTTCAACTGAAATATCAGCCGGGCTCAAGTTGAAATCCAATCGGCTGCATGATGATCGAGATCCGAACTTATTTATAAGAGGATCTAGCTGATCTATATCTTTCATCCATTTTTTGATACTAGTTCTTTGGTGTGCTCCACCACAAAAAAGAATGTATTCACATGCCAAACCACGAGAAACAGAACATCGATCTTGAGTTTTCTTTTTCAGTAACTATAGTGTTTATGCGCATTGTACCTTTAGATTATAGGTTCATTACAACTAGTACTGCGACTGCTACTATCATACGTAAATCATGAAGTAGAAAGTGGAAAGTATTTTTTCTCGTACCTCTACTATCTTGTTGTATGTAGTACTGGATCATTTGTTTCACGTGGTTGCTATATTCTTATACCTAGTACTTACACGACTTAGGTTTAGGTATACCACTATGTTGTAGAAGTACATGCACTTCTAAAACATCTACAAAACACACATCATTCTTGGTGGAGATACATGGTCGTTTGTGAAGATAATCTAGTGTTATTTTTCAACAAGAACATGATGTGCTGCAAGAAGCGGCGTGATCGGCGGACGACAGACGAGCACGAGGTGTCCTCCCCAAATGGAGAGGCCATCATGGGAAATGGAGAGACTCCTGCTGGTGCTGTATCAAAGCGACTGTACCAAGCTGAAGAGCAAAGCGAAGCTGAAGAGCAGCATGATTTGCCTGGGGTAGAAGAAGATGTGGTGGTAGAAGAAGAAGGAGATGAGGATCTTGAGTTACCGGGTCCGCCCTTACCAGGAGCTTTTCGCATCTTTCTTCGGGTAGAAAATGGTGATGAAGAAGGAGAAGAACAGCAAGTAGATGCCCCCTTGCATTTTTCTGTGGCGGAACTGCGAGAATGGGCCGACCAGCGCAAAGAAGAGATCGAGCCCCACCATACCACTTGGAAAAAGGAAATACGAACCGGCCGCGGCGCTGAGAAAGAGGATATCAACCAAGAAAAATGGACAGGGGGTAAATACATTACCTGGGACACTTTTCGACGCTACGTGGCTTGGCGGTTGAGTAGTACATTATATCAACAAGGAAGGAATCGGAATGTTCTTTCCAAACAACAACAACAACAACAACAAAAAGACGAAGTACCACAAGAGGAGCATCAGATCAAGTATGTGCCGTTTTCCTTACTCGAGTTTTTTCCGCACCAGCATATAATCAACAAGCATTCATCTGGCGCGTCCTCAAGAAGCACAATATTAGATCCTCAAGAAGCACAATTGAATGAGTTGATTGATCCGCGAAGAATCGAGGATGATTTACGTCGCGTGGAAATCCTGCCTTTGTTCAATACAGGGGCAGGACACACAGACGCTGATCGACGACTGCGCACGGTGGGGTCGCAGTTCCTTTCTCATGTACTCTATTCCAACAGACTTCTGCTGGAACAGAGGGACCCCGAGGGAGCTTCCACCGCTGCAGCTGCTCGGCGTGCACTTTATAAACTCTATACTGAGAAAGCTAATGACGATGCTTTGGATCAGAAAGTACCGAAAAGCACGAGGCTGTTGGAGGAGGACAAAAGCAAGCTTCTAGTTCAAGTACAAGAAAATCTCCTCTTTCGAAATAAGAAGAGAGATTCCTCAGAATCTTGTGAACAACATCAAGTAGATGTAGAAGACTTCACTCTAGACCTCACAGTGGTCATTAGGGAAAAGCAGACTCGTGACGTGCTGCAAATGTGGAACCGCATGTTTTTCCGCAGAAACAGCGCCGTAGGATTGGCCACGCTTGTTGGGCACTCGAGGCAAATCAGGGACTACGAGCGCGCTGTGCTTCGCCGTGTGCTGTTCGAGGCACACCAAGAACAACGGCAAGAACACCACGACGAGTCGCAAGACGATCATGCTGGAGAGGGAATAGTACAAAGTGCTGGTGGACAAAGAGCAGGATCAAAAAAGAACAACCCGGAGAAGATGGGCCAATGCAATGTAGCGAACAATCAGGAAAATGTGGAGCGTGTACCAAGTGCACTGGAGATGTTCAAACTGGTGGCGACGAAGCCGTTTAGGACGCGCGACTACAACGAATTACCGTCGCATCATTTTTTTGAGAATTTCCAATTCGTATTTGGACCCAGTCCACAGCGGCACAAATGCTTCCCCGCGTGGATGTCCGACCGTCCCCCTGCATGGTTGGTTCAAGAGTGGACACAGTGTGAAGCGGAGGAAAAGCAGTGGCACGAGGTACTCTCGTATGGTGATTTTCTGCGGGAACTAGTGTACCTGCTGCCGCCAGAGGCGTTCGAGAATCGTCAACACAGTGGCTTTGTGCATTTGGATGACATTACACCGCCACTTACGACGCCGAGCGGACAAGCGATTGTTCCTCCAGTAGATACACGGCGCTCCCTGCTGATGGCGGCGGCGCACGTCGGCTCTCTCGACATCGCCTATCAGGTATTGGCTCGCACCCCAGCGGACATCGTCAAGGCACGCTGCTGGGAACCCCACCGCCACAGTGTAGTGGACTACCTTGTCATGGATCGTGCTAACCAGGAGTTTGGGGATCCCTTTATTTCTCACCTCTTGGTACACTACGAAAACTCCTCCGTTCGCGATGAACTCGTCAATGGTATCTACTATCAGATACTTGATCGCGATGAAGATGAAGGTAGGAAGGAAGATAAAAACAAGGGTCCAGAGGATGAAGAAGAAGGAGGGGCTCGTCCGGGTAGTAGTGGAGAAAGTAACGCTGAAGATGAAGATCACACTTGTGGTCGGCGTGAAGAAGAGGTGACTCGTCCTAAAGAAGGTCGTCTGCAAGACAGCACATTAGCAGATGAGACGCCCTCCACGACGGATAATGAAGACCACAACGAGCAGCTTCAAGAAAGGCCTTCCGCATTATCTCCGACTCAGAAAAAAGTGAAGATCTCAAGTTTTTTGCACGCCATTCTGTGTTGTCGAGATACTGACGTCGCGTGCGCGCTTCTCAGCTGCCCCGAGCTAAAAGACGAGACTTTGACGCACCGGCCAGACTCTGCACCCTTCGGTGTGGATGGACAGCCAATTGCCGCGTACGGACAGGCAATTCTCATCAGGCGTGACGAGACGGGCCTCACTCCGCTTCGCGACAGGGAAACAGGGATTTTGGCCCGCTGGCTCGTACAGTTTTTCTTGAGACGAGGAAATACAGATGTGGATCTCGTCTCAGAAATCGTTCCTCCACTTATCGAAGAGGAAGAAGAAGTCGACGGAGATGAAGAGGAAGAAGGAGACGAAGACGGCGCCAAATACAAGGCTAAAAGTAAGAAACTCCTCGAGGGTAAGGGGATGAAGAGTGCACATTTTAAGAGGTATTTGGAGGACAGTGAGGACGAACTCCGGATTTGTTTTGAAATCCAGTGTATCCTACAGGCGGCCGAAATGGATTGCATGGCTTGGCAATTCAATCACAACATGTTGGATGAAGACTTTGTGCGGGAACGACGAAAAATAGGCATCACGGATAAAAATGTACGTGGCATCAGCTATTACGCACGTCTGGTTGGCGATGCCTTTCCGTCAAATCGCCAATGGGAGGAGGACCTGGCGGCAATAAAAGCAAACGCTGCTGAAGGGCTGATGGGCCTTGGGCCTGCTTTCACTGCTCTCTTTTGCCGTCTCCTGGACGAAGAAGCCGTAACGATGAGGTCCGGACAATTCAATTTCTTGACCGGAAAACCTCATGAAAAGGACACGAGTAAGCAACTGTCTTGTGCGGGGTCCACAGTAGTGCTGCAATGCGAAGGTATCAACACTGCCGGTAAAGCTGAACAGGGGATGCGAAATATAGCAAAACCCCCTACGCTTCGAGCAGTTGACGACTGTAGACCTCCTAGCCCGCCTGGAACTGACGACTGTAGTGATTTTCCTCCGGAACTCCTCGAAAAGTTTCGGAACGATGCGCGCGAGCTTCTCCTTGGGCGTCGGGCTCAGTGGCTATTCGAGTTTCGCAACTTCCTGGGCCCTTGCGTGGACGAGATATTTCGCCGGCTCGGCGTCGTTCCAGGTACGGAAATGAAGTAAGCATCAATGGATGTCGCTATTCTCAGAACCTCTACCTCGTCTAGTAAAATCGAACTCCAACATAAAGTATTCTTGATGCCTTAAGACGTTGGTGAAAAATGGCAAATCAAAATTGGTTGAATTTTTTTATTTTTTCATATAGCAACTTGGTTTGATTGCAACTGCTAGATACAGTTTTAAATGGTGGAACTCGTTCTCTTTTCCATCGAGTTTTGGATTTGTCGGAGATGGTTATTCTAGTCAGTCTTAGTGAACAAACAATGGGTAGTGAATTTGAAAGTAGAGATGTCGTCTTCACACAACATGCCTTACCACCTTTGGTTTCTCTTCAAGTAAGGCACAACTTGCTATTGCTTGGTCTTGGTGTTTAACCTCGTTGTAATTTAGATCTTTTTCAAACGTATTTGTTGTTTGCCTGTGCAGAATATCGTCCGCGAAACGCCATCAAGAAACCAGAACCTGACAAAAGCACTGCTTCTTTATGATGATAGGTAAGTAGATTGATGATGATGTTCATGCTAGCTCATGTTCTGCTTCTAATATTTTTCGAGTATGATTCTTAGTTAGGTCTGATACTTGGCCACCGATGACAGTATCCGAAAAAGAGATCCTTAGATAGATTAGAAATTACAATCACCAATCGATCGCGAATTTGAATCTCACGTCATTCGACTTGGTCTTTGATGGCCATTTCGGATTCCGTTAGAATCCAAGTTCTTTAGCTAGATGATGATATACCCAGTTCTTTAGCTAGATGAGTTCTTTAGCTAGACATTTTTCTACCTCTCCATTGTTGAAAACAAGCAGACGAGATCGATTGTGTATGTTTCAGTATTCTGCTAGCATATAATTTTAATTCCTGTACCTCTTATTCGTTTCCTTGTGATTTCCCTCATTTCAGAAACCGTCTAAAGTTCTCGCTTCGCTTTCCTAACCCTGAAGCAAAACCCTCACTCTCCTTCATGGTTTTTTTGGGGAGCACTTGTATCACCCCAACGTTGAACATAACGTTGCCCTTGCCATATAGATACTTTTAGTTTTAAGTACAGAAACTACCTGTTCCTTGTCCTTGATGTTCCTTGTCCACCCTCACATCACACTTAAATACATTGATTTACTTACTACTTTCACTTCCTACTACTTTCACTTCCTTCCTACTTTCTTTTCCGAAATGGGTAATCGAAACTCTACTACGCGTGCTCCACAAGTGGACACGCGTGGCCAGGGCACAACACCTGTCCCCGCGGTGCAGGACCCACCAGTCGTGGCGACGGCTTCACCACCACCGGCACCGAGTGTTGCTGAGACAACGCCGAATGTGGAGGCAACTTCAACTGAGGGATCGTCTCCTGGCGGAGACCACGATTCGGTCAGCACAGAACAACAGGCCCGCGAGGAGGAGGAAGATCTGGTCGGGGTACCGGGTGCGCCTCTGCCTGCTACCTTCCGAATTTCGTTCAAGAGCTCGTTTAGGAGTTGTGCTGAGAGTGGCGCATCGCAGCGGCCCACTGCGACTCCAAATGAACAGCACGATGAAAACTGCGTCTGCGAGGCTGATGATGATGACCACTGTACCACAATAGAATTTTCTTCGGAAGATATGCGCTCGTGGGCAGATGAGCACAAAGAGGAAATTGAGCCCTATGTTGCGTGGGACGATGCACAGGACCGAATGAATTATGACTGGTGGGGCAGCAGAAACGTTTTTTGGGACACGTTTCGTCGCTATGTTGCCTCGCTTCTTGCGGAGCAAGATCACAAACTTCACGGGGGCCGCAAGCACTACGTCCCTTTTTCTCTCCTAGAATTCTACTATGCTGCCCCTGCGAGCAAGGAGTCCGTGGACAAAGAGAACAAGGAAAAAGATGGGAAAGCGGGCAGCGCGAGCACCCCGTCGTCGCCCGAACAAACGGAAGATCGAGATCCTTACAGCTCCACGCATGATGCAACTGGTACTCCAACTACACCGAGAGAACAGATGCAGCGAGAACTGGATCCTCGTCTTGTGTTTCCTGTTGAATATAAGCAATTACAAGATCGGCCTAGGTGGCGCGTAGACGCGCACGACTGTGGGAAACACCTCTACGCGGTAGGAACTCAGTCTCTCGCATATACTTTATACTTTGCTGGCTTGATGGATGAGCCATGCTGGGACAAGTACTTCGCGCGCTTCCTGGAATTGTACGAGGAGCACCACGTTGGAAAAAAAATACCTCGTCGAGTGCTTCATGAGTTGGAGGGCCTGTACGATTCGAAGGAGGTGGTGGAGTTGCGAGTCGTGGTTCGGGCAACGCAAACCCGTGACGTTTTGCACATGTGGAACCGGATGCACTTTAAGGCAAGTGGGTTCCCTCTGTTGCAAACAGCCTTGCTCGCCATGAGAATGGAGCGCGAGTACGAACCTGAGATTTTGCAGCGCGCTCTCGAGTGGGGACGCCGGGCGCCCGACGCGCTGCAAATGTTCAAGATGGTCGCGAGTGGGCCGTTTTTTGAGTACGGTCACGATCCAGGCGCGCGCCACTTCCTACAAGGCTTGCAGGTTGTCTTTGGTCCCAGTCCAAAGCGCTTTCGCGGTGCTCCCCAGTGGCTCATCGACGAGTGGAATGCGTGTCCGGAGGACCAGCAGTGGCACGAGGTGCTGACGTACGAAGAATTCCTGCGGGAGCTCGTGTATTTGATGAGCGAGAAAGACTTACAGATCCCTCGAAAGCGGGCCGCGGGCTATCTCTTTCTGGATCCTGCCATCGCTGACGAAAAATCCCTGAAAGACTTTTCCCTGCAAACACCAGTGCTTCTACTACTACTAGGATACATCAAGTCGGAGCCATTGATACATGATGTATGCGAGCGTCTGGATGAGATCCTCGAGAGGAACCCAGAGGAGGAGGACGCGAAGGAAGATGAAACGAATGCTTGAGCAACTTCTCCTTATTTTGAACTGAAACGTGATCTATTGCTGTCAGAAGATCATCAAGAATGGATACTGCTACCAGACGTATTTGGTTACTTCGGTAAATAAGGTTTTCGTACCTAGTAACCACGTGGTGCTGATGGTCAGATGTCTTATGTCCTTGCTGATTATATGTAAAAAAGTGAAGGAGGCAAGCACAATAAAAGATCCCATCAAGCACTAAAGCTGAACTACTATATCTCTATTTTGAGTTTTGTATAATCAAGGACAATGACGGTTGGTTTTTTTTCCGTCAAGCACTCTTTTCCGAGGGAAGAGATGTAGAAAATGGAATTGTAGATGCAAAATGACCGCAGTGTTATATATTATTTAAGGAGTTAGAAGTAGTTCGTAGTGGGAATGGAATTGCGGGAAAGTGAATGGTTGGATTGGGCAACTCCACCAACTCGTTCTTCAATTCACTGACATTTGCAAGTGCTTTCACAGTATCTTCGAACATCAAGTCCTGCTCAACAGGAATAAGCTCTCGACCATGAGTCTACTCACTCCAATCTTAAAACTGTATATATTTCGGACTTCTTTCGACAGATGTATTGTGTTCTCAAGGCTTTGTATAATATACGCATGTCTTTGTCGCGCTTGTGGAGATAATCGCGCTTTGTATCTGACAGACTAGCGAAAAATGACACTGGAGTTCGTAGCTTGCATGCAAATACATAGACAGAGGGAGGTAAGACGAGCTCTGCGAAACAGTTTCTTTCATTTAATTATAATTTCAGGTCCGTCTCAAGAAGAGTAAGAATCAATTCTCTCTCAGGATCCTATCACCGAGTTCCAAGAGACCCGACCCCCCACTGCGTTACCAATGCTTCTTCTTCTCCCGCAAACCACTTCAGATGTATTTCTGTGCTCGCTCCTCAACATGCTTCCGTCATCTGTTCTCCGCCTCAGTCACACTGTTTGCATGCATTGTGCACTCTGTGTCAGATTCTCTTCAACAGATACTCGCACTTAATATCATACTCTCTGCCGATCTACAACCGAACTGTCATATTTTAGAAAATTTAGATTTACATGTACTTAGATCGCTCCTCGTCCTTCATCGCGCCAAGCGCACGCTGCGTCGATCTCACCCAGCTCTACGCGCGGGACCTCCACACACAGAGGTGCCTTTGATGCAACAGCTCGAAGGATAGCAAAAAGAAAAATCCAAATTACTTATCTTCTAAATCCACGGAAATTCACTGGATACAGCATTGTTTTTGTTTACGATCACGTTCGCTAGCATTGTTATCTAGTTGGCAAATAGTGTGTTTACCGTGTGTGTGTGTGACAATGTGAAGTGGAAAAAGCGTCTTTAGTCTGTGTGATCAAGAAAAAGAGTAAGAATGAAACAAGATGTGGAAAAAACGAACTGCGAATTTTAAGACAGACTTCTACAAGAACGGCATGCATCACGTGTGTACTTTGTATTCTTCCGTGCTTCCTACTCACACGTCCGCCAGAATCGCAATTTCCTGTACAAATTTCAGTGCAAAAGAGCTACTAAGTGCCGAAAATAGAAACTCAACTAAATATTCCTTCCTGAAGTTTCCTCTGCCCAACAAGTACCACTAGCCTGAATCCCTAGTTCCCTCCCGCCGCATAAACGGCCTTGCTATCCTCCTTGGTGTACAGATCCACTTACTTTCCTCCCGCTGCAGAGACTGCCTCACCACTGCTGGTGTCGAAATCGGAGGCCACGGTTCCACAGTCGGCCTTGACACTCTCGGCATCCGTGGAGTTAGACTGCATCACTGCCTTAGATGTGTAGTCACCCAAAGTAGAAACCTCTCCAAGGATGCATGGCAACTGCCCACTCTCACACGGTGTCTTGATCTGTGTGTGAAGAGTCGTCAAAAATGGTGTGGAAGCGGATGATGGGACGAGATCTAAATTTTCTAAAGAGTCGCTTCTTCCGGTTTGAATCCATGGCTATCTAATTCTAAACCTATAAATGGAGACTTTCATCTACATTGAAGTTGTTGACCTTCAGAAAATCTAAATATTCTAAAAAATCTAAAGATACCAGATTCGTGCAGCACGTCTCCTCCATCTTATCCCAGGTGCACTTTGGTGCTGTCTCGACAGCCACGTCGTCCGATCTGCCTAGCTTGTTCTCACAAACCTGTGGAACGCATCCCACTTTCGTTGTGCGAGAGTTAGAACAGGGCAGGGATGTTGGGGTTGAGCTTATACTTGTGGTATTAATTGAAGATGTACTTGATGTGCTACTCTGCTGCAAATCTTTCTCCACCTAGTCGTTCCACATACCACATACAAACACTACTCTTCTCTCTTTTGTAAGCCGGGAAATTACGATCATCACGTACTTATTTGTTCTTAGATTCCCCTGTTCGTCATAACATCAATCCCCGGCACGTAGTATGGCGTGACCAGACCATGGAGATCCTCCTCACATTGCAAAGCCCACTCGTCCTGCTTGGACAGGGTAGTTTTCTGTTGTCGCAGTATGACAGCTGCGATGCCAGAGCAAGCCGCAGCACTCAAAAGAACCTTCATGGAACTCGCCATTTCTTCTGATCTTCAGTGGAGGTGCCTCCTGAAACTGGAGCAGGATCCTTCTAGTTTTTGTGCTGATAGTATTTTAAGTAACAGTGCTGGGACGAGTGTAGTATGATTGCGACCTTCATCTTCTGCGGGCAAATGCAAAATGTCAGAGTCGTGGATGCGGGCAAACGCAAAATGTCACTGAAAATTCTTCGACAGATGAATGTCTTGCGCACACACACAACAAGGTGGAAGAGCTTCACATCAACAGGATGTGCATTATGCAGTTTTTTTGGGTATTTTGCGTTGGTTGTACTTCTTCTGCGTATCTCGCATAAAACATGCTACCGCCACACGCTAGCACCACACACACAAAAATAGTCTTCTGAAGCAGATACAAAGGCTACTGAATATGATGAAACTTCAATCACTAGATTTTCAGCACGTCGAAGATGAAGCGAGAAAATTAAAATCATATCAGCATTCCAGCCTAGTAGTACAGCAAAGAACGGTCGTGCAAAGTAAGAGTAACGAAAAAATTAACATTCTTTCCTGGTGTTAAATATATCCTAGTAACATTGTGCACTCCCAAACAAGAAAATTCCTGCCACTTTCCTCTATCTTATGGTCTATATCATCAAACACACACACACACAACTGCGACATCAAAGTACTTATTTACACCATCAAAAACGGTTCATCGCATCTCAGCTTTGTGAAGGAGAAGATAAAACACACATTGTCGAACCGCTTGCCATCGAAGAGACTGAGATCCGGGATCTTCAGCAATTCACATGCCCCCCAAAAAAGATCCGTCTCCAATCGGGTTAGCTGGCTTTAGAGGCAAGAAGACACTATGACGGACTATGAAGTTTCTTCAATGTGCTCCCACTTGCTTCTACTTAGAATTTCTGGTGCCAGTAAGTAGGCGAACCACCACTCTACATTTACGGGAGGCCTCCCGCTATTCTATTCTGTGCATCCCTAATAGGTTTGCAGCACCTACCAGCTCTTTCTACTACACTGAAAAACAAGAACCAGCTCTTTCTACTACACTGAAAAACAAGAGCCAGCTCTTTCTACTACACTGAAAAACAAGAACCATTCTTGCTCTTTCTACTACACTGAAAAACAAGAACCATTGTCATCAGCACCCTTCTATTTGTGTCATAATTGTAGTTCTCCGCACTGGCTTGGATGAACGTGTTCCCAAAAAGTCCATTAACCCAGGGATGATACCGTTGCATGCCGTCTCGACACCGTAAAGACCGGGAGATGAGACCGGAGATTAGAAAGTAGAAGATGATATGAAGTCGACCGGCATGTTGGATTAAAAAGTTTCTAGAAGATGATATGAAGACCGGCATCTTGGATCAAAAAGGAGACTATTGTTTAAGTAGTTCAAGGCGGCTGCGCCTGCTGTCTCTTTGAACGAAGTCTAAGTACTTGCGATAAAATTGAAAACGTACTACTTCTTGCGGCTCACACTACTTCTTCTACAGGTTTAATACAAAGCAGAGCCTGAAAAATCTGAAAACTTGAACACTACACTCACTGGTTCCGCCATACCATCAACAGTTCTCGAAAGTAGCCTCTGCAAGTCACCTCCCCATTATCGAACCACTGTGTTTGCGCCCCCAGAGCGCAGGTGTGATACAGTTCGTGGTAGCTGTCTCCGTAGAAGAGGAGAGGCCCATGGTTTGAGCGACTTCGGAAAAAGCGATTCAACAATAGAGAGATATGATTCCTCTGTGCGTGGGCTGTGATGTCGAGCCGATCCTGGTAGTAGTTCTCTTGTGGGGGCCGCTCTGGAGATGTCTCGTTTGTTGTTGTACCTCCAAGATGATGTTCCACTGATGGGGAGATGTCATCAGGCAAAACTCTTCGCAGTTTTACTTGTTCGGGACTCTGATTAGAGGTAGGTCTTTGGTGTTCGTGCCTTCTCCCGCTTGTTATGGCTGTCCCCCGGATGTAAGGGTGAGAGCCATAACAAACGGTTGTCACAAAAGCACCTTTGACCTATCGCCCTTAATCTTAGTACTGCTTGGCAGAAGTTTGTTGTTTGAATCTGGTATATGTGAGACTGAGAGGGAGTCTACTCCCTTTATTGTTGTACTAGTGAGTTAGAGGTTGCCGAATTGCATTCTTCAGAACATCCTGGGCCTATTTTCTCGTTGAAAAGGAGCCAAGGATGGTAGTGAGGGATGTAATTCGGAAACCCTTAAGTGAGACTGCCAGCACTACCACGCCTGAGCGCCTTGCTCCCTCCGCCGTTTTGGTACAACAACAGCTTTCGTAGATGTTCAACTGACCGTCCCTGGTCCTCCTCTCCTGTCAACGACAGCCCTAAAAACTCATCATCCACGCTGCCTGTTTCTACAGTCGGCGGAGGTGTACTATAATTCCTGCTCAACGGAATATTCTTGGGAGATAATGATCCCTTGTTCCGTTCTTCACCTGAAGATTCAGCTCTCGAAGTCGAGGTCGCGGCTGGTGGTACGCTTTCATCTGTGCCAATTGCAAGACCATTTGCTGCACTCTCTGTTTCGTCCTCGTCTCCCGTGAAAGTGCTAACCGGATTGGGATACCATTTTTCTACGTGCATCTGCAGCTTTTCTAGAAGAGCAGTTCTTGGATTTTTACATGCTTCATCACCGTCCTCTAGCTCCACTACCTCTGATGGGGAGAAAAACCTCCTCCACTCCTTTTCCAAGTCCCCACTTGCGCGTCGCCACTTTAGCGACTCAAATCTCCGCCACCGCCTCAGTAGGGACTGGTCGAAATCCTTACGCCGATCTGTGGTGGAATTCCGAAGATGCAACTGCAATTCCTCGCTCCACACGCACTTGGCCTGAGTTTGCAATACCCGCTTAGCCTCTGACTCGACAGACTTTAGATGTTCGTTGCTGAAGGAAGCTGTACTTGTCGTGGTTGTTGCTGTGGCGCTTGACTTATTAGAGGTTGCTACAGTAGATCACGCTTAACTGTAGTTGTACACTTGTCGTCTAATCTTCACAGTAGATCACGCTTAACTTCTTGTTTCCCATCATGATTCAGAAAGAAGGCAAGAAGAGCGCAGAATGCAACTACTGGAACAAGATGGGGTGATGACTTGAATCTATTCGGCAAGAGCAAGTAGATGCCTAAGATTTGCCTGACGAGTGTGTGTTGAATAAACTGATGAAGTGACCAGCTAATAAAATAAGTGTTTGTGTTGATCATAAAGTGACAGCTTAATAAGTGTTGATAAACCTTTACCTTAAAAATTCTTGATGTACTCGAACTCGCTGTCCCATCAGGTCTCATCATGTGACCCCGTTCTTCGCCTATCGCAACGTCTGTATCCTCAAACCGAATCTCCTCGTTCACCTCAGCCGCTAGCTTGTTTCTAGTAGAACCCTGGGTCTTGCCGCTTCCTCCAGAAGTTGTTTTACCCGGTCGTGGTTCCTGATCCAACAACTGCATCTTCTATGAAACGAAAATCTGTTATCATTATCAAGTTTCTTATAAGTAGAAAAGTACGATAATGATAAGAGATTTTGGTTCCATATCTTCCCATTCTTATTTCTATTAGAGGTAGGTTTTTGGTGCTCGCTTACCCCGCTTGTTACTTATGCCTTTCTCATCTTCTCCCTAAGGGAGAGTGAGAGAGGCATAAAAAGCGGTAAGAAAAGCACCTTTAACCTACCCTTAATTCTAGGCGGATCGAGCATGTGATTGAAGATTTTTTCCCTCACTCGGAACTTTTCGCAGACTCGCGTCGTAGCCCAATCGAACCGGTAAACTGGCGCCCGATGGTATAACAACGTGTTCAACAGATGAAGCTCGAGATTGTACACTTCGTAAACGGCGACATATGAGAGGGAAGCAATCAATGTTCCGCAAATAAACGCTATAAATGTTGATGTAAGTGATCATTCATGTTATTAACAGTGATCATCTTAAAAGCCATAAAAAGCACATGTTATTAACAGTGATCATGTTAAAAGCTGGACAGTAAGTGATCATGTTATTAACAGTGACATAAAAGCTGCACAGCTCTGATGTGTACTTCTAGGTATGACTATGACGGAAAGGCCAGCTGCAAAAAGACCGCTTCTCATAACAGCTGCAAAAAGATCTGGAACTTCTTGTCGTTGAACGCCGTCAATCGATTAAAGGTCAGAGCGTTGGAGTGCTCGCGATGGCATATCCCGTACCAGTCCATAAGGCCCATCGCGTCCGCGGCATCGAAGGGCAGAAAACAAGCTTTATTCGAATATCTCAAACCTGCAACTCTAGTTATCGAGGAATCCTCAAGCTGTAGGGACTTCTCGGCCCCATTAGTTGTATGGGCCGCTTGTTCCTGTAACCTGTGTACTGGTGTAGTAGTTGAAGATGATGGGAACAATAGTCTCAGCCCTTTGTCTTCTTGGTCCTTGCCAGGCAGTTCTACAACTGCGTCTTTCCCACTACTTTCATCACCGACCGACGTCGCCCCAAGAAGTCTATCTTCCACAGCTCCCACTATGTTCCACGCTGTACTTCTCAACAGTTCCGACAGTCTGCGTACTTGCACTCTAGCACGAAACAGCCACAGTGGTTCTAGAGGACGTGCTCCGTCGTTGCCTCCTTCTCGAAGTAAAGCAGGGATGTACCCCGAGGAGTCCGCTGAACCCGGGGGTTCAGAAATACTGTCACTCATTTCTGAGTCTATAGAAGAAGATCTGTCACTCATTTCTGAGTCTATAGGAGATTCGGCTTGTGTAGTCACCCTACTAAGCAATTCCTCACCAGAAGCTGTTGTCATCAGTTTAAGTGCTGGAGCAGTCTTGTCTTCTTCCGTTCCATCTTCAACATCTTTTTCTTTCGAATCTTTGAAAATCTCCTTGTTCTCCTCCTCCTCTTGTGTTGAGGTCTTCATCTGTTTTCCAGCTCCACCTGGAACTACTTTGGGATCCCCCTGCTGTCCTGGAGGCAATTCCTGGAGAACTCTCAGGTCCTCGACTCTTGGATGCGGAGTGAGCCAAAGCAAGTCTAATCGACCCAGACCTAAAAAATCGTACTGTCTCGAAGAAGCAACCCTGTTTCTGTGTCTCGAAGTTTGTTTATCTTTATTCTCCTCAGTCACAAGAACCCTGTTTCTGTTCTTCGCAGCAGTGCTGATTGTGCCTCCTGGTCCCCCAGTAGAGTCAGAAGCTTCTGCTCCTTCTTCTTGGTCTACTCGTCCACTACTTGTTTTCACAGCTTCTCCCACAAGCCCTCTTCTTTCTGCCTCTTCAAATAGCAAGCCGCAGAAGTAACTGTCGGCCAACTGAAAGCCGCCATTCCAAGGGATCGTTATCGTCGCATTCTCTTCGTTCAAAAACGCCGACAACTCCGTATGCAATGTGTGCTCCCTCATTTTGTAGATGTTCTGCAAGGATGTCTGTATACGTGATGTGATGTTCTTGTTGTGGATCATTTCATTGCTCATTTCAGTGTAGTTCTGGTTGTTCTCGTCTAAGAGATTCGCCTCCTCGTCCTGCTGCTCTTGTTCCTTGGATTTGGTTAGGTTAGGTTGTGGATCCTGCACAACGAGCCCCACTGGCACCTGCTCGCCTCCGAGGATGATGGGTGACCTAGGTAACACGTACATTCCCACTCTCGTATCTACCCACCGCACCCCTTCTTGGACATTCAACAGTTCCTTCACCAGAAACTGTGCCAGTTTCTGTGCTAAAGGAAGCGAAACATGCTTGAAGTACTCGCCAGGACGCACACTAGCTCTGTCATAGACGTTCAATCGAGCCTGGAACTCACGTTCAACCTCGATTTGCAGTAATTTTTCAGCAAATTGAATAGCTCTGTCGACTATCCGTTGGGACACTGTCGCTCCTGTAGCTTCTCCTGGTGCGTAGTTGTCAGTATGCGTTTCCTCTGTACTACTGGAAGGAGACATAATAGAAGTTGTAGAAGAAGTAGAAGAAATTTCCGTCACTACTACTTGTTCAGAAGATGTCGTCCCGCTTCTACCATCCTTCGGAAAAGTCGTTCCTGTAGCTTCTCCTGGTGCGTAGAAGTTGTCCTTCGAAAATGCCACTTCTGCTATTTCCATCAGAACCCGTAGCCAGATAGGGATATGCTTGGCTCTACTTCCCTTTTCTGTAGAGGTGCTAGGATCAACTTCAGCACCAGTTGCGGCTAGTCGTGTTTGGCTTTCTTTTTCAGCGACGGCGTCCTTCACTTGGGCATTGCTTAGAATAGTGTCATTAGTCCTTCGCTTAGAATAGTGTCATTAGTCCTTCGCATCATGGTAGAAAAGTTCAAGGTTCAAGGTTGAGGGTCCGCGGCTCTACGGCCATGCCGTGTTGTCCGGGACGAAACAGGCTCGAGTAGAAAAGTTCTTTAGGCTAAAAACTTTACACAGAAAAATCTTTTCATAAATCAAAATACCAATGTTCATCCTCGTAGTCATGCTCTTTAAGTTTTAGGCTTATGATGGTGGGAATCTATTCGGCAATCTGCCTAAGATTTCCCAGACTGGAGTTTTAGTTATATTTGTGGTGGAGCACACCTAACTAGGAAACAAAAATACAAAAGAATCAAGTAATCCAAAAATACAAAAGAATGAAGTTTTAGTCATATTATAAATGACCTTTGTTCATAAATCAAAATACCAGTCGTAGTCCTGTGGTGCGTAGTCTGCCTTACTATCCTCAACCAAAACGTGGCCAAAGCCTTCTTTTAGGATCAACTGTCCACTCCCATCGTCCCACGCAGTCCCATAAGGCGTATGGGACGGCATGCCAAGAGTCCGCTTTCGCATCACGTGTCGCACTAGGATGGCGGCGAATCTGGTTTTTTTTTGAAGTTGAATAGAAATTACTTAATCATGTTGGAGTCATGGAGCTAGTGTAGGTACAGCATGCAGCTGGGTGGAGAGATTACCACAGGTCTTCATCGAGGTTCATCTTCATCTTATTTAGGTTGAAAATTCCTTGCTCCAACAATTCATATAATAACGAACAACCGACAACATGTATCTCCTGTGTCAACATGATTGATGTCAAACTGAAAAAATTCAAATACACCTCCCAGGCGGCAGGGGCAATCCCCCGAGTATCGACATATGTCCTCTAGGTCCGCCCACTGGATACAGCCTTTCACGCGCTTTCTCAGGTCGCCACCCGTACATGATTCGACCTAGGCTCGCCTCAAAGACCTTGCGAAAGCCACCTCCAGTGAAACGATGGAAAAAATCCAGCAAAGTGTGAGCTGTCGTGATGGACTCGAGAGTGAAGATACGGAAAGTTTTTGAAGAACTTGTCCTTCTCGCTTCTTGTTCTTCACCGCCAGGACCTTCTTTCCCAAAGAAATCCCCCTCCTTCGTCGTTTCCAACCGCACCACCTCTTGTTAGAGGTATCGGAAATTCATCTCGGGGAACATCTTCTGGGCCTTGGTATTTCCTCTCTTGGTATTTTCTCTCTCTCAGATGACTCTGATGACTCCTAATTTGGAGAGATGATGAATTCCCTACACCCATAATCCTGCGAACAATGGTATTTCCGCGTTTGTGCCCATAGCCGATCTCTTTCGCCCTCCATCGGTGGAATCAAGCTGACCCCTTGTCCCTCCCACCATGTTGAAGAGCTCCCCGAAGCTGAAGATCCTTCCTCAACTTCTTCCACGCACTCGTGTCCATTTTTGACGAAGCCGTCCAGGATCAAGTCTGGTCTTGGGGAAACCAGAAACAAATCCGCATTGTTCAGGGGCTCGATCAGGTTGGAGACCAAAAAACTCGTCACGTTCAAGGGCCTTTGGACATGCCCGATCAAACACACACCAGTTCGCAAGTCCATCTTCATCTCCTTGTTGTATGGAAAGAGAGGACGGAGAGAGACCACGAGGACGCGTGGAGGACGAGGACTTTTCTGGTGCGGTTACAGACCAGGAGTGTGATCATGTACTACGTGGCCCGTCATGCTTCTGGTGATTTGACTCTATTCGGCACGATGCCTAAGATTTCCCTGACGAGGTCCGCCATGCTTCTACTTGCCGGTAAAATGACGGATGTGTCCGACGACCACACCACCATATTGAGGCCGAGCACCGACTTAGGTCCCTTCTGGTTTTTGCCTCAATCTGGTAGACCTGCGAAGAATTCCGCCAGTTATTTCGCTTGCACTTCTCTTCGTTCTGCACTCGAATAGGCCTTTTTCCCTCGTTCTCTCTCTCTCCATGTCTCACTCTCACCATTCTTTCGCCATTCCAGCAAAAGGAATAAAGATTGTGTGAACAGCATCTCCCAAGGTCAGCGCATCTGAGCGGTAGAGGTGGAGGATTCATCCTCCACAGTGATTGCGTATTTCTCACTTGTTCTCAAGAAAGGTAGTTCCTTCTTTGTGTAGCAATGCATGTGTGCTATAGTTCTCTGCAGGTTTTCTGGAGGAAAGATATAGAACAACACACGAAAACTCTTAGTCATGATCTCACCTCCGCCAACCCTCAGTCTACTTTACTGTACTCACCTTCCCGTGTCTTATATTCATCCTCATTCGTATGATATTCATCCCCATTCGTTCTCAACATGTCAGAGCCTCCACCACCAGGCTGCGTGATCACTGTGGTTGTATAGCCTGTAGAATTAGAGCTCGCCCTAATCTTCCATCTTTCTTAGGATAGTAAGTACATCCGGGGCGTCTTTTTCCGTTGAAATTGAAATAAACCCCTCTCAGAATGTCTAACAAGATGGATTAGGGGAACAAGCCGTAATAGAAGAAGTACTCCCAGGAGGTTGCGCAATAATTGTTGGAGCTCTTCCTCCCGTCGTGGTAGCTTGCGTGCTGCCAACTGGTGCCAGTGCGAGCGGCTGTACATACTGAGCGCTAGGAACCAGATATTGTTGACCTGGCGCATAGACTGGTTGATGCTGACCTGGAGTGTACACTTGCTGTTGTGATGAAACCTGGTTCATTCCTTGGTTCATCCCGTTGCCAAGAGCTGCTCCTGGCTCAAGAACTCACATTAGAAGCAAACTTAAAAAATCTGAAAAAACTAGCTGAATGGCGATTTGTAGATGTCTAATTGTAGATGATACTTACTCTAATAATGATAGCCTTAACATCACCATATGACCTCCGCTCAGCGGAACCCTAACCCAGATTCTTGCCTGCACATGCTTGTTGCCTGGGTGCCAGCCGACTTCTTGGATAGCTGTAGGGACCTTCCAAATTCGAGACAGCTCTTCTTTGATCTGAGAGTTCGTGCTGCGTCAGGAGATGTTCTTCGTCTTTGATACTACACGCAATACTGATGACGGGAGTCTATTGTTCGGCAATCTGCCTAAGATTTCCCTGACGAGAGCAATACTGTCCTAGACCAAGAACTTCCACCAATACTAATCTAGACAAACAACCCCTATGCACTCAACAAACTTGTGAATGAGTCTTGATTACTTATTAACATGTGAAGATCAAGATTATTAGAATTTCACGTTGTTTCAATACCTGTTGTGCAACCCGGGTTTTCGATTGTTCGTGACGCCAATAGATGAAAACCGCAAAGAAAATGGGCCACATTCCTAAGAAATTAGAGTCTTTGTACGAGTACATGTGCAATTGCCAATTGGTCGTTTGCCTACAAGTGCTCTTGAATCAGAAGAGCGAAAGCGCGTGCTGGTAACTGAAGACTCGTCATCGCGCGTGAAAGTATCGGAGGACAATCACATCAGTATCGATATTAAAATTCTAAAAAAATTGACCTCTTCTCGATCTTTCTCATAAAGATCACTTTTGCTGCTCCATCGTTCTCTCCTCCTCCAGTATTTTCGCTGTCACCCAACCGAAAGGTGAAGTGCGGGAGTAGGACCAATAGTATCATAATCCCAATCCATCTACCACTGAGGAAGGCTGTTTAGAGGTGGTGACGGTGTTGAGGCGATGTGGTAGTTGGAAAAACTTGTTCGATATTGAGTGTGCAAAGGGGATTATCACCTGGTTTCCGGAAACGAGGTAGAAATATTTACACTGCAGAAGACTACCTCAACAATTAGCTCGTCCCAACTGCATACAATAGATGTTGCTGCAAGATCATCTACTGATGCCAGTAACTCCCATAAAATAGATGTTGCCGCAGTATCTGATTCACGTTTCGCAGTCCTTCTTCGTACTCGGGTAGGCTTAGGACTTGCTGTAGCCTCATATCCATCGGCTGCTCTGGTGGCAGCTGGATAATTTAACGCGAGACCGGTAGAGTGAGTCACCTAAAAATTAAGGGCTAGACCTGGAAGGAGAACTCACTCAAGATACCTCACAGCTTACCCCCAGACTCAGGCTACCTCTCACCTGAGGTCACTCAGGAGAAAAAGTACTTCATTAATATACCAGATTATACGTAGTTACGAAACGAAAATCTGTTATCATTATCAAGTTTCTGAAGAAGAAAAGCATGATAATGATAACAGATTTTCTTTCCATAAGAGTGAGAGTCCTCTAGTCCTAAATTACAGGTGCCTGCCCCAGGCTCTGACATTGTCCGCCTCCAGAACAGCCTTTGGTCTGCATGATATAGACGACATCCGGACCAGAAGGCACCGTTGCGCAGGAGGCTCCCACACCCATCTGTTCGATTGTGATTGTTTTTTAGTTCTTCGATTAATGACGACGATGTTAGTCGATTAATTCATTCATTCATTCATTTACCTAGCAAGAGGTCGCTCACAGGGTGATGATGATGATGATGAGTGAATGAATGTGCCTAGCGCGAGGTGGTGCAAGTTGTGTTTGATGAAGATGATGATGTTAGCTCTTCCTTCGATCAGTAAGGGATTATAAGAATATCTTCACGAAGATGATATTATGAAGGATGATAGCTGGGTATCTATTCTCATTTACGTGGTCTTTAGGTAGATCCGCTTTTGAAAGTAGATCCGCTTTGGAAAAGAGAGAAGAAAATTCTTCAAACTTCTTTGCAGAAGTGTTCTAATAACTTAACTTTCTTTATACAGTGAAAGCCGATGACGGACTCTTACTCTCAGCACTCCGAAACCGAAAGACACCACCTCCACATTCCTGAAGATGACTGATAAAACGACTCCACCTTCAAACCGAGCGACAAGCGGTCTTAATCGAGAAGATCACAAACCGAAAGACACACTGTAATATGGCATCTACAAACGTAGGAGAACGAGGGGCCACTTGCTTGCGGCAGATGAAAACCGATCCCCAAGGACAGCTCATCTGTCCTTGAGGGTTTAGATATAATAAGTACCTTCATTGACGATGCGCATTCTTGCCTCTTCACTATCATCCCTTCAAGATAGGTTGGACATTTTGGACTTAATTTAGATGGAAGTTAATTCAAGCTGCTTAGATGGAAGTTAATTCAAGGTGGTCACGGTCGATACCTCAGCAGTGCAGCTTCAGCAAGTCTTTATGAGGCACAACTGTGTAAAAATCAGGCTTAGAATCATGCGAATTATGTGTAAAGATCATCCTCGCTCAGAATGTTCGACAAGCTTTGAAGCATACTATACCACAAGCGAGATAGAACATGCGAGATAGAGCACGCACACCCAGTATCATCAAAAGTACGTGACACGGAAATTAAGTCGTGACGTGTTGTAGTGATCACAAGACACATGGAAAGGATACATGAAGTGTTGGAAAAATCACAAGGAAATATTGAAGTCGTGACGTGTTGTCGAGCTTGAGGACTCCTTCTGTGATGTCCGATTATTCATGCTTGAATTTACTAGAACCGGCGTTGGCCGCAAAGTTCCGACGATGAACCCGTTAAAGAACGCGAGATGACTGTGCTCGATTAGTAGTGCCTCATCCAGCAACGCCTCGATCACATCGTCTGAAGCATGACCATCTCTGCTCTCGGACTTACTTGTACTTTTCTGGTGAAAAAGACAGGGAAGCAGTACTATGCCTTCTTCTGGCACTCGCATTAGAGCTAGTAGCCTTAATTGAAGCGAGTAGCCTCAATTGAAGCTCATCGTGACTGAGCGATGCTTTTGTTGCTTCCACCAGACTCTGTGTAATACTCCTTACTGGTTCTACAAATAATATCCTGCTTCTCTACACATCAATCGTTCGGCAATATCCCTGAGTGACATTCCGGGGATCGCTTCTGCTTGCCGACGCATCCGCGCAAGAAAAGCAAAACAACCATCTTTAAATGATTGCCTATCTTCTCCTAGTGCCTTTCTTGGTGCATTGGGCAACTTTGCATGCTTAGAACATGAGGACTTTGCGCATTTACCAGGTAAGCCAGAAGTAGTTCCTTGTTCTCCTTTGTTTTCTTTTAAATAGTATCTATACGCACTGGATTGAAAATCGTTGAGACGTTCATCTAGATCAGGTATCCCATTAAGCTGCTGCCTGTAGCAGAAAGAAAAATCTTCGAGATCGACATCGAGTCGTCCTTCATTAGAGCATTCATGGACACGCAGACTCCTTCGAAAACAAGTGAGGCGTATTGTTCTTGAGCCACTTCAGTCTCTCTTTTCCCGACAAATGATGGCGGTCCTCTTTATCTTCTTGAGCGTCTACTTCGGTAACAGCTTGGGGAACAGAAGCGACTTGCTCAGGAGACGAGGGAGACCCGTGGATGACGTCTTCAGGAGACTGATCTTCGACATCAGATGAAGGGCTTCGGGTCGCCCTCGCATATGCCCTGCGCAAAAGTATTTCCTTCTTCTGTAGCTCCTTTGCTCGTATTTGCGCTTCCCTTGCTAGTCGAGCACGGTTCCTCTGTTCGACTTCTGGCCAATAATTTCCTTGCTTTTTCTGGCTTTTTTGCTCCTCTTTCTTCTTCTTGTCTGGTTCTGCCTCAGGGAGAATGTCCTCTGCAGTTGTCCCATCTCCCGGAAATGGTACAAGATCCTGGAGGTCTGATATCAGCATCCGTAATGCCACAGGGGCAAGTCCGTTGCCCACTTTGTTCGTAAGGATGGGCCTTAGACTCTCTGGTATTTTTTGCGACAATCGCAATTGTTCTGAATGCGAGCCAGCAGACCCAGAAAATCGTTGCTGTGGAGGTTCTTGTCCGTTGTCCCGACTAGAACCACCTACTGCAGCACCAGAACCACCTCCTTCTGTCCGAGAACAGCCTCCTGCTCCTGATGGGGTATCAGCTCGAGGACGAGCTCCTAATACTAATGATCCGCTAAAGATGAATCCTGCCCACAGCACCAGACTGGCCTTACGAGCAGCCAGCTTGTTGCGAAAAGAGGAGCTGCGAGACGACGGTGCATACATCATTGTTCTCTGCATTGCCATTTTTACAACTTACTAGGACGATAACGAAAAAGGTAATGCACAATATTTTGTAGAAGGGGTATACGAAGGGTATCCGAAGATAAAGATTGTGATCGATATAGATCTAGATGTTAATATAGCTTCAATATCACAAGTACAGGCGGAGGTTGGTAGACGTGTCAGCGAAACTGTCACTTTTATTTTTCGTTCTTTAAGGTCAAATAGTATATTTTTCGAATTCGATAATTACCAATCCTATTCCGAGTAAATAAGATTTTGTAGTGAAAAATTTGAATACCTTGATGTACTTGACGAACTTGTGGCTAGTTGTTAGTTGGTATATTAGCAATCATAATCCTTCCGATCAATACTTAATCACCTAAACGGCCTACTTTCTCTTGTTCTCAAAGAATTCTGATGTAACTTTTTAGTGTTCCAATGCAATCTATTTTTGAGTTGTTTCCTTTTTGACAGTCCTTACTGCGTGAGTAACAAGAAAATTCTTTTCATTCCTGAGGCAACTAGTAATGCAACGAGAGCTACTTATATATTTATAAGAGTGGTGGAGCCAACCTTAGTAGGAGAAGACCGACTGAGTTCTTATAAGTAAATTATAGTATATATAACCTAATGTCAAACTCCTATCTTCTACTCCTACTTAACTATGATGCTTTGAATCGATATCCTTTGAATCAGTTCGGCAACGGTACAGAACAATTTTCGCTGTAGTGGTAAGTCAACGCTCGGCGCATGAGTGCTTCGTACGTAAAATTCAGTGCGACGATTTGTGTGCTGTAAGAACTAGCTAAGTAATCTTCAGGAAGATGATCCCAAGTTTTTTTGTTTCAAAGCCTGAGGTAAAGATTTGTAATGTCATGATGAGTGTGGATCTAAATAAATACGGAAATACTATATGAGTCAGTGGGAAGATGTGTGCGAAGATGAAATAGAGAAAAAGCACAAGTGGGAGTACCACTCAGAGGGTTTGAGTTCTCAAGGTGAGGCTTTTTTAAGGCTGTCGCAACCTATGATCTTCAGTTTACAGCTAGCTGCAGACGTCCTAGTATAGTTCTTGGATCTTTACTCTTTACTTGCTGTTCTTGGGACATTTGGGATCTGACCTCTAGGATGATCTGCTCTCTAGGACCTGTTGTTCTTGGTTAGGATCTGTTGTTGGTCACATCTCTCGAAAACTAGGATCATAGCAGTGTTGGATCTATGAAGATCAGATCCTTGGGTCTATTGTCAAGGATCCATCCCCTTGCTTTGATCTTTTGAAGCGCATAGCACATGATTCGAGCGACGTCGGGATACCTCTAGTAGGGATGACGCATCGTGGCCTCCCTTTCTTACGAGCGGCGTAGTGACGATCGGCCTCGCGCTTCCATTAGACGCATTCATCACGACGGCACGAGGCCTGTTATAACATGAGCAGAAGTATCAGCTTTTCAGAGAGTAGAAATTGGTTTTTCAAATCATGCAACACACACGTTTTTTTTTGTTTTTGTTGACATTATAACAAACATGGCTTTTAGTAACACCGCCTCGGTGTTTTTTTCTTCAATAAACGCGATGTGCGAAGTAAGCATGATGCTGATACCAAGTTACGTCATACTTGTTCTCTCGTAATTTTTTGTTACTTCATAGCAACTATCATCGTCTCTTCGAGGCTCAGGAGCTACATACTCATACGCCGCCCGAGCTAAGAAGTATCAGAAATATTCAACAGGGTGTAAAAGAAAAAGTGTAGCCTTAAGAAGCATTCCATCCGGCATGCGCTTCTTTCCTCTCGCCACCTAGCCTTAATTCAACGCTCCCTCACATGCATCACGACGAGCATGCTTGTACTTCGCTTAGAGGTAACTGCGTCTCTAGCTCGCATATCTATGGCTTTGCTACTTGAAGAAGCCATAGAGATGCTCTTAGATGATAGGTCAACTTTCAACCCTGCTTAGTTCTCTTCTGCTTGTTCCCTTAATGCAGCGTGGTATTGGAATGCGTCGCAACTAGATGAACTAATTAAATATTTGACGACGATATGGTGTTTTTTGAGTAGATGGTACAACAAGCAGCCAATCTGGAAGTGGTCTGGAATTGATCAGATTCTTCTCCTCCAGGCGATGTGATGCATCCACTTCCACTACACTGTGATGTACAAGAAGCTCGCGAAGATCATCTTTGTGAAGATCGTCCTTGTGAAGGGAAACGCAAGCTTGGATGACTTCGTTTTCCGGCGAAAAATTCCGACTTCGGAATCCGCTTTTTTGACGTAGTAGGAATACACAAATGCTGAAAATATCTAGTGCTTTTACACGTTGTAACCAATGCCGAATCTTCGATCGAGCTAGTGCTTTTACACCCTGAGGTAAGGACCCTGTACTCCTATACGCGCGCACACGGTACTAGAGGTCGGAAATAAATTCTTGAATCAAAGTAGTACGTGTCATTTTCACCGACATCAACATTGGTACTTGTGATACCAGACGCACACTTTAGAGCTAGATGATCATGCGCGAGAAACCTCCAAATCCATGATCGGTGCTTTCACCGACTATAAGGTGGAACAAGAATAGCGTTTTCACATGCTCCCGTGGATTGTGCTAGGACAACTGCTGATGCTGCCATTTTGTCCCGTGGGACAACTGCTTTTTGCTTTTCGTTTACCTTTGAATTTCCTTGATGAAATGAACTAATCAGGAAAAACAACATAAACGGTTTGGAAAAAAAGAATTGTTCACAACGAGCTTGACTAGAAGTGCGTTTTTTAGACAACTTTTTTTTTTCATATAATTGGAGGATATATTGAGGTTTATTCTTCCAGGACCTGGAGGAGATTCATCAAGTAGGAGCTCGTAATCTTCGTACCAAATCCTATTTTAGATAGATGAAAAAGAGACACCTCTTGGAGCTTCTTCTAGGTGTAGGAGGAACAAGATGAAAAACAGGCATTCACGGTTCTCGATATCCATTATTTTCTTGCCACAACATGAATGACGTACAGGTACAACCTCGATGATTGATGCAATATTGGGGTACATTTTCGTCAGACCTCATAATAGATACTGCTAAGAAATAAGTCATTGACTTACTTGTAGAAGATACTTATAGATCGAAGTAGACGTGATCGCGAGTCCTGAGCTAAACGCGAAGATTACACCTCTACCATCGGTTACCAAGAATGCTTCGAACAAGTGACTTCTACTTTACTCCTTCTGACATACGTTTTACCTTACTTATCAATGTCTACTTCTAGTGGATTTTCTTGTGTAAGTAATACAACCCTTCTAGATCATCTGAAGATGCTCCTTTTTCTATTTGTCTTCTTTAGATAAGTAAGTAGGTGACAGGCACTTTTTTTACTGTTTAGAGGATCCAAAGACTTTCACCGCAGATGGTCAAGTGGATATGCTCATTGTGCAAGATCTAAGTCTAAGAGAACAACGAAAAACTTCTTTTTATAAAAATCGGTAGGTAAAAATAGTAACTTCTATCAGTATGTACGTCCTAAAACTAAAAGGAAGTGATATCCGTATAGAAGCCACGGGCGTGCTTACTCATTCAAGTTACTCATACAGCTGCATACGATAACGACATTTTCTTCTTGCATCTTCGAGTGTGTGACCACTTTCTCTTGAAAAAATACTTAATGCTAAGCATTATCATCGAAATGCAACTTATTCTTACTCAAATACTAGATACTGAAGACCAAGACGAACAAGAATGGCATAAAAAATCTTCCTGCTGCTGTTTTCCATTAGCACGCGAAGAAGAATATCTCCTCCTCTTTCTTACATTTCATTTCATGCCTGTGCTCGAAAAGCATAAGCGATCTCCTCCGCATAATTCTCATGTATATCATGTTTCAAGCCTCTCCTCCTGAAGCATGACAGGCCACTTGCTTACGTTCCCAGCACGATGCTTGTTCGTCATCTCGACCTGAGAATTACCTTAGGCATACGCCACTTGTTGCGTAGTTCCTACAATCACTTCTTCGTCGTCGTCCTCTTCGATAACGGTGGGGAGCATGAACCAAGTAAACAGGATGTGGAAGCAGCACCCGACCATTCCGAGGACACCCCAGATGTCCACCAACACAGCCGGTCCGATGGCCACGCCGCCAATGTTGCATGCCTTTGTCACAGAAATCAACCTCGATGCGCTCAGAGAGCCAGCCATGATGATCAGAATGTTCAGCAGAAAGGTCATCGTAACAACACCGGGAGAGAACTTGCGCAAATCGAGATCCTGTAGTTTGTGAAGATAAGCTTTTGATCCTTAGATAGTCAAGAATCTTATTTGCATGAGATGAAAAGAATCCTCATACAGGACAGAAACGAGTGCAGCGAGAGGACATTTTTCCTTTTTTTCCTTTTTGGTGTTGTTTGTGTTTAAGACCCTAAACGTGTGGAGAAGGTGTTTCTCTTTGTGTGCTGTTCGGAACTACCGAGACGGTGCCTAGTTCTTCATTTCTAATATTAATTAACAAGTATTAAGTACCCTGCGTCCGATCTCGGTGCATCGTGCGACGCTGGTGCAGAAGAGAATCAAGGCCAGGACGATCAACAGGGTCAGAGAGCTGCTGAAAAAGTTGGCAGAGCAGCACTTGATGATCCCACGAAACGCGTCATAGAATGGACCGCTCGGCAGAGTCGCTAGGCGATTCTGCGCTTGTCCGACCTGAGCGGCAAGTTCCAAATTTTTGGTCGTCAATTCGCGCTGTTGCGTTTGTTCGATTCCCTCCCCAAAGAAGTGCTTGACAGAGCTCTCGAGTTCATGCGGCATTCCGGTGGTGTCTTTCCAGAGCCCAAACGGTCCGGACATGAAGTGGACCACAACATAGACCCAGCCGCCACCAAACGAGCCGTCCACTCCGCCAGTGAAACTGGTGTAGATTAGACGAGCTTACATATACTTATTTTTAGATAAAAATGGATGAGTGAAGAATGAATGTACCCACTCCATATGGGGTACAACATTGCATTGCAGCATCTCTATCTTCTGAATATTCGAAAGCAGGTCTCGCAGTATCCCTATCTTCTGAATCAATATTCGAAAAACTTCTCTGAAGTAACCGAGTAACTACTGAAAATAAGGAAGATACTGAATATGAAATAGAATTTGAAATAATTATTGAATAATTCATCTCTTCATCGTCTCTAACGAGGTCTTCTGAATAACTGTAAGAAAAAGAAGCGGCCTTAAGTAGAAAATGATTCCGGTCAACATCAGTGTGGGCACGACATTGGCAATGATCAGGTGGATCAGGTTGATGGCGAAAACACCTCCGAAAAAGCCCTCCGCGATGTACAGCGACAAACGGTAAGCGCGGGTCTTGGGGTGCGCGAGAGGCACCGCAATCACTGGAGCGACCGGGGCGATCACCGGAGCGGGAGCCATCATCATCGGGGCGGGAGCCATCACTGGCGCTGGGGCCATCATGGGGGCACCATATCCGTAAGACGGTTGCACAGCCAACATTTTTTTTGTTTCAACAGGTGTTTGCGAACGGAGGTGTGACAAACAGTAGTTTGGCTCTTTCGACGTGAGCGTGAGTCTACGACTTATTTATTTTATTCACTGCGATGTTTGCAAGAAAAACTAGATGAAAATGATTACCCGTGTTGGAAAGCAACTTCTACCTCTACTTCTATTGAAGTATTTATTATTATAAGCAATTACGCTCGTCGTGGTCTCTGTTTTTGTGTTAGTTCTTGATGTTGTCTCTCACTCGGATCTTCATTTTCTTTGGCTGTGTCGAAGTCCTCGATCTTCTGATCTAAAGGTAAGGGAGTTGATCTTTCCTTTGAACCTTGGATCTTCGACCCTTACTGCTCTATATTTGATACTAACTATGACCTTTTGATCTGTGCATCAACTGAAGTTCACTGTTAGGATCTACTGTGTTTGTTCCCTTCCTAAGAACCTGACTTTCTACAGCAGAAAGGTTGAGCAGATTCTTGAATCGAGATCCAAAACAAGATTCAGATTCTCACAGATAGTAGAAAGACAAAGTTGACTTCACAATGTATTAAACAGATTCTTGAATCGAGATCCAAAACAAGATTCAGATTCTCACAGATAGTAGAAAGACAAAGTTGACTTCACAATGTATTAAACAGATTCTTGAATCGAGATCCAAAACAAGATTCAGATTCTCACAGATAGTAGAAAGAATGAATGAATGAATGAATGTGCCTAGCAGGAGGTGTTTGCATTACCTTTTTGTAAAGGTCTTATATATTTTTGACTTCTTCTCTTTTTTGATTCTCTTTTATCCTCTTTTTCCTTCTATTTTCCTCTTTCCTTCTTTTTTCCACCTTTGCATTTTTCTTCGTGCTTCCTGAACAAGTCGACTCTCTTCGATAGCATGCGGAGCGTCATCTCCATCGGGTTGAAATCCACCTCCCATTTCTCACATTTTCTGCATCTGATCTCCTTCTTCGTCTCTTCGTTCTTCCAAGCACATCGTGGCACCAGTACTTTAGCTAATCTCGCATCCGGACCAAAAGACGCAGCCGTTGACGATTTGCATAGAAGATGCCCCTCTGGCCTCCAGGCGTTCCGAACCGCTCCGAGCTGCTTAGGACTGGAGAACTTGCCCCTTTTTCCGAGCATCAACTTGGCCACTTTGATGATGTCCTTGTTCTTGTGTGCCTTGGTATGTTTGCGCATTGCTCCTAGGTTCGTCTGGAAAGACAGCCCGCAGAACCTGCAGCCATAGCGTTCCGCGTGCTTCTTCCAGCCATATCTTCTTGGGCCCACTGAGGCTAAACGTCGGAAAAAGCCCAATCTTCCAGCTTTGGCCGCCGACTTCAAAGATACATATTTCTGCATTTGCTCCTCTCTTGCAATCTCCTCGAGCCTGTCGCCCAAGAGAGTGCTGGGTTGCTCTTCTATCCCATGATGCATCTTGATGTGGTCAGAGAGGATCTCCTTGCTCCGTTCGGCCGTATGTTGTTCCCACGGCTTAGTGGCGGGCACCTTCCATCCACAAGCGGCACATACTCCGCCAGCAAAATGTGACCTTTCTGCCTTAAGCTCTTCTATTGGCAGTTCATAGCATGGGGCTAATATGAGCAGCGCTTTGTTACCAGGCCACATAAGTTCACTCGTCTTGCCGCCTGGAAGTAACAGCTTCGTGAGGACTCTGCATCTGCTCTGGGTGGCTGCTTCGTGGGCTACTAACATTTCGTCCGCGAACCATCCTTTTAGTTCATCGGCTACCGCCTGTCCTTCATCATGTCCATTCGGGGCTTTTGTTAAGTAAGCCCTCACCGGTATCTCCACTTTGATTTTTAGCCTGTCGCTGAAAGGTCTGCTCGGGCCCTCGGCAGTAACTAAAGCAAAGCTACCGCTCGGCGTGGTTTGAGCATCGATGACTATACCATTCTCTTCCGGTATTAGTATCTCTCCACCACTAAATAAGTATAGATCAACGTCTAGACTTTCTTTGTGCCGGATTTCAATGTCCTTTGCAATGTTCGGGAGCGTGCAAGACTTACCGGAGGACTTAACGCTTTGATGAGTCCTTCTACATGTTCTTTGTGTCTCCAGCCCGTCGCCTGGCTGACTAACAAGGTCGGGCGTTTGCTCGAGTCGGCACGCAGTCCGCGTTGATGCTACTCTTCCTGCAACGAAAGTGCAGTAACAAGTGACTTCATCTTTCTCTTGCTCCTTCCTCTTCTTTTCTTCTAAGCGTGTCGCGGCGGCGTTCAGATGGAAGTGCTTGTATTCAAGGTGCCCATAGGCGGTCGCTGGGTCAACAGATGGGTCCGCGCTCCATTTTTCCACCGTTCTCATCATTAAGGATCTGCGGTTTATCTCATAGAAGGCCGCCTTTCGCTTGCAGTAGTCTTCTTCTTCTCCATTTACTAGGGGCTTCATTAGCTGCTGCGCATAGCCTAGCTGGCCCTCAAATGTCTGAGTCACTGCTAATTTTAAGTCTTCTGTCAGAGATCCAATTCTACGAAGATCCGTGTCCAGCGTGCGATCACTTGAGGCAGATTTTAAATAGGCCTGCCTGTCTTCTTCGTCAGGCTTCCTGTCTGGAAGAAAAACGCCGCTTATGGCTCTGCGATCTAGCGTGTTGGTCGCCTGCCTCATGAGATGGGCGAAGTGTTTGATCCTTAAATATTGCACGTGAGCTTCGAAGGGCGGAATTTTGGCCCAAGACAACAGTTCTGATCGCGTGACAGTTCTGCGCCATAGCTTCCACATGGGTATACCCAAGATAGTAGCCGCCATCTCCTCCTCTGCCGCTGCTAGCTGTGCAGTTTCTTTTTCTGGCACGTGCCTTGCCTGTAGTCCGTAGGACAAGATGCTCCTCACTACTGCTAAAATCAGCGTGCCTCGGCGAGCTGTGTCAACGCCTCCAAGCCCGGTCAGCTTCGTTCGCAGTCCGAAGAGTGCTTTCCATGCCTTCGCCACTTTGTGCTCTACATCGCTCGGCGAGGAAGTAAACATGCCAAGATTTTTTTCGTCAATCTTCAAGATTTCAGCCACTGCTCGTTTTGACTCGTTTTCTCTCATGCCAGAGCCTGCCAGTGCTACAGCTAAGACTTTCGTCATCGGTGTGTGGGGCGGTGGTCGCTTTGCTTTTCGTGCTGCCTCAATTCCAGCCTCAAGGAGGACTACCTGCTCGTCAGTCATCTGTTCGAAGAGCGTCGTGTCGTCCGCGAACAGTACCATGCTTACTTCGTCTTCCGTTTCTTCTTTCCTCACTATGGCACCAGGATCGTCTAACCTGTCGTCAGCAAAAACAGCCCGCTTTATCCTTGTGCTCCTTGTTGATGCCCATCCTCCACTCTCGGCCAGCAGCGTGATTCCGGTTTCGGTTCCTGCGCGCCCTAGTAAGAGCCTGAAATATCGCATCACCACCGAGTAGCAAAGGACAAAAAGCGTGGGGCTCGTAGGGCATCCCTCTTTGCACCCATGGGATAGGATGAAGGAGCCCTGGCCGAACGTGTGGCGCGCTCCTCTGTGTGTTGCGTGTAGCAGTCTCCACACCGGCGTCCTTTCCAATCCTAGCGCCTTGAAGATTCCCTTTACCAGGCGCCAGTCCAGTGAAGGGAATGCTTTGCGGAGATCGATCATCGACATCACCAGTCTTTTCATGCCTTGACCTCTCGCATGCTGCATGTCTTCCTTTAGCCTAGAGAACAAAGTTAGGGCCCCCAGTGTCCCTCTTTCCTGTCTAAAACCATACTGCTCGCCTGGTAGTAGGAAAGACATTTCCGCGAACCTCAGAAGCCTGGCGCCAAAAATTCTGGCAAGCAGCTTGACAAGTATGGGAGAGATGACCAGGAACCTGTAGTTGTCTGCGTCATCCTCTGCGCCGCGACCCTTGAATAGCGGGACGTCTCTGCACGTATTGAAGGGCTCCCCAAGAGATTCGATTACGCCATCCCGTGACACTGCATCGTTCAGCAGTCCCGCTAATACGCCTAGCCCTTCGTCATCCAGATAGCTGATCACTCGCATGCACATCCCGTCTGCATCCCTTGCTCCTGCTAGTTTCATGACCTTCAGACTGTCCCTTATCTCTTCTGGTGTTATCGGCGCGCCCAGCATCTTCTTCTCTTCTTCCTTTGCTTCCTGTACCAGGGAGGGCAGCTCGTCATGGATTGGAAGCCACTCCCCCTGGGTGACCGGAGAGTTTCCAACCTCGTCATACTTTCTTTTGGCCTGCTCCGGAGTGATTCCTATGCCCCTATGCCTGGCAGCTGTTGCCGCATCGCGGAGATAATCCCAGACTTGGCTCAAGGCCTTTCTTCCAGACTCAAAGTCAACATGGACGGCAGATGCTGGCGGGGCGGCTCTTGGAACAAGGAAACGAGGCGCATTGACTGCCAGGTACCGTCTGAACAGTTCAAGTGACATCTCACTGCCCGCTTCCTTAGTGAGTTGCTGCAGTCCATTATTAAAATCTTCCAACTCGCTTCCATGTGGAGACACATCAAAAACCATATTCGCGCTCTTCTTTGCGTTGCCATCGGCTTTAAGCTCTCGACGCGTCCTTATCGTCGTTCCCAGTACCAAGGCGACATGGTCGAAGGGGGTGTCAGATCTTCCCAAGGTTACTAGTTCATTCAATTCGACCCGCTCGAGATTCTGGATCCTGTGTCTGTCAGCTCCCGCTATCCATATGTGATCTACTTCAGACATCAGCTCACCTCTGCGGAATGTGTAGCGGCTGGTGATTGAGTTTGATCCTACCTCGTCCTTGGTTTCGAATTGTGAAGCGCAGTGTACTAGATTGAGGGACCTAAACAGAGTAACCAAATTTTCAGCTTCTTTGGTCTGTGCAGCTGTTGCTGGGGGTACATTCGGGCCGACATTTGTTGGCGCCTCGTTCGCGTGTTTTGCGGATACCTGGACATTTAAATCTCCTGCAACGAAGGCGGTTTTCCATCTATCACGGCGTCGTCTTTTGGATTCTCGGACCGCCTCCTCGATTGTGTGCAAGAACGATAACTTCTCGGCCTTAGAGGCTCCTGAAGTAGGGCCATACGCTGCGTGTAGGACCACTTCCTTAAGATATAACGACAAGACCCTTCTTCTTGCGACCACTACTTCGCTGTCCCCATTGCGCTCCTTTGCCGCTCGACAGGCATACTCGTACTGTTTCATTAGATGTCCTCCGACCAGTAAAATTGCTACCCCGCTGGTAACCAGTAGCAGGCCGTTATCCATCAGCACAGATGTGTACTTCGTTCTGGGGCCAAAAGATCTCTCGCCGAGCTCACGCGCCAGCTCTTCTCGTTCAAGTCCACCTAGAACATCATAAGGGTCAGATGATCTGCCAGATCTTATCGCCAGGTCAGACTCATACTCGAACTCTGTTAGGGCCACCATGTCCCATCCTTTGGCATGCGCTATTGCTAACACGGCTGCAATTTTTCCTGTTCCTAGAAAGGAAGAGCCCATATTTATCGTTGCTATCCGAATACCAGCGTAAGAGGAAACCGGCGTCGCATCTGAATCATTCCACAGCTGACAGTTGTTGCGTGCATATGCTGGAAGAGTGGGACGATTTGGCTCTTCTCCTCCACCTTGTGGCCGCCATGCCTCCGCTTCATGGGTTTGCCCTCCATCATCTTCGGGAATGATGTTGTGTTTTCTTCCTTCTGCTACTTCCGGGAAGCTTCGGAGCTTTCCACTTTGGTCTTGCGCTCGGTAAGCTTTCATATTCGTCACCTGACTCCTTGGCGAGTGTTGCTGATCTTCGTTGGCAAAAGACGCTAGCTGATTTTCATTTTGTCTCGGAATCGAAGAGGTTGTAAAGGATTCTTGCGCGCAGGGACCATCGGCGGGCTTGCTCAAGCAATACCTCCTTGCTGAGAGTGATCTTAACAGTTTTGATCTCTTGAAGTCGAAGCTGAATTTGTATTCCTTGGGGGTCGGCGTCTTCGAGCCACTGCTGTGCAATTTGTGATTCTTCATAAATGTTGACTCGCCTTTCACGGCTAACGAGCGATCACCGACTACAAAAACTGAATGCCTGCGCTCATGTTTATATTTGTGCTGCTCTTTGAATGGTTTTACCACAACAGCGCAGTCGATTCCTTGGACTCGCAACGAACATGCGGGCCGGAGCTTGCCTTTGTCAGTGGAGGCATAGCTGGCAACTTCAGCGACTTTCTCATCATTGTGGTGCATGATTGCACTGATATCGTTCTTTGTAGTCCCCTCATCTTCCAGTTGCAAAAGGTGCGTATAAGCGGGACACGATAGCGAGCTTTTCTTTCTGGATGTTGTTCTAATGATGTGACGCTTACAGCTACTTGCGACTTTGTCTTTATTCATTTCACTTTCTGCTATCGACAGCAGCGCCCCTTCTTCGCCTTTCTGCATTCTTCTGCTTTCTTCAGTTCCGGCAGTCTTCGCCGCATTCCGCTTGCTGCGTCCAGGCTTTTTATTAGAGTTTTGATCTTGATGAGTGAACACGAAGCTGATCTTTTCCGGGGCGTTGAGATGCTTTTTTGTTGTTGGTTCTTCTTTGATCTTTGGGACTGGACTTTGTCGATGTGGCTCGTTCCCCGGATCCTCGTATGCAGCTGAAGGAGATGAAACGGGCACGGTTTGCGATGGGTGAGTGGCGGATCTAGAAACAAGCTCATCCGCTACCTTGGTACTATTTGCATTCGATTCAACTCCTATCCGTTCCCAGAAACCGTGGGACGATCTACTTGAGCTGAGTATTCTGCGTCTTTTGGTGAAGCCTTCCTCGTCGTTCTTTGATTTAAATTCTTTGCTGCCGTGGAACGCGATTTTTTTACTATTTTCATTTTCAGGGATGTTGACGCATTTCGATGTTGGAACTTCATTTGCAGGAGAGTGCTTTCTTTGTTGTTGCAGGTATGACGCTACTCTTCGCTTTCTTATATTTTTGCTTCCTATTCGTTCGACCAGTTGTTTCTCTTGATTTGATTCTTCTCCCTTGATTTTATTTGACTTGTACTCTGCTCCCGACGTCGTTGTAGTATCTCCTTCACAGTTGTTGCTGCTTTCCACTTTGTGCTCTCCGATATCGTTGGCACTCTTGGCAAATTTCTCCAAATCTGCACCCACGCTTTCTCCTCCAGTTTGTTGTCGACGTGGTCTCTTCGCAGGAGTAGCTTTTGATGCTAGCGCTGACCTGTTGTGTTGTTGGTTGGAGAGAAATATAGAGCTGGTCGCTGAGATGCATGCTTGAGACTTCCAACTCGATGGAGCCTCCGCAGCGGCCACTTTTTGTTGATAAGTCGCGTTCGAGAAGGACAGACCCGATTCCGATGTGGCGCTTGGTTTCTGCTTCACTGTGCCTGCGTGATTCTGGTTCAAGCTAGTTTTTGCAGGAGTTGGGATTTCTTCGGTGAGAGCGCTGAATCGATTTCGTGTGCTGCCCTTTATGCTACCGTCTTCCCAAGGCTTCCACATATCGCTCTTTGGCTTTATCGTCCTCTGGCTCAGCGTTTTCCTCTTTTTTACTTGATTCCACGGCGACGCGAGGAAATTGCTATAGGATGAGCTGTCACTTCTGGCTAAGGTCAGCTCCTCATCATGATCTGCTACTGGCAACGCCCGTTCTAACCGGATTTCTCTATTCAGGACCACGCTGGACCCAACTCCTCTTTGCATTGGCAGCTTGATCAGATATCCCCGCGCATCAAGTTGATAAGTAGTTGTGATTTCAATTCCTAGCTCGCTGCTATGGGAACTTGTTCGCTCGATCTCGTGAGGAGTCGGAGCTTCTGTTTCATCGCCACTACTGTCATCTAAGATGTTAACGAAGGCTGATGTAAATGAAGACGAAGGTAAGAAAGAAGGTGTGCTGAATTCTCTGTCTAATTGCCGCGGCGTAAGGGCTGATATTCGCGCTGATGTTCTGAATTTGGACGTGCAAAGTGAAGACGAAACTAGTATACCGTTGCTCTTCGGTTTTTCCTCCTTGAGCTTGCTCATATGACCTAAGGATTGTGGAAGAACAGAGATGCTTCCGTTCTTCTGGGTTCCCAACGGTGGCGGAGGCAGAATTCCTCTTTCGGTTGCTGTTGCGACCGTCATGTTCGGCGTGATTCCTTCTGGATGGGAAGACAGGACCTGCGGGATTTTGTTGATTGACGTGTTGCTAGTGCCAAGCGGAAAAGGAGGTGGCGGCGGTGGCATATGTGATGGGGTAGCGACAGGCATGGCTGTGGAGACGTTGTTCGTCCACAAATCGATGTAATTACTTGTAGACGTTGCCCAGGTGGGTAAAGCTGCTGCTGTTGCCATTGTCGGATTTGGAAAGAATGGAGCTGCCTGTGCCGACATCTGCCTTGAGGCTGGTAGAGGCCCACTCCCACTTATTTCCGCCTTCTGCATAGTTGTTGGCAAGTGACTGGAAGGCTCATTCTCATACTCACCTGAACCTCCTAGATACCAATCGACAATGTCTTGCTTGGTCCAGGCCGGTTCGCTGTGCTCCGTGCTGTTGATGTTGAACTGCGAGTATGACATTGGACACACGGCATCACCTTGAACAACGCCTTTCGCCACATTGTTGAAAGCACTGGCTACTAGGTCTTCGATTGCCTTTTTTGCTTCGCTTTGCGTGGTAGATGCTTGAGCCCCTGATTGATTTTTGACATCTGGCGCGCTCCTTGCTCCTGGGTCATTGTGGCGGAGTTGATCTTCATGCGCAGCTTTGAAGCCCTTTGGCGTTCTGGATCTCAATGCACCTGCTGCTTCTCGTTCTGAGCGCTTAGCTCGAGGCGTCATCGTAGTGTTCTTGTACTGGATTGAATTTGTTCTCGTGGGATTTGCATGGAGATGTGGTACTGGAGCCTCTTTGCTATCCTCATTTTGCTTTGCTTCGCAAGACTGCAGTGCGGCCTTCTCTAATGAGGGGAAGCTGGCGCTTTCCTTTGTTCCCTTGTAGTTTGCGTCCAGGAATTGGCCACTCGCTGCCGCTGCCTGTCTTGGTCTGATCTGTGGAATTTCCTTTAGTTGGTCCACCGTCGTACTTTCCGCAATGATTTGCCGACTTTCCTCTATGCCTTCAACATAGCTCGCCCTTAGCTCATTCGCCGCTGAGATACTGCTTCTTACATTCGTGTTCTGCGTCCTCATGCGCAGTTGCTTCAGCGCCATATAATCGACCCCCGTGTGAGTGGGCGATACTGTTTCGCCCCTTTTAGCTTTAATACTGGCAAGGGTCGGCCAATCAATCGCCAGATCCGCTGCATGTAAAGCTTCAATCAAGTTGCAGACTCGAAAGTCGTTGTTGGCCCAATCCTCACTAAAGGCAACTCCGGCGCCATCACGTGGAAATTTGCATTTTTCGCCATCCTTGTGTAGCACAATACGACGAAGCATTTTCAGAATCGAGGTCATCTGAGCTTGGTTCAATTCTTTTCCACCTGTGTAATCACTTAAAATTGAAACTGCACTAGTCGTTACTTCTGCGATGAATTCGTAATCTTCATCCGGAGTGTCATTGGAGCAAGCTTTGATAATATTCCCCACTAAAAAGGCTTTGAGCGTCTCAGGGCCAGTGCGTGGGGGGAGCTGTTCTTGGTTATACGGAAGCGGCGGCATTCGGTATTCTTCAGAGGAGATGGACGCTAGATCTTCCTTCTTGTCTCCAACGCTCCTGATTTTATCGCCCACCGCCTCTTCAACTTGAGATGGTTCCGCTTTCATCTGCTGATCTCCTAGTGTTGCAGCATTATGGGAGGATGTCGGAGTAGCGACATCAGCGACTTTTTTTCCACTATTTTCATCGCCTTTTTCCATTTCCATTGCGTTTGCACTCGTGTCTTCTTGTCTTCCTTGTTCTCCTCTTGGCGCAGTCGATTTGTTTTCTTCATGCAGCATCGCTGCTTCCGCGTCATTTCCCGCATTCTGCTCATCTTCCTTCTCAATGATGGCGTCATCTCCATCCAGTCCACTTGCATTCGCCATTGGTGAGAAGATTTCCGCAATAGCACTTTTACTTGCTATCCGGGGAGGGTTAGAGAGGTTAGGTTGATCAAATTGCAGTCTAGCAGGAGCTGGTAGTGGTGGTAGTTGTTGCTCCTCCCTTGCTCTGCCGCTTCTATTATCTTCTTGCCCAGCATCTCCAACAGCCTGCATTTCTCCTGAAGTGAGAGGCGATATTTCTTGAGCGGAAGCGTCCTGCTGTGCCACTCCTTCAGCTAATATTCCCAGCTCAGAGCTTCTTGGCTTTGCGTGCTTCGTCCTTTTTGCGTCGGGTGTGATAATGTTGACCTCAGCCAGGTTTTGTTCTTTTGATAAGGGATGGGCGTTTCCAGTTGGCAAAACGTTCAATTTTGTTGCGCTTGCTTGCAGATCGTTCTTCATGAATGAATCGCGCTTTTCCTTTTCGTCATCCGCGTAGTAGAGTCCTGCAGAGCGTCCATCGACATTCCCGTATTTTTGCATGGAGTTCCCTTTTGAACTAAATCCACCTGCATCGGAGTATGAGCCTTTCATCAGTGAGGCGACAGCGTGCTTCCTTCCTTTCCCTTCGTGATCCGGCTCACTACTATTTGATAATTTTTGAATTCTTGAAGCACTGGTCTTTTTTTCTTCTCCATCTCCTTCTGATTCACTTGATGCCGACGCTGAAGAGGATGACGCATTCTCCATGTCCTTCTTGGTTGCTTCCATTAAATTATCCCGCATGAGGTACTGCTTCATCGCATGCGCCAGGAAGTTCAATTTCTTCAACTTCTTAAAGCCCTTGTCATGTTTCCTCTGCACCTTCTTGATTTCCACCAGCTCGCCCTGTATCGTTTCATGAATTTCGCGCTTTAGATTCGTGTTGTTGTCTTTTATCATTATCGCGACTTGAGCGAGGATGGCCTCTGCGTCGAGCTTGTGAGATTTTATCGATCTGCTTGCTTCGTGAACTTCTGTCGTGTCATGTGCGCTTTGCATTGCTTGCATACCGTAGTCCTGTCCATTGTCAGCATGTGGGGCTTCGGGCATCATCGTTTCCGCATTCATTATCCACCGGGAGGGATCAAGAAGAGGCTTTACCTTGTCCACTTTCAGACTATAGCGCCCCCAGGAACGCTTCCAAACCCAGACCACCGTCGCCACTATTGTTTCCGCTTTTTCTACGTCGTAACTCATTTCGTTTCGATACATCGGAAAGCAGGCTTGCTCGTATTGTTCCGATGTTAGGAAATCGAACCACTTCGAATTTGCCGTTTCGGTTAGCTGAAACATGGACTGCCCGCTCTCGCTGCTCCACTCACATACACATTTGAACCAACCCGGTGGCAGCTGCCATTTTCCTTCCACGCGCCCCCATATGGGTTCGTTGTCTGGCCCTAGAGCATCTGCGCGTCTTAGTGCGAACATCTCCTGCGCTATGTCTCGTCCGCTCTGGTCCCTCGGAAATTCTTCCCGGTCGGCTAAGTTGCTTGAAATGACGGGCTCTAGATCTATTTGGGGATTTCGCGGCTTTTCGTTGGATTTGCCTTTTCCTTTCTTCCCCTTGCCCTTTTTTCCCCTTCCAAGGGCTGCCCAGGCCGGTTCACGTGCATTGTCTTCATCCCATCTATTTTGCGCCATGCCCAAGCCAAACTTGAAAGTTTCCGAGCTTGATGTTGCTTGTTGTGCTGGGTGTTCATGTATGCTCGATGAAGAATAGGTGCTGAATTTCGATTGTTGCGCTTGAGCGGGAAGAGTCCCTGATGGAGATTGATGGCTATCGCGTGCTCTCTTTCCTGTGTTGCTAGATGTAGTGGCTCGATTCCTATAGTCTTCATCAGGATCCTCCGGAAGTAGTCTTTCTTTGGCACTACTCTCCTCGCCCCTGATCATCATCGTTTCCTCTTCCTCGGCCAGTAGTTCTCCACTTCGAATGCTGGGAGATCCTTCATCTGCCATCTCGATGTCTTTGTGATCTACCAGCTCCTCTTCTTCGGCAATGGCTGCTAATGTGCGATCTGTGTCGTAGGTGGATATACTGTCCTTTCCTGCAGGGATTTTAGGCTTCTGCGTCTTGGTGCTAGTTGTGGCCGACTTTTTTCCTGCATTTATTGATGTGGAAGCTGCGTGTGACGTTGTACTAGTTGCGGAGGAGGAGCTAGAGGATGGCGCGTTTTGCTGAATGTTGTGGATGCTCTTGTGCTTGTGCTTGTCCGCTCCTTTTGCCACGCTCGTTTTGGGAGCTTGCTTTTGCAGATTCTTGTCGACCATTTTTGATTAGTTTAACTTGCCGCGAGTAATTATTTATGAGAGGGTTATATATGCAGGGAAAAAACAAACAAAAATTCTGGAGATAGAACAAGTATTCAGGGTAAACTACAGGAAGTTGATAATCGGCGACTTATTCAATAAGAAAGTATATAGGAAGAATGATGATGGATCTTATATATTCGCGGCAAGCTTTCATTTGAATTGTCTATATGTTCTTTCGGATGTATTCATTGTTATTTCGATTTACAAGTGTGTTTCAACCGATGGGCAGGAAAAGGGTGACAGATCTTGGTGTTCACGTGAAATATTTCTTTTTCGTGACGATCTTATCAACTAGCCCCATTTTAGACCCAGCCGATTGGGGAAGATCACACTAGTTCTTTTTCTTTCTTTCTTTCTTCTTGTTCATTCTCAGCCATTTTTGATTCTTAAATGATTAACTTTTCGATTTTCATTTTTGGATCGACTGGGTCTCTCTGTTGGTGGTGGGATCGGGCCACAAGACAAAGATGACTTCACAATGTATTAAACAGATTCTTGAATCGAGATCCAAAACAAGATTCAGATTCTCACAGATAGTAGAAAGACAAAGATGACTTCACAATGTATTTTTGAAACCTTTTTCTTGAATCGGCGCAGCCTCTCTTTCTGTCTGACACGACTCTCACCTAGAAGATGAAGTATCCATCAGTTATTTTCGACTTCGAAGGTGGGGACAATTTGAAGATGTTCGTTCGTTCAATTTTATGCCATCGGACCTGGTTCTTCTTTCTTTTTTATCCACATGACTGAGCAGGATAAGATGGGATGCCTGCAGTTCACCGCCACACAAGGCGACTGCTCCGCTTTGGCGTATAGCCCCAAGGAGGACTTATGGTGTGCTTCGAAAGTTGCTTGATTGAATGATGTACCCACTCACGGGGTGTAGCTGCTTTTACTTTAATTACTAAAAGAAACAGCATATAATTTTCGGAGGGAGCAGTAGTCGTTTACACATCAAAGGCGCTTACTCTATATTTTAGATTGATTCGCTTTCGCTAGCTCCCCTATTGTTCAAAGAAATGCTTCCTCCAGTGCAACTCAATAGGTCGCTATTCAGAGGAGTCACGTGTTCTTTTTTACCACCAGTGCAACTGATGACGATGATGATATACCCAGTCTTGTTTACTGACGGGCGTGCATTTTTAATTATCTTTGTCCCCCTCGACATCTCTCCTCATGCTTTCTCCATAATATAAAAAGAAAAAACGAACAGCAAAAAAACCCACGCTCTTCGCTCTTGTCGAATATATAATTTGCGCCATGACCAGTAGAAAAAAACTCAGTTCATAGGTCAGCCCACCATATGTCGAAATGCTATACACACAGATGCACGAAGCATACAATTCTGCGCATTTTAATCAAATTTCGCACTCCCGAGAAAAAGCGCAGGTCCCCTGTGCACAACACTCCTCTAATCTCTAGGTCTAGTTTCCATACAAATTTGAGATATATGCTCCTTGACATCCTGATCTCTATTTTTTTAGCTGCATAAATAGTCTGACTCACCACGAAGAAGAAATACATCACACTTCGTTAGTGATATCACTTTTCTTACTCATTCTGAAGAGCAAGTAGTCCGGCTCCTATTTTGTATATCCCAAAGCAGCAAAGCAGCGAGAAAACCACGAGCACCTGCTACTGGGTCTTGAATATTCTCCAGACGGCTCCTCGACATGTCCGTCTTCGTGGCCAGCGTCAGCTCAACCCTCAGCTCTGGCGAGGACGCGGTGCGTAATTCCTCCAAGAAGGATTCTTGTTCTTCTCTCAGGTCTTGGACGCGATGACTCGAGTACTTTGAATGGCCAACTCGGAGCGATCTTTCCGCCCCTCTTAAAACCAGTGCTGTAATAATCTTTTCCACCACCTTCTTACCATGGTATAAATCATGTCGACAAGTCGCTCAATCATCGCTTCAACCGAAGTCCAATTCTTGGCACCTTGGATACTTTCCAGTCCCACGTCACGTTGTCCTTCGCTGATTGGGATCTCTTCACGAAGTACAAGGTATTGTTGGGTTCGAGTTGCGTCTGCTCCATGAGTTACTTTTGGTTCGAGAGGCAACACTCGCATGCAACGCTGTGAGAGTTTTGAGTAAACCCTTACTCATATCCTCCTTAGTCTTGATACGATCCTCCCGAAAATTCCGAAAACCGGCTTTCGCAAAACAGTTTCAGGCAGTTGCTGGAAATTAGCGGGGACGACAGCAGTGGGGCGTAATCTCTCGCGTGGTCGTAATAAGTGCCCTCTCCGGCAACTCCGGTCCGGCGTTGGGCCTCTCGGCAAGAAAACTCGAAAACATCCGTGGATGAGTGGCCTGCTCTCAGCCAGAACCACCAGCTTCAGACGCAGCTGCTAGAGCTACACTAGTTGTAGCAGCTGCGACCACGACAAGAGAAGCACGAGTAGAGAAGATCTTCACTTTTTCCTTCTTGTTTCTTAGCAGAGAGAGGTTAGGTTGGGTGTGGGCCCACCAGGAAAACTAGCGGACATAACTGGCTGCTGAAAAGCCAAAAACTATACTACGACCTAGAGCTGGTGGCACTACGCTGAATCCCAGTTCCTAAGCTATGCTAGACCGATCACTGCGGGTACTTCTTCTCTACTCAGTTTCTGCCTTATTCATTGCTTCATCCGAACTGATTTACTTGTTTAATCCAACTTCGTCAACGTACAAATTCCGTCATTCGAAGTGATCCTGTCTCTCTGCTCTTGTGATCTCTCAGCTACGGATCTCTCAGCTACAGATCTCTCAGCTACAGGCATTCCTCATTGTGCAATCTGCGCGAGCGGCTCCGGCAGATTTTTATTCACCATCATGCGAGTTTCCTCGTTTGAGTTCAATGATCTCGGCCCGCCCTCATCGAGTAATAGTACAATGTTTCTTCGCCTCGTTATCCACTTAGAACTACGCATCATTTCAGCTTCACGTTGAACAACATGAAGCTAGAACTACAACTAATTAATCTTATGCTTGATCACCGTCTTGTTGAGCTTCTTCTTCGGGGCTGCGATCGCGGCCAGACATAGTTCATACCCGACCAGACGCACCCAAGTATTTAACTTTCAATTTACTCCATCTACACACAGAAAGAGGACGGTGTTGTCACGCCTTCCGTTCACCTCGAGGACGTCCTCACCCCAAGGGTCTTCCTTCTAAATTCATCCAAAACGGCCGGGCCAAATCAAATACAAAGTCAATCATGATAAGAAAAGGCCTGCGACTCTTGTAGTCTTCGACTAAGTTTCCACCATTCCTCCAGTCGTCTCTTCTAGCCGCTATCATTCACCAAGGACCATAAGAGGTCCTGCCTCTTGTTCTCTAGTTGTGTTCTGCTTGCATTTGTATTTGCCCCTTCTCTACGGATGAAAAAGTGTTGCTCTACAGCCGAACCTCTTCACCAAGCGCTTCAGCAGGTGGGCGAAGAGAACCCGCCTCCGATTCTCGTTGAGCAGGAGAGACAGCGTCGTTATCTTTTCGAGAAGCAAGTAGTTTTCGGATGGCCTCTCGTTGATTTTCGATGGTCTCTCGTTGACTTTCGATGGCCTCTTCTTGACTTGCGATGGCCTCTTGTTGACTTTCGATGGCCTCTTCTTGACGCGCGATGGTCTCTCGTTGACTTGCGATGGCCTCTTCTTGTCGCGCGATGGTCTCTTCTTGACGCGCGATGGTCTCTCGTTGACTTGCGATGGCCTCTCCTTGACGCGCGATGGTCTCTTGTTGACTTGCGATGGCCTCTTCTTGACGCGCGATGGTCCCTTGTTGACTTGCGATGGCCTCTTCTTGACGCGCGATGGTCCCTTGTTGACTTGCGATGGCCTCTTCTTGACGCGCGATGGTCCCTTGTTGACCTGCGTCGATACCTGGCACGGGAGGCTGAAGATGATGAGCGAGAGACCTGCTCCTGGACGGAGACTTCGGCGCCGTCGAAAGGAGGTCCTGACGCGCAGGTGTCGCCGGCAAGGGCAGTGTAGCCGTCTGTGCAATCGCGTGCCCCGACGACCGTGCAGTCGTGTCTGAATTCCTACGCATCCCTTCTTGGTGGGGTGGAAGACCAGGACTGGCGCCATTTACAGGCTGTTGAGCTCTGAGCGAATCAGCCGAAGAGAGTCGAACGCTGCGTGCATCCTCTGCGTCGACCCCTCTGCGCCGGCAAAGCCATCTGCAAAAGCGAGCGGTGGCGCTGCAGCAGCCGTATGAGTTAGAGTTTATCTCTGAAGTGAATTCTCTAGTACTCTTCGCGAGGACATATTGGGAATGTCGCTACAGCGGGAATGCTTCCGTTCCTCTTGCTTTTCCTTCTTGATTATACGACCTAGAGAGCTGATCTTTGATGTTATCAATGAGTTACGTACTCGCCTAATTTTGTATATGTTCGAGTTACGATGTGTTGACTGTTTTCTGCTACATCAATACATCCTCCTGGGAGGCTCTTTATTCAGCAAGCCAGTGTTTCTACAACTATTGAGGAGTAACAAAAAGTGTGTCTTTCCATAACGACGGCGGATCCGACAACGTCTACTTCGATAGCTAAGCCGACAGCTCCTTGGATAGCTCCTTCGATGATCTCTGCCGCCAAAACGCCGTGCATCAAAGTGGGGCACCCCAGTAGCAGACTCAAAGGCCAAAGCAGACTCCAGCTCCTAGCACCTTTCTTAGACCTTTTTTGAAGCATTTGCCGCGCTGCAGCAGCGCCAGCAATAGGGGTGGCTTCGTTTCCCATTCTGAGGCGTGGAAGTGGATCACTCAAGTCTGGTGAAGTCTGGTGGAGTCTACTGGGCCCTACCTTGTCCTTTCCTAGCTTGAGCTAAAATGGCTACGGGTGGTAGATTCTTACCAGGAATATAATGTGACGAGCAATAAGAAGACCAAGACAAATGAGGGCAAAACAACAAATATTACTATTCCTCTGGACGGCAATACGAGGCCAAAACAAGCAGCACTCAAAACAAGTATAAGGCAGATAAGGTAGGAGGTCAAAACAATTATCTTCAGTAAGGCGGACAAGGTAGGAGGTTAAAACCGTTATCTTCACACAAAACAAGTGAGGTATCAAGTCAAAACAATGACTCAAAACAAATTCGATTGAAGCAGGGATGGAAATCAGGTCAGGGCTGAAGGTTAAGGATCGAGATCCAAACAATTATTTTTCAACAGAAAGGGGCACTTCGTTATAGTGGTAAGTCAACGCTCGGCGTGTGAGTGCTTCGTACGTAAATCTCAGTGCGTCGATTTGTGTTCTGTAAGAACTAGCTATTCGGGAAGATGATTCCAAGTTTTTTCGTTTCAAAGCCTGACGTTAAGATTTGTCATGTCAAGATGAGTGTGGTGGAGATGAATAAATACCTAAGTATATGAGTCAGTGTGGAGATGAGTGCGAAGATGAGATACAGAAAAAGCACAAGTGGAAGTACCACAAAGAGAGTCTGAGTTCTTAAGGTGAGGCTTTTTTAAGGCTGTCGCAACCTATGATCTTCAGTTTGCAGCTAGTTGTAGACCTCCTAGTAAGTATAGCTAGATCTTTACTCTTTACTTAGCTATTGGGACTTCTGGGATCTGACCTCTAGAGTGATCTGATCTTTAGGATCTTTTGCAGATCACATCTCTCGACAACTAGGATCATAGCAGTGCTGGATCTATGAAGATCAGATCCTTGGTTTTTTGTCAAGGATCCCTTTGCTTGGATCTATTGTCAAAGATCGCTACGCGTTGTGGGATCTTTTTGCACTTCTCGAAGCCATTGGTAAAAATTTTCTTTTGAAGTGCTTAGTACATGATTCGAACGACGTCGGACTACTTCTAGTAGTGATCACCCATCGTGGCCTCCCTTTCATCTTACGAACGGCGTAGTGACGAGCGGCCTCGCGCTTCCATTAGACGCTTTCATCACGACCACGGTACGAGGCCAGGCGGCCTAAGGAAAAGTATCAGTTTTTCAGAGAGTCGAATTTGGTTTTTGAAATCACATGCAACACACACGCTTCTTTGTTTTTGTTGACGCTCTTAGTAATACCTCCTCGGTTTTTTTCCTTCAATAAACGCGATGTGCGAAATAAGCATGGTGTTGATACCAATTTACATCATCCTTGTTCTCTCATAATTTTCCGTTTTTCATATCAACTATCTCCACCATGCAATCAGTCCACCAGGAGTTGACTTCATCCCATTACCTGATTGCTCAACATGGAGCCAAGTACTAGCACCATTCAGTACAACAGAGTGCGTGGCTGTCGACAGTCAATCAATGTGTCTCAAATGGCCGTGCTTGATCATCGGCAAGACGAAGCTTGATCATCGGTTGCCGGGTACTAGCTCCACTTATATATTCAATCATTTCATCTGGTGGCTCTTCTCTGCCACAGACGGGACGTGAAATAGTAGTTTTTTCAGAAACCTGCTACTCTCTTGAATTTCAATCATCTAGAGCATTAAAACCCCAAAGTAACTTCACTACCACCAGGTAATTGTGTTACTTAGTCTCTTCTTGCGCATTATCCTCATCTCCTCTTCTATATCTCATCCAGCCATGACAAGAGCATGTAGTTTTTATGCAACTTATAGGCTTCTTATACAAGAAGTTGTGAGTTGTATTTTATCCCAAAACGTCAAAAAAGAGCCTGCCTCCACTGGTTCTTCTATCATGAAATCGCCTCGCTCTTCTTCTCACCTCCTTCTTAGTCGTCCTCCCTATATTTTGTACCAGTAGTTTTCATTTTGTACCTCCGTGTCAATACTATGATATCTCAACTGTATTTCATCGTCTTATTAATATTATAACTACTTCTACAACCTTTCTTCAAGATCCTAGATCACCTTTTCACAGAACAACAGACGAACCACTTGGAAAAGACCTTGTTCTGCTCTAGTATTTTAGTACAACCGCTTTTTTCATTACAACAAGAATATTTTTCTAGAAGCGCCACATTGTGATTTTCTAGTCTAGACAAACCACTAACTTAAGTAGTAAGCGTCCAGATTCGAGTTCCGATAAAGTGCTCTAATAGTCACAGAAGTCAAAGATATTCTTGAAGATATCGTTGTACTGTACTATAACTTCTGTCAACATGGAGGAACTGCTATAAATTGTGATGTAGGCCTCGGCCCCGCCTATACTTCGTCGGTGTTCGTGTTCCCTTTCACAGTACCTCTTCCCCTGTGACACCTGATCACAGCAGCACCTTTTCTTCGTTGTTCCTGATTCTTCTTCCAGTACTAAATCCCTTTCATCGTACCTCTTCCCCTGTGACACCTGACCGAGTCTTAATACCTCTTCCCCTGTGACACCTGACCGAGTCTTAATTGTACAGTTTTAGATACCCGTGAATACACTCGAGGATTATCTTCAACTTCCTTAGCTCGATACCCGTGAATGCACTCGAGGGTTATGATCTTCAACTTTCTCCAACTTCCGAGTGTTTCTTCTCCTTAGCTCGAGCGATTAGACGGCCATGTAGACTTCCTCCTCGTCATCTGCGACCAGCGGAAGCGCGCAAAACGTGAAGAGGAGGTGAATCGGGCACCACACAGAAGCCAAAATGGTGATCAGTTCGATCAGAATCGCCGGTCCCATAGCAGCACTCCTCCACGGAGTAGCCTGAAGTCCTTGCGCCAAAGCGTTGCCGTTCATCATTCCTGGCGCGATTTGGGTCACCAAGCCGTTGAACCTTAGAGTAGTAGTAGTAGTGTACCCATTCGTGGGGTATTGCAGAAGATTTAATTAGTTGTGCATCTTCCAGTTCAAGCGCATTAAAACCTATTTCATTCATTCATTCATTCATTTACCTGTTCATCTGGAGGTATCTTTTGACGCCTTGGCGACTATGATTTTAATTGTTGGACTTCTTGCTCTATATTAAAGCTACTCTAAAGTTCTCTGATTCATGATGAAGATTTCTCGTCCAAGAATTCTTGTTCCTTCTGCGAGAAATTTCTCTTGCGAATGAAAAGATAGAATATTATTGCGCCTTAAGAAGAGGTTGACCCACTGCCCAGTGTACACCACGCGGACGAGACCGAGAACGCCAATCAGCAACGCCAAAAGAGACATCACAATAGCGACAGTCATGCTGCCGCATCCCTTCGTCAGCGAGCTCTGTGGTATATAATAGTTATTGATTGATATTCGTGTCGTGTAGCAATGTTGAGATTCATTAGGTGCTTTAATACAATGATGTAGCAATGTTGAGATTCATTAGGTGCTTTAATACAATGATACCTGGTAGTTGTTACGTAACATTAAGGATTGCTTCACTCATTCATGCACCGCCACCGCCTCAATTCCTCAAGGTCAGCGACCCATAGTCACGTTATTAAAGATTGGCACTTATGCTCCTCTACTCCTAGCGTGGGTGCTGTATTGTTCACTCGAATCTAGCATCTCTAATTAGTTGAGAAGAGTTTTTTATCGTTCAATGATAAATCTTAGAATATCGTCCTTATCGACAACACGTATCTATACTATTATCGTTCAATCTCAGAACATCAGTCTCAACAACAAGTTTTAGTGTTCATTCATTTACCTGGTCTTGAGGTATCTTTTGACCTAGATTCAGTAGTAGCAGTAGTAGTGTACCCATTTAATTAGGGTAGCAGAGACATTTAATTAGGGTACAAGAAAACGGTAAAAAGTACGTGTTTGGTGCTGCAGCGGAAGATACCAGCGGTGACGAAGAGTGCCAACAAAGCGATAACCTGAATTAGAGAGCCCGCGAAAAAAGCACCGGGAAGATTCCCGAAGTTGATACCACCGACGTTGGCACCTCGCGCGTTCTGCATAGCACCACGGAAAAAATCCTGAATGCCATCTGCTCCGGCGCTGGCCACGTAAGAGAACTGCAAAGCGTACAAGGCCCAGCCTTTGGCCCACGGTCCCCCCAAAATGGCTATCACGCCGATATGAACCGTGGCGGTGTTGGCCAAGACGAGGTGCGTGGTGACTAAGGTGGAACAGAAACCGAACCAGTAGTCGGCGACCGCCATCGCAGTGCGAAAGCGACGGTCCTTCTTGTCGTCGCCTTTCGAACCCTGAACGACGATCACCTTCTGGGGAGCGGCCTGATGAAGGACAGGAGCCGGCTGCACGCCGGGGGCGTAGTAGGCACCTCCTTGCTCTGCATACGCAGCTGGCTGGTAGCCAGTGTGGTCGACCGGTTGTCCCTGAACGTAGGCCATCTTGCAGATTTTTGATTTTTCTTGTGCTCACGACACCAGGAAGTGTGAGATAGAAGAAGCTATTGCTATTGTTCCTTTTACAAAACTTTTATAGAAGATGAAGCTGTTCTAGTTCTTGTTATTTTCAGGATCGAGTTCACTTCTATCTGGTTCAACGAGGATTGTTCTTTTTGAAATAACTGCCCTACAACTTAGTAGAAGCAGTTTCTAAATCCGAAAAAATGTTGTTTCAAAAGTAGCTAAAAGCACTCTCTCAAGCTACAGAAGTTGTCTCAATTGTATTGACTCTGGTGTCGCATTTCATTGGGATGAGTGAAGTGGGATGATGTTTAGAGGGAAATGGGATGATGTTTAGAGGATGATTCAAAATTTTGGGATTTTTGAAGAGACGGGAGATTTTTCTACTAGATGATTGAACTGCTCTATTGAACGGGCGATCTTTTATCGTCGAGAAGCAAGCTATATTTTGAACTGCTCTATTGAACGGGCGATCTTTTATCGTCGAGAAGCAAGCTATATTTTGATTGCTCTATTGAACGGGTGATCTTGTATCGTCGAGAAGCAAGCTATATTTTGATTGAGAACTACTGCGTCATAAAATCACGACTACTGCTTCATGTCGATCATGACCATTTAAGATCATGTTTTATTTTGCAATAGGCATCATTTCTTCTTACTTGGGATCTCATTTTCGTCACATCATTCCAACTTTTTTAGTGTGGCACTCCCCTAGACAGCTTCATCGTCTAGTACTGCTCCCTCTTTGCTTCTCACCTTTTGTCTTTGGGCTTCTCGCTCATCCCGTCACTCATCCAAGAATGATCGCTCTCTGTCAAGATGCTTATGCCAAATCAACGAATAGACCGACAGCGGTTCGTAACTTCACAAGAACCAGGTGGAGCAAAAGACGCGGAGGACATGCAGAATTTATAAGGTACTAGAGGGTACGAGTTCCTCCGCCTTCCACGGCTCCAACGGCAATCCAAATGATTTTGGATATTATCTTTTCCTATGTTGATGAAGTGTGTGATTCTCTCTCTACGCGCTAACTCTGGGATTCATTCTTCGGATTCTTTCTGGGACACCGCTCAAAGGAGTGTGTGGTCATTGTGATGTCGACAAAATAAGCTTCGAACTAGTACTGCGTTTCTACTCACCTGTAAATAAAGGATAGCTACTGCGTGTCTTCTAACTTGCGTAAACAACTAGATGAAGAAGTCCTCCTCAGCTACGTCTGTTCTCAGCTACGACTGTTCTCAGCTACAACGAAGACGAAATGATCTCAATCTTCTTCTCTCTACAAATTAAGCACGACAACTTGATTGATTGATTGATATGCCTGTGAAGAGGCAGCTTTTGGCGAGTTATTTCTCATTAGATATCGAGGGGTATGATCAAAAGACGAAGAGAGCTAAAAAGCCAAGACATCGCTCTAGTTGTTCGGTCCATCTTGATGCAGTTCTCGATCTTGATGCAGTTCTCGATCTTGATGCAGTTCCACTACCGCTTCAACTTCTTTGGAGTGGCTCGCCGTCTCCATCTTTGGTTCCAGAGACACAGGTCTTATACTCTGTCAGTCTCCCGAACAAGACGAAGCATTGGTGGGAACAAGCCAGGTACTATCTACGTCTCTACCCCTAGTCATAGAGTACTATCTACGTCATTGGTAGGCTTTCCCCAAATATACTATCTACGTCTACCAGGTACTTCTACTTGTGTAGTCGTCTCAGGCGTCTCAGGAAAAAGTCTCTTCAATTTCACCGGCGCCGAGGATCCAGAGTGCTATGCGACACAGTGCTGAAATTTCACCATAGAAGCAGCAGAGGATCCAGAGTGCTATGCGACGCTCTAGTACTGTTTTTGTCAACCCTTTTTGATCTCAACGTCGTTATCGGTAACCTAACCTCAAGTCGAGCATACTGCCTTGAATTGATGGGTGACTGATAGATTGGCTCTTCCTCTTTCCCTCTTCTTTTGAAGAGGAAAGCAAACCCCCGTCTAGTTCTTTCGCAAGTTCCGGTCAGCCCGTAGTGCACCAGTTGATTCGGTCTACTATGCGACAGCCTCAGCCATAATCTTCTGGTCGTTGAAATTGACATTGCGCCTCCAGAGAAAGCTGTCCTCGATGCAACTGCTCTCGGTGTTGAACCGAACCAACACCCACAGAGGAGTCGATCAATTTCCTGTTGCTGCTGATGCACTGTGACTTTGCACTGTGCAATCTCTTTTCGGGCTATGTTAGAGTCAGAGTGTGGGATCTCCATGTCCATGTCCTGGCTGCAACATAGTAGTAGTAGTAGTGTACCCATTCGTGGGGTATTACAGAAGATTTAATTAGTTGTGCATCTTCCAGTTCATCCCTCAGTAGTTGTAGGAAAAAGACAACAACGTAGTTGCTGCGGACAAGAGGCTTTGAAGCGGAGAGGGAGAGAACAGTCAGAGAAATTAATACTATATTATAAGAAGTTGTTCAGAGAAGTCAATACTTGGCTAGGTGGAGTAGCAAGAAACACAGTGTCGTTTCAATGTAGTAGTGGTAGAAGTAGTGTACCCATTCTTGGGGTAAAGAAGACAACTTTAATTTTTGTTCTGCAGTTCTCCTTTCACTACTCCTCCCTTCTTTTCCCTTTGCATTTTTGCAGATGCGATCTATAGAAGGAGTTCCAAGCAAGTTTTTGTTCTCGTTTGCTGGATCTCGTCGTGAACGGTTCTGGTTCTTTGAAGATGATTTTCAATCATTTAGGATGGATCACCTTTGATTATGAGTTAGCGACTGACGAACACTACAGTAAAAAAGAGTATTTGCATATCTGATGACCGTTTCTTTGGGCCTCCGGGTTCTTTATTTAAAATAGAAATTGATTTTGGTTCTCTTGGCTGCTTCATCTTTAGTTTACCTTGACAACATCTAACAATTGTTTTTTGATTGATAGCGTCACATTCGCTTTCGCACGTAACGAAGTTCGTAGAAGGTATGCTCAAGGCTTTAAAAATAAATGTTCGTGTCCTTGTTCGTGTAGTCATCATGAAGAGATGTTGTGAATGTAATCAACGCTTCTCCTAGTAAAAGGTAGTTCATTTTGTGTTTCTTCGGTAAAAAGACTTCCTCGACGGAAAATGATCCGCCAGGAAGTCGATTTGCATCATCCACATCACGAAACGCAAAAATTAGAATGGTGAGAGCTCATTCATTCATTCATTCATTCATTCATGTACCTGTTCTTGAGGTATTGTTTCGAGTCGGGGAACTCTTTGGGCGGAGTCCATTTCTTGAGAATGATCTTCCTAAGAGGCATGAAACAGTGAGAAGTCGTGTCTTGTAAAAATGAATAAATTGTGTGAGAAGCGTCTCTCTTGTAAAAATGAATTGTATTGAGCCTTAATATGGATGGCGGAATTCACCCACTTAGAAAGCCAGTGACCTCCGTAGTCAACTGAGAGACCCTTCACGGCCTTTGACAGGTCGTGGTCGTTGTAGTCTGCGGGTGCAGAAGTGGTGTCCCGAAACTACGGCCGATACAGAATACAATAGCGAAATACCCAGCTGTTGGAGTTTGGGGATTCCACTATTGCACTCTGTATCGTGGTGGCTAAAAATAACGCGCTCGTATCCGATTTTAGGATAATGTTCTTGTTCTTGTCGTTGCTCATCAAGGATCCCAGGTTTCTCTTTGCGACGCAGAAGGCGTCGAGGCCGAGCAAGTAAACTGCTGCAGCTCCAGTTGGAGACGACATAATGTATTCACGGCTCTACCAAGAAAGACTGATGAAGACGCCACGTTGTCCTTCGCTGATTGGGATCTCTTCATGAAGTACAAGGTATTGTTGGGCCCGAGTTGTACAACTCCCAATGTTTCCATGTTGTCGTCAGACATTAGCGTCAAGTTCGCCACTCGGATCTCGGGATACCCATCGATTGCCGGAAGGATCGGCGTAGCGAGGCGATCTATCTCAGGATCAGGATTCACAACCTTTGCTTGCATTTCGCTTGCGTCTGCTCCATGAGTTACTTTTCTTTGGTTCGAGAGGCAGCACTTGCAACGCTGTGAGACTTTTGAGTAAACCCTTACTCATATCCTTCTTAGTCTTGATACGATTGTCCCGGAAATTCCGAAAACCGGCTTTCGCAAAACTTTATCAGGCAGTTGCTGGAAATTAGCAGGGACGACAGCAGTGGGGCGTAATCTCTCGCGTGGCCGTAATGAGCGCCCTCTCCGGCAAGTCCGGTCCGGCGTTGGGCCTCTCGGCAAGAAAGCTAGAAAACATGAGTGGATGAGTGACCTGCTCTCAGCCAGAACCACCAGCTTCAGACGCAGCTGCTAGAGCTACACTAGTTGTAGCAGCTGCGACCACGACAAGAGAAGCACGAGTAGAGAAGATCTTCACTTTTTCCTTCTTGTTTCTTAGCAGAGAGAGGTTAGGTTGGGTGTGGGCCCACCAGGAAAACTAGCGGACATAACTGGCTGCTGAAAAGCCAAAAACTATACTACGACCTAGAGCTGGTGGCACTACGCTGAATCCCAGTTCCTAAGCTATGCTAGACCGATCACTGCGGGTACTTCTTCTCTACTCAGTTTCTGCCTTATTCATTGCTTCATCCGAACTGATTTACTTGTTTAATCCAACTTCGTCAACGTACAAATTCCGTCATTCGAAGTGATCCTGTCTCTCTGCTCTTGTGATCTCTCAGCTACGGATCTCTCAGCTACAGATCTCTCAGCTACAGGCATTCCTCATTGTGCAATCTGCGCGAGCGGCTCCCGCAGATTTTTATTCACCATCATGCGAGTTTACTCGTTTGAATTCAATGATCTCGGCCCGCCCTCATTGAGCAATAGTACAATATTTCTTCTCCTCCGTGGTCTTCTCGTTGAGCACTGAACAACAGATCTCAACTTATCTTCTCCTCAATATTTACTTATATAATTCATTCGCTTTCCTCGTTATCCACTTAGAACACATCATTTCAGCTTCACGTTGGAGGGGTCTGCTACAACTAATTAAGACCCTAGCTCGTGTCACTTTGTATATAGTCATATCTTCCAACTTCATTTTCGCAACAGCATCTTGAACAGTTTTGAAAGTTGCAGAGGTGGAGGTTCAGCCTTCATCTCATTTTCTTGTTGCTCTGTCTTGCGTTATGGGCGACCTTAATCTTATGCTTGATCATCGTCTTGTTGAGCTTCTTCTTCGGGGCTGCCATCGCGGAGACAATCTTCATCCCGACCAGACGCACCCAAGTATTGGACTCGTGCACCGACGTGTATTCTGCTAATTCATTAGCCGCCCTCCTCTTCTTCTCTTGCCTGATTGTGCATCAGTTTTCGACGTGTGAATAGCAGCCTTACGGAACTCGAGTTTCTTGCTGATGTACGGCGACGCATTTTCCTCGAAGAGTTCGCCCTTCTTCCCCAAGATGATTTTTAAGATACGCCTCCACCTTATTCATCAAGGAGCCCTTTTCAGCCTCCTCTTGTTTCTCCTCCACTTTTTCGGGTCGCGAGCTCCAAGAATATTAATAAGAAGCTGCTGCTCCTCCGCAACTTCTTGTTTAGCCTCATCCATTACCACTTTCGTGTCTTCTATGTGGCAGCACGACTTCCTTCTTATTTTAACTTGCGTGTCCCTTCTTATTTTAACTTCCGATATGTTTTACGGCACAATCACAAATCGATCCCCCAACGACTACTTGTCTTCGTTAGGGAAACGAAAGGCTACTGATCGATTGATTGATGTACCCACTCGCGGGGTATAGCATCTTTAATTATGGGTGCATGTTTAACTATTTCTTCCTTCCCTTGTTGCGTCTATTTTCGTGGCTCCTCTTTCTGTCTGCTTCTGCTCTTTTTGATCTCTCCATCAGCGTAGTTCTCTTCTCTTCAATTTTACGCACCAAATGCGCGTCCTTTTCCACCCCACTTCTTTTTGTTTTAGGCTAGCGTATGTGCTACTCAAGAACCAGCGTAGCGCCAGCGTTGTTAATGTGCTGCTTTTTCACTTTCCACCGTTAACCTTTCAATTTACTCCATCTACACACAGAAAGAGGACGGCGTCACGCCATCCGTTCACCTCGAGGACATCCTCACCCCAAGGGCCTTCTTACTTCTTTCTAAATTCAACATCTAAAACGGCCGGGCCAAATCAAATACAAAGTCAATCATGATAAGAAAAGGCCTGCGACTCTTGTGGCCTTCGACTAAGGTTCCACCATTCCTCCAGTCGTCTCTTCTTGCCGCTATCATTCACCAATGACCATCAGGGATCCTGCCTCTTGTTCTCTCGGCTTCTCTAGTTGTCTCCTGCTTGCATTCGTATTTGTCCCTTCTCTACGGAACAAAAAGGGTTGCTCTACAGTTGCGGAGCACCGTCCGCAGACACTTGTGCCGTAGGCTGTGCAAGAAGCGGGGTCGATCGTTGAGAACCCGGCGCCGCCTGAGGCTCAAGCTCCGCCCGGAGCTCCGCCAGGAGCTGCGCCCGGAGCTGTGCACACTTGCGCTCCGACTCTTCGAGCCTTTTCCGCAACTCTTCATTTTGGCGCCCCAAGAACGCTGCATTCGTGTCCCCCAACTGTTCAGTCGACTGTTCAGTCGTGCCCCCTCTCGCCTGCGCTCCTTCTCCTTGTGGAGGATGTGCGGCTAGTTGTCGATCTAGACATCGAACCCGTTCACGCAATTCCTCCATTTGATCCGCGAGCGGCTGGTCCGCATTCTGTGCAGGACGAAGCCTGGTTCGTCCTTGAGGAAGGCCCGCTTCCATCTCCGGGCGCTGCTCCGGGGCGGTGTGAGGTTCCTCAGGACCACCCATCCGCATCACTTCTTGCTCGGGTCGAAGAACAGTATTGGTGCGATTTTCAGGTTGTTCTCGTTGTTGACCTTCGGGCGCGACAGTAGGAGGGAGTCGAACTTCGCGTGCACCCGCTTGCTCACCTGCATGGCCTCCCCCGTTGAGCAACAAGTCGCAGCAGCAGGGCACGCAGAAATAAGAATTAGAGTTTATCTCTGAAGGGAGTTCTCTAGTACTCTTCGCGAGGACATATTGGGAATGTCGCTACAACAGGAATGCTTCCGTTCCCCTTGCTTTTCCATCTTGATTATACGACCTAGAGAGCTTCTCTAGGATGTTATCAATGAGTTACGTACTCGCTTAATTTTGTACTTATATCTTCGAACTACGATGTGTTGATTGTTTTCTGCTACAACCTGGGAGGTTCTTTATTCAGCAAACTAGTGTTTCCACAACTATTGATGAGTAACAAAAATTACGTCTTTCCATAATACAGATGCAATCCAAAACGCAACCACCAACGTCTCCTGCGCCTGCGGCCGAAACGCCCTGCATCAAAGTGGAGCACCCCAGTAGCAAGCTGAAAGGCCAAAGCAGGCTCCAGCTTCTAGCACCTTTCTTGGACCTTTTTTGAAGCATTTTTCGCGCTGCAGCAGCGCCAGCAATATGAGCGGCTTCGGTTCGCATTCTGAATCGTGGAAGTGGATCACTCAAGTCTGGTGAAGTCTACTGGGCTTTACCTTGTTGTACTTTGCTAGCTGTAGTGGTACTTCTTATATCTAGATAGATAGATAGATGTACCCACTCGCGGGGTGTAAGATATTTTAATGTTATCTCCCGTATATTATTTTGTGTTTTTTCCTAGTACGTTAGTTTCTAGGGCTCCGCCACAACTTAGTCGAAAATGCAATTTGGATACTTAAATAAGAGTGGAAAGAAGTCTTAGTTGTAGTAAGTGTTTAACGTGTTTTCTAGCAAAGAGCCTGTGAAGATTGGAGACGATCATTTTGATTGAGAAAGCGATGTTGGATATTTCAACCCTAGTAGAGGAACTCCAAGACTAACGAGGAACCTGCTTTACGTTCTTGTGTCTTGTGATCATCTTCTCTACTGGGTTACGCATCATACTAACCTTGGATGTTGTGGGTCTACTTGAAAAACTAGCAGACCTGGTTGGATCTTTTGTACGTTCTATTGCATGTTGCAAATGTTTCTCGGATCTTCTGATCTGAAGGAGCTGACCTGAAAGAACCACCAGTACCTTGCCGTAGTACGTGGTTTGGATACTTGATTTGATGATCGTGGTAACAGAGGGAATCTTTAGAACTTCTGAGTAAGTGTTCAACGTCATGGAAAGTAAAGCTCTTTTGTTCTTGTGCTGATCTTCAAAATGGAAATAGATCCTCCACAACTGTGATCTTCATTCATTCATATTTAGTATTATGAGTGTGGCCCAGAGTATGGGGAGGCAAGTGCAAGTGCTGCTAAATTGAACTCGTGCTGGAACTATACATTCTGGTGGGAGGTTCTTTACAACTCAGCAAACTAGAAGTGTTTCTATCCGCGAAGCCCTTTCTCATCTCTCGAGGACTCGCCGTAGTGCTGACTCGCAAGAATCGTTGAGCTCACAGCACTTCAGGAGCATTGCTCAGGCATCTTCCCGTCTGCCGCTCTCCACAAGGCCGCGTACAATACGATTGTGCGCGGCCTCGCGCTCCTGTAGTTCCGTTACCATTTTTAAAGCTCAGCATTCAATGGTCATCATGATGCTGAACGGAAGAGACTCCCTTCAAAGCTCTCCCCTTTCCCTTCCTTTTCCCCTGTTCTCTAAAAGGGTCTCAGTGACCAACCCCAATGACCATTGAAAGCTGAGCCTTACCATTTGGGTTAGGTGGCGCAGTTGACTGACGTAGGAGTCTTGTTCAGGTAATCCAAAGATGAACTCCACTGCGGCATCCGCCACCAAAGTTAGAGGAAATCAAAAAGCAGATGCCGCTTATAACTTCAGGATCATGTTGTCCACCTTGTCCGCTTAACTTCGTCAGTTGTCGTGGACAAGGTGGACGACATGATGCGACGATAATTCTCCAGCATCTCGCTCACCGTGCTTGCTAAAGTCTCACTCATTCATTCATTCATTCATGTACCTGTTCTTGGGGTATTGTTTCGAGTCGGGGAACTCTTTGTCTTGCAAGGGAGACAAAGACAACATCAGCAGAGTCCTCCTCATGAGGCCCTACCCCTAATTCTACTGCTGCTGCAGGTGGTAGCCCTTGCGCCACTTGTTCAGCTTCATCCTCAACGTCACTCCGACTCTCATCTTCTTCACAAGAACTTTCTCCCCTCCAGGTCGAAAAGTTGATAAGGCCCCTCAGCACTCGACTTGCGTCCTTAGCAGCCGGCCCAAGAAAGGTGCCGGCGACTTGTCTGATGATGGTGGAGGTGCTTCTTGCTCTTTTGGACCAGGAAAGCAAATGACAAAAATACGACCCGTCGGGATGCGGTCGCTCGTGTACACACGCCCAGAAGTTGGAAGCAATACGCCCACCAACGCTTGCCAGCGTCGCTTCCAAGACGCCCAGCTGGCCCACCTTGGCGCGATCGGAGGTGGCCCTAGCAGGGGGAGCTGACCAAATCGCTACCGGGTGCATGTGCTCTTGACCGCCAGGTGCATGCCCGTCAGGGGAGAAGATGTCACTTTGTAGCTTCGAAAGGAGGAGGGGAGACTGCCGGAAGAAAAGCTCACTCTCAATCCGGTCGTACGTCGCGCGCTCCACTTCCACTCGCTGCCGCTGCCACTACAAGATGATCCATCACCACCACACCAAAGAGTGTGAGAGCCGACACAGTAGAGTAGAGGACAAAACGACACTTAGAGCGTTCCATCTTGTTAAAGATAATCTGGATGATGGCTGGAGTTTTCGGAACTAGATCGAGTTCAACTAAACTCGCAGAATCAGAATATCAAAGTGTATCGGAACTAAACTCGCAGAATCAGAATATTAAAGTATATCGGAACGAAACTAACAGAATCAGAATATTAAAGTATAATCGTTATACTATGATGTTCCTTGCAATTCACTTCCAAATTCAGACCTTCGGATCTGTGGCTACATTCAATCGTCCTCCTCAAGGTTACTTAGCGCAACAGCGTTTTCCAGGGTATTTAGTTACAAAACCTTGATGTTGATCTCGATGTTGTAATAAACCTTTACCTTACTGCTCTACTCGAATAATATTGTGGGCCTTTTTGCGATAGATACGTGGACATTGCAATACGAAGATCTAAACGTGAATGATTGAAAAAGCGAACGGTTAAGATAAACGCGATGTGTTGTTCTGAGTGCAAAAGCGAACGGCTAAGACAAACGCAATGCGTTGTTCTGAGTGCAAAAGCGAACGGCTAAGATAAACGCGATGTGTTGTTCTGAGTGCAAAACGAACGGCTAAGACAAACGCAATGCGTTGTTCTGAGTGCAAAAGCGAACGGCTAAGACAAACGCAATGCGTTGTTCTGAGTGCAAAAGCGAACGGCTAAGATAAACGCGATGTGTTGTTCTGAGTGCAAAACGAACGGCTAAGACAAACGCAATGCGTTGTTCTGAGTGCAAAACGAACGGTTAAGATAAACGCGATGTGTTGTTCTGAGTGCAAAACGAACGGCTAAGACAAACGCAATGCGTTGTTCTGAGTGCAAAAGCGAACGGCTAAGACAAACGCAATGCGTTGTTCTGAGTGCAAAAGCGAACGGCTAAGACAAACGCAATGCGTTGTTCTGAGTGCAAAAGCGAACGGAACTGTTGTGAGAAAGTGACCTTTTTCTAAAAAAAGCGCGATGCTGTACAGTTCTGTTGTTCAGTACAAATCCTGTGTCAGTTCTCAGTACAGATGTAATTACTCAAAAAACTTTTCCACTTGGAGGTACAGCAACTGATACAAGAAGAAACTCCTACACTATAATACCAATATCCACGCACGACGTATAATGGATCTTGACCTTCCACTCCTATATAATGGATCTTGATCTACCACTCCTGTATAATGGATCTTGATCTTCCACTCCCGTATAATGGATCTTGACCTTCTTGTTTGTACTCCTATATAATGGATCTTGATCTTCCACTCCTGTATAATGGATCTTGACCTTCTTGTTTGCTTGTATCGAAGTTGCTTCTTGGATTATACGCACCCTAATGCTAATTTGAAACATTGGCGATACTGCCTACCTCATCTTAGGCTTCAGATTGGCGATACTGCCTACCTCATCTTAGGCTTCAGATTTTCTTATTCTACGCGCGCACACGGTTGAGGCCGGGCAGAGGCGCGCACCCTAATTTGAAAAATTGGCGATACTCTCCACCTTACATTGGGCTTCAGATTTTCTTATTCTACACGCGCACACGGTAGAGGCCGGGCAGAGGCGCGCACCCTAATTTGAAAAATTGGCGATACTCTCCACCTTACATTGGGCTTCAGATTTTCTTATTCTACACGCGCACACGGTAGAGGCCGGGCAGAGGCGCGCACCCTAATTTGAAAAATTGGCGATACTCTCCACCTTACATTGGGCTTCAGATTTTCTTATTCTACACGCGCACACGGTAGAGGCCGGGCAGAGGCGCGCACCCTAATTTGAAAAATTGGCGATACTCTCCACCTTACATTGGGCTTCAGATTTTCTTATTCTACACGCGCACACGGTAGAGGCCGGGCAGAGGCGCGCACCCTAATTTGAAAAATTGGCGATACTCTCCACCTTACATTGGGCTTCAGATTTTCTTATTCTACACGCGCACACGGTAGAGGCCGGGCAGAGGCGCGCACCCTAATTTGAAAAATTGGCGATACTCTCCACCTTACATTGGGCTTCAGATTTTCTTATTCTACACGCGCACACGGTAGAGGCCGGGCAGAGGCGCGCACCCTAATTTGAAAAATTGGCGATACTCTCCACCTTACATTGGGCTTCAGATTTTCTTATTCTACACGCGCACACGGTAGAGGCCGGGCAGAGGCGCGCACCCTAATTTGAAAAATTGGCGATACTCTCCACCTTACATTGGGCTTCAGATTTTCTTATTCTACACGCGCACACGGTAGAGGCCGGGCAGAGGCGCGCACCCTAATTTGAAAAATTGGCATCACTCCCTACCCCACATTGGGCTTCAGATTTTCTTATTCTACGCGCGCACACGGTAGAGGCCGGGCAGAGGCGCGCGTCCCAATTTGAAAAATTGGCGATACTCCCTACCCCACATTGGGCTTCAGATTTTCTTATTCTACGCGCGCACACGGTAGTGCCTCACATTGGGCTGCAGATTTTCTTCCCCTAAGAGCGCAGACGGTAGAGGCCGAGCAGAGGCGCGCACCCCAATTTGAATTTGAAAAATTGGCGATACTCCCTGCCTCACATTAACAATACCTTAATTTCGGCAATTCGATATTCCCTAATTTGAAAAATCTTAATCTGCGGTGAGGGGAATTTTGTAGGTCTTCCTAAAACGAGATTAGATGTTGGAGCTCCACAGAATAAGCTTCACAGGACCTCTGAACAACCATGCTTTTCCACGGAGCCACATGAACAACCTCCTGAGGGCCGTAGATAGTATACTTCTTCTTCTTCTTGTAAATGTAACATGATTATCACTACTAGTTCATCCACGGTAAAAAAATGATCTGAATTCTTCTACTTCAAACAACCGAATCAAACACCCGCTGTACCCCCCGTAACAATCGCAATACGAGAACGTTCATCATAGTACTCTACTTTAAATCGAACTCCATCACATCTTGCCCCAAAACGTCAAAACTACAGTACTAGGTACTAGAAGTAGGAACGTTACGACCTTTCTTGATACTTAAGCTGTGTGTTCTTCTCCAGTCCATCCTACTCAAGGGGAGCTCGCATCAAGAGCTTAGTCGTCCTCTCCAGGCTTTGATGGCGCTTGTTATAAGTGAAGGAATATACCCATTCCAGGGGTGTGAATATCGAAGACCACTACACTGCTGCTTCCGTCTCTTACGGGTAGCTCGCATCGACCAAATGCATAGTCTCTTTCTTCAGCGATGGCGCTCATAGAAGCTCGGTCTCTTATTATATTAAGGGTAGGACTAGGAGCCCTGGCTGCGGTCTCTTATTATATTAAGGGTAGCTCGCATCGACCAAGTAGTCGTGCTCGTGAGCTCCTGCGACTCTTGCTTTATTCGGAAGTTTGAAGTAGGTCCACAGGAGATAAGTCGGACAGAGAACGGCAGCGATCAGAGTGAAGGTTTCGCAGAGGACGACGGGCCCGACGGATGGGACCGGGTTTTTCCAATCGGGAAAGCGCTGCAAGAAGGCGTCGATGAAACGCTCTGGTGCTGCTTCTTGTTGTACTTGAACTTGTGCACCCCCGAAGAGTTGCATAATCACTTCTTGCTGTTTCAATTCTGCTGCTCTGCCAAACAGATCGATAACAGCTATAGTAGAAGTCCACCACGTGCGAACGGGGACTGCACCAGCTGCGGCCAGGGGGACTGCAGTATTTGCAGCCAATAAAGCGTTGATGAGACGAGTGGTGCTCAGAAGACGCATCAGTCCGATAATGCCGATGGTGATGCAGAAAACCGAAAGCACCACAGTCATGATAAGAGACGTCACACTCTTCGTCATGCGGTTCTGTATTATTTGAATGATTCATTCATTTCTTGAGTAAGTTGGATGCTGATGAATAGTTGAGTGAGTTGTTACAGTTCTTCACGAGATGGTTGGATGCTTCTTGGTAGAGGCTTGGCAGAGCCGTTGAGGATTCATTCGTTCATTCATATACCTGTTCACATGAAAGGACAAAAACCATGACCTATAATTCCCGTGGAGCCCTTAGTCAGAAGCTACTTCTACTTCTAGAAGGTGGATAGAAAAAATAATTTTCATTTTGATTTATAATACCGAAAAATCCCCTGTGCATCGGAAAATGGAGCTGAGGACACCTAATCCCAACAGCAAACACAGTTGTGTGATGGACAAGCCGAAAGGAACGGTGGAGACCTTCTGCGACAAAGGAACCCTGTCGACTTCCACTTGTCCGATTGCTCTCTGCACCGCATTAGAATAACTTCCGGCATACAAAGCCCAGCCGGCACCCCAATTTCCGCCCCACATGAAAGCCGAAAAAAGCCCTTGAAGCGACAGGTTCACCATCATCAGGTGAAAGGTGTTGATGCTCACAACGATGCCGAAGACGCCATCCATCACAGTGATGGCAGTCTTGAAGCGCTTGGTCTCGCGGGTTGGCTCCATCAGACCCTGATGTTGCTGGTGGACGATCTGCACGACAGGTTGAGCATGAGCAGCAGCCGCAACTTGACCCGGCATCAAACCCTGATGCTCGTCTTGGGGGCCAACCACAACATTGGGGTTGGCATAAGCGGAAGAGGAAGATGAATCCTGCATGATTTTTTCGATTTCGTAGGGTGACGAAATATTTTTAGAACTGGATCCAGTAGTAGTTGGTAGGAAAAGAACTTCTTGTGTTCGTTGTTGTTGATGTGGCTGTTACTTACCGTTGATTAGACTTGTGGTCTTTGAGTGATTGATTTGTTCCTCTTTGACGATTTAAGCGAGAAGAAAATTTAAGCTTTTGCGGTATCCTGGCTATCTGGATGAAAAAGAAGGTCAAGGTCCGATGAAAGGTTGTTGTATTTCAGGAACGGCGTCTTCCTCAATAAAGAAAGGTTGTGTTCTCATGAAAGAGCTTCCCACGATGATCTTTCAACGCGAGATCGAGTTCTAAGAACGTCATCTTCCTACGAGAATCTTGCTTGATATTGATCTTTTCCACGTGAATGATCTATTAGAGGTTGATCTTGTTCTTGCCCTCATCTTGTTAACGAATAACCCATGATCATACCAGCTAAAGATCTTGTTGATCTTGCCCTCATCTTGTTAACGAATAACCCATGATCATACCAGCTAAAGATCTTGTTGATCTTGCTCTCATCTTTTTAACGAATGACCCATGATCATACCAGCTAAAGATCTTGACCTGAATAGGATCCTTTTAACGACAACAAGCTGTTCGAATGATAAATGATCTTTCTTCATCTTGTTGCCAATTCCTCACTATAAACGTAGTGAAAAATTCGAACAGGGAGCATCCTCACTATAAACGTAGTGAAAAATTCGAACAGGGAGCATCCTCACTATAAACGTAGTGAAAAATTCGAACAGGGAGCAGGGCCCTGAACCTAGAGCAGCAGGAAGAACTGCAACTACAACATGCAGTAGGAGGGTTACCACCTCCACCAACCCACTTTGTCAAATGGGCGTCTATTTCGCTACCAGTCGAATTGAAAATAGAGGCAAAAATGGAGGAAGAAGATCGATGGCCAGCATTGAGGCACGAAGAAGGGAGATGACGATAGTGATTCCTGATAAGTGCAGTTGGCTTAGTGGTTTAGGCGTTGGCCTGTTCACTTATATCAATTCCGATTAACTTCACCATACTGCTGCGAATACGTGCCGCACTTGCGGCGCTTTTTTTTGGCTCCGCAGTGCGCGCGAGGAGAGGCTGTCCTTGTACCACTAACGCATTTGCCTTAGAGCAACAGCTACCGTGCATTGCAAGTAAAATAAAGTCAGAGTGTTGCTTCTAGTGTTCCAAGATACTCAAGTCAGAGGTCGTGGAGGATCCTTCTTCTGCGTTTCCTTCTTCTGCTTCTCCCTTTGGATCGCTGGAGAGACTGTCTTCCTCTAGGACAGCAGTTGCACTCTCCATCCTCTTCTCCATCCTCTTCGTGTGTAGAATGTGACGTTTCCGCCTCTTGCAACAGCACACGCATTAAAGTGATCCTCTCCGTCCTCGTGTCGAGAAGCATTCTGCTATCCGTTTCTGCTTGAAAAAGCTCTTCGAGAAGAAGATGGATTGACCGCCTGAGCGATCGAAGCGACAAGGAGCACCGGAAAGTGAGACAAGGAGCACACCAAAAAAAGCCACCCAGTGAGATTGAGAAGTGTGGAGGTAGCACCATGCCTGGGCTAGAGCTCACCTCACCCGAATGCATCTTGAGACCGTTCATCCTGAGACCGCACTGCTCACCATGATCCTGAGACCGCACAGAGTCTTTGTTCCTGAAACAAAATGCCTCTGCTGCTGAGATGCTAATTGGCCGTTGATGGATCTGGATTAGAGAACGCCTTAAATGAGTCCCTGATCCTGCATGATTCATATCGACCACGACTGTAGCAGCTGCCCATGGAGGTGCCAACTTCCAACTCCACCTTCTACTTGCTATAAGCTCAACACATCTACTTGCTATAACCTCAACACATCTACTTGCTATAAGCTCAACACATCTTGGGGAGCTCACTACATCTCGGGTTGCTAGCGCTAAAAACTACCATAACTAAATGTTGCATGTTGCTGAGCTTACATCTCGTGGTGCGCTCATGGGGTCAACCGCTGTCGACGTTTTTTCATCAAGCCTTGAAAATGAAGCATTATTAATAAACCAACACGTTCCCAACCACACCGACACCACGTGTTGCTGTAGCACAACACAAGAGGAGGAGGATGATGATGATGATATACCCAGCCAATTGTGTTGACGGGTGTGCACTGTACTGTTTTAATTATATGGGTCCTTGTTGACATCTTTCTTCATGTTTCCTCCATTTTCCTACTACTATCGCTTTTGCTTGTATTTTCTCCGTTTTGTAATTCCATTTTGCCTTTTCGCAATGCCTACATCTAATGCCTTTTTCGCCCGTTTGCTCTCCAGAACATCTTGCTGCTTTTGGGATCTCCACCTCATGCAATGCGGCATCGGCTCCTCCGTTGAATGCTCCTGTTGGCAGCGGTTGATGATGCTCAGGCCTCAACAGTCCCGACCTTCTTACTTTGTACGTCTTGATTGCATCTTGTTTGATGTGCTGCTCACAGTGCTTCCTCATTGCCTGTATGTGTGTGCTGAACACCTTCTTACATGTAAGGCACTTTAGCTTGAGAGGCGATCCCGCAGGTGCTTGAAGAACTAACTCTCGTCCTGTCCTGCCCGCTCTACCTTTCTCACCAACCGCTTCGAAAAAACGTCCGTTTTGGTCTAATGCCTCAATCCTCCTCCTTCTCTCAGATTCTCGATCCATCTCCTCTGCTACCTGCATGGCTACTACTCCCTGGTCCCCAGGGTTCGGCACTGCCCGACAAACCGCCTCGCGAAGGTGCGTCGGCATCCCCTCCCGGGACATGGGTTGGACCGGCCGGCACCTGCAGCACGACTCACAAAAATGACATGCATAGCTGTGTAGATGTAGATCAACTAGCCTCGGCACAACCTCCACTCCTACCTTGTCAGAGGATCGAGCATCACCCGATCCCGGCACTCCAGCCAGGCTGACCACTGCTGCCGGCGAATCCCAAGCGAGCTCCCGGCTCCATTCGAACCCCCTAGCGCTGCCCATCGCTGCCTCATGCTTGCCTCTCATTTTTTCTTCCAACAACTGTACCAGCATTGCTCCTTCCGTTACTTTTTCATCCTGTGCCCAGTCTGCTGCCGTTTCCCTTAGTGTCTGCTCTTGTATATATTCTGCATACATCCTCCTACTCCTCTGGTGCCGGGCTTGCTTGTCTACCTCTCGGTATTCACTGCATGGCCGTATTAGTGCCTCCAGGTACTCCTCTGGTATCTTACAAGAATTCACAAGCCAGGATCCAACTTGCTTTACGTAATCTGGAGGACTACCAACAGCCTTAGCGGACTGCGGAGAAGAGGAGACCGCTGTGGAGTCTCTCATGAGATAAGCCCTCCTGGAGACAGCATCTAGTTGCTCGTCCTGCAGCTCTACGGAAGTCACCACTCCACTCACCCTTCCCTCGGCTACCACTTCCTTCGCTTCTCGTACGAGCTCTGTATTTCCTGGCGGTAACACGTGTCCCATCAATAAAGCCTTTGGCAGGGGCATGCCTTCTCTTCGCATTTGGTGACCAAAGAATCTTGCTTGCAATGCCCTGATCTGTGTCCGAAGCGGTATCATCTTGGCTCTTCTCCTTAGTGTGCTGTATCTAATTCCGTACTTCCTCCTGGCCCACCATGGTACTCCTAGTATATCCGCCAGGTATCCTCCCTCAATCGATTCTAGTGCCAGCATCTCCTCCTCAGATACATGTCTCGCCTGGAGCCCGTAAGTAAGCACAGTCCTAATCATGACCGCAATCAACTCTCCCTTCCTCCTGGGTGTGAGTCCTGCCATTCCGGATATCTTGGATTTTAGGGAGAAATAGGCTCTGCGTGCCTTTACCCTTTTGGTTTCCATGTCCGCTTTGCTGGTGGTCATCATACCAAGGTTTCTTGTTGAGAGCTCGACTACATCGCCATACACTCTTTTGCTTGCATTTTCCACCGAAAGCGACTCAGCAAGCACCTGCTCGTATATCCTTGTTACCTCAGTGCCCTCGGGAAGTTGCTGATGTCTAATTAATTCGTCATCAAGTTCTTTCGTTTGCTTTATCTCCTCCTTCCCCAGCACCTCTACTATTGTTGTGTCGTCTGCAAATAGTAAATCTCCTATTTTCTGTTTAGTTACAGGAACTACACCCGGACCAGCATATTCTTCCTCGTCTGCAAAAAGCAAAGCTGCTAGCCTGGCCGTCCTTCCGATTAAGGGGGAGGAGCTGACTGAGCGCACCTGTAGGCTGGTTCCGGGCGCGATTTCCTCTCTTCTTTTCCTGAAGATCCTCATCGTTACCGTATAGGTCAACAGAAATACCAGTGGCGACGACACGCATCCCTCCTTGGCTCCATGCTCTAGCGTAAACTGCTGATTCCCAACTCTATGCTTGGCGGATCTGTGTGAGGCGGCTATTGCCTCCCACGCCGATCCTCCTGTCAGTCCCAGTTTCTCTGCTACAGCAGTGACTAGTCGCCAGTCAATCGAGGGAAAGGCCTTCTTTAGGTCCACTAGTGTAACAAATACCTTGGCGACCTCATCTTCTCCATATCTCAGCATGTCCTCCTTGATTCTGTTGTAGACCAGTAGGGATTCCAGTGTTCCCGACCCTTTTCTAAATCCAAACTGTGTTGAGCAGAAGTGCCCTGCTTCCTCAAGTGCTGCGTAAAGTCGAGTCGAGTAGATCCTTATGATTACCTTGAGTATCATCGGCGATACGACTATGTAACGGCAATTCCCTGGATCAGCTGGGTCGCCCTTGCCCTTGAAGAGCGGGGCGTTCTTGCAGTAGTGCATCTCCTCCTTTAGTCCTCCTAGGCCCTTACTTTGTATTTCTCTGTTTAAGGCCACTACTATCTGTTGTAATGCCTCATCGTCCATGAAGGTGAGTAGCCGGACTGTGAGACCATAGTAGTCTGGGGCTCCATCCTTGTTCATGGTCTTCAAGGTCTCTTTGATTTCCTTGACTGTTATGGGCGCATTGATGCTAGCTAGTACTTCCGTATCTAGGGAGCCAAGCTCGTCCCTTATCGCCTGCAGTAGTGGCAACTCCTGCTCACTGGGAAGTACCGGGCTGTTTCCTACCTTGGAGTACTGCTCAGCTGCTTGCTCGTCCGATATGTCTCTTATCCTTGCGCCTGCCTCTGCGTTTGCAACCTCCCTGAATGCCTTCCACATCTCAGATCTATGTCTTCCATCATTGGCCAGTAGTTCAGGATTGTCCGTTGGTAGTCCAACCTTGACCCTTTCCGTGAACCTCGGTAGCATTTCGCATCAGAAGTCGTGGAAGTCCTCTATGCCAAAGCCTGCCCCCTTTGTCTTCATCAGGACCTTCAATTCCTCGTTGTACAGCGCAGTCAAATATTCACTAGGGAACCTGGTTATTTGCATCCGAGTGCTTTGCTTTATTCGCCCTTCCCATCTTAGCCGAGTAATCGTTCGTGCATCAATGTGTAGGACCACGGCTCTATGATCTAGGGTATCAGATAGGTCCCATCTCCATGTTGACTTGGCGGAGTACAGCTGCTTCGCTGGCATGAGGTAAAAGTCAATTTCGCCACCATCTCTATGTGTTTGTCGTCCTTGTCCGGGGTGCGTGCTGAAATGCGAGGATACATGCGAAAAATTGGAGTCCTCTAGAAGCTGCAGTAGTGATCTGCCTCTTGTATTCGTCTCAGGAAGTCCATATTCCCCACAAGCATTGCTTTCTCCTCTTGTATTGGCGTCCCCTATCCTGGCATTGAAGTCACCTCCCATTACGAACGTTTTCCACTTGGAGGACTTGCACTTCCTCCATTCGGCCCAGGTCTCTCGTAGGGCTGTTTCGAATGTGAGTCCTTCTAGCTTTGCCGCAGGGCCGTTTGCTGGAGCATAAGCCGTTGCAAAGACTACATTGGCTAATTCTACCGACAGGACTCTTCTTCTTGATCTGACAGTGGTGATGCCCTTTGCCGCCGCTTGTTCAAATTGAAATCGCAAGTTGCTGTCCAGTAACACTATCCCTACTCCATCTCCTGCTATCAAGGTGTGGCCCGGACTTCGGAAGATGCTGAATTGACCTCTACCGACCCTTCCACACCCCTCAGGCAACTTGTTCGCTTTGCTTCTCATGGTTGTTGCACTGTTGACATTGTCGGCATCTGCTTGCTCTGCATCTCTGTCGTTGTCTGGTAATAGGAGGAAGTCACTTCCTATTTCTTGCTCTTCCTGGGCCTGCAGTAAAATGTCTTCCAGCTCTTGGCCAAGTGAGTTGTGGGTATCTATTTGTTCGACAGTGGTTTGTACTCGCTTGGGTCCGTGGTAGTCAAACTCGTTGAGTAGGATGACATCGGCTCCTATTTTCCGAGCCTTCTGCATGACTAGAAGAAACTTGTTATGATGCCTGCCTGCTGATCCCAGATTCTGCGAAATTGTGAGGTACCTGACATGTCCCGGTGCTGGCGGCTTGATCTTTTTGATTATTCCATCTAGTTGCTTGATTTCGTCGTCTCTGTTATCTTCTGGGTCATCTTGTCTGCCTCGTCTGCGTTTTTCAACCCATTCTCTGCCTTGAAATGGATCTTCAACCCGGGCTCTTTGATCTTCCTCATGCCTGGTTTTGCTTTCTTCTACTAGGATTTGTTTCGTGGATCTGCTTTGTCCAGCTCCCATCTGCTTAGCCTCTGGATGCCCTGCTTCCATCTTACTTTGCTTGAGGGTGTCTTGTACCCTTTCTGACAGCTTTTCTTCTTTGGCTTCTCCTTGTGGCTTGGGGTCAATTGTCGTGTGGTGATGCCCTTGATTGCTATTCTCGTCCGTTTGATGTGTTGGATTGAAGGACGATTTGCCAATTGTGATTCTTCGAATCCCGAGATCTCTTTGCATTTTCTTGTTGTTGTATTGGTACTTTAATGGATCTAGATGGAATGAGGATGTTGATTTGTATTCGTTGTCATTGCTTTTAGTATCGGAGGACGAAGACGAAAGGGAGCTATTGTCGTTGCTACTTGTTAGTAATTCACTAAGAATGCTAGTAGGATCCTCTTTGTATCTCGCATTTTGCCAGTAGTCCCATTGATTGTAATTCTCGAGGAGCTGCCGCATGTTGCTTGATTTTAGTTGTTCCGCTGCGACTCCTCTTCCTTGTTGTATATTTGTTGTTCTTGTGCTCCTTGAGGATTCTCTTGATCTTGCATCCCATTTTTCAACTGTCGCTTTTTTTAGTTGCTTGTAGTTCCACACGAAGCTGATTTCATTCTTATCTTGTTCTTGCAATTCTCGTTCCGATGGAACCTTGGATCTTGAAGGTTCCCTGATTACCGATGACATCTTGTTGTGGGGAGAAGACAGATTTTCTTCTTGTTGGATTGATTGCTCATGCACAGTGCTGCCGGATCCACTCAAGAGTGTAGAAGACGGTATTTGCGCTCTGGCTACCTTCTGTCTTTCAGGCTTTTGCTTCAGTTTGCTATCATGATGCATAGTGACATTTCTGGATTTTCTTCTTTTTAAGCATCCTTCTTCTTTTCGAATTTCATCACTAATGCATTTTTCTGATGTAGTGTTTCTTTGCTTGGTGCATGATGACAGGTTGGATAATTCGGATTTATTACATTCCTCTATTTTTAGTGCTGATTGACTAATTCCCTTTTTAGAGGTGTTGGCCCCTTTCTCCTTGATTTCCACTTCAGCTCCTGTTTGCTGTAGTTCGGTATCACTTTGTCGTGATTTTGTTGACAACTGGGAGCACGAGTCCGAGACTTCGTACTCATCTAACCGGGCAAGAAGAACGAATGCCGATGTTGAAGATGTGTTGTAACGAAGACTACTCGGAGTTGACCTATTGCTTGTACCTTTTTCGATTCTCCTTTTCTTCTCTGGAAGACTCCTCAGTCTGGCTGCTCTGCATGCCCATTTGCTGCTTTTACGTTCTTGTTGCATGTTCGTGGAGAATTGACCTCTTATTGATTTTTTGGATTTGACCGGAGTCCATATTGATTCCTCGGAGAAGCTCACCTGTTCGCTTTCGTCTTCAATCGTTCTAGTTCTAGTTGTTGTAGCTATTGACCACCTGTCGCTCGCTTTAGCTTCCTCCTCTGCTTCTATTATTTGGAGTTTCGCCTCCCCTGCATTGTAGATGTGTCTGGAGGTGGATGCTGCTGGTGCTTCCCTTGTTGATATTCTATTGCAGTCCGTAGCCAAAGTAACCTGATAGAGTGTTTTGGGATAGGATGTTTTTTCCACACTTCTTTCGGATAGCTTGATTTGTATTGGGGCAAATTCCTCTTGTTGTTCTTTGTGGTTAATGTGATGCACCACTATTGTGCTGTTGTTTGATTTGTATTCATTGGATCCACTTTGAGACAATTTGAATTCTGGGCTCCCTTCAGATGATTTTGATTCTGGGGTACTGTCGGTGATTCGTTGCTCCTGTTCATCTCCAAGAGGTCTTGTAGTGAGTGTTGATCCTTTTCTGCTCGATTGGCTTGGTAGCTCGGGCACTTCCTTCCGAAGGTTGCCTTCTTCCGTTTCATCGGAGCTACTGACGCTCCAACATGTTCTGTCATCTTCCTCAGTTGTTTTGATTGTTTTACAGTTGATCTCTAGCCCTGGCGGTGGACGAAACTTGAATGACGATAGTTGGGCTAGCATTTTTGCACTCGTGGAGGCAATTTCGGCAATTGATCTCTTAGTGTTCATGTTGATGTCTACCTGTTTGCATGTGTAAGCTGAGATACCTTTGCCGCTTTGACCAACACCTTGATGTTGTATTTGTTGCTGTTGTTGCATCTGAGATCCCTGGTAGTGATTCGTTGTTCCGTAGCCATACATGTTGTCGTGGTAATAGTAGTTGTCTTCGTTCCATTGCTGCATTCCGCTTTGGCCTGTGACTTTGTTATTGACAGCGCTTTTTTGATTGTTGTGCTGCACTTTGTGATTTTTCTTGTTCTTGATGATGGCACTACTGGATGCAATTTCTTGTCTTGCAGTTTTCTTGGTATTAGAGTGAGAAGAAGAGATTGCGACGTTGTAAACTCGATTGCTTCTTCCAGCCGCCGCCTTCTTGATGGTAGGATTGTTGTTTTGTTTGTTGCTGCTCACTTTGTCGAGGTGTCCAACTTTTGCTTGTTCTTGGCTTTCAGCATGAGCTTTCTTTGAATCTTCCTTATCTAGTTCTGAGTCCGAGTCGTCTGGTATTGCGGGTACACTGATACATGCATGTTGTTGTGATTGACTATTCTCCATAGGCGCATTGCTTCCTGTGCCTATTTGTTCCACATCCATGGCCACTACAGTGAGATTGTGTCCATCATCTTGTTGTTCTTTATCGCTGCATTTTTGAGCTAGTTGAGAAGCTGGCTGTGATTCCTCGGAGGTGGACAAGACAGAGATGGACATGGGGTCTTGTTCAGCAATTTTTTCAGTACATTGGTCACCACTGTTTCCTGGCTCATGTAGTTTTTCTTGTTGTTGCTGATCCTTTGATTTCGTGTCCGATTCCATAATCTTGGTGCTCGTTGTCGTCATGTTGGGAGGGTCACCGGTGGTTACACTCATCTTAGCCTTCTGCTCTTTATCTTGAGTCATAACGTCATCTATGGACCATCTCTCGAACATCTTTCGGAGCATTAAGGTATTCTCATCAGCTCGCGCACTGTTGGCTTTTGCTTCTTGAGTCATGATCTGGCTTTGCTCTTTCAGCTGCTGCATGCTCGTATTAGAGATTTCCGCGGATTGAAGATGTTCTTTGTGCATGGAGGCCATCGCCTTGCTTGTCTCTTCTCTGTTTGCGATTATCTCTAGTTGTAGATCATCTACCTGTTTGGTGATCTTCTCCGTCAACTCCATACTTTGTTTGGCTATCGCTTTAGTGAGATCTTCCATTTGTTCGTCTATGTCCTGCTTCAACACCGCAGTCTGTTTCTTCGCAGCCTCTTCTGCCAAGGTAGTCATCATTTGCTGCAACTCCTCGAACCCAACGGGCTTACCATCCTTGACTAAGGGCGTGATCTTGCTGGCGGCTTCCATCTTCTCGACTGGCTTATCTGGCGGGATCATGCTTGGCAATTGCCTAGCATCCGCCGCCCACTCAGAAGGATACGCCAACCGCCTAATCCGAGACGCCCTCCGGCTCCATCTCCCCTTCTTCCTATCCTCCGTATAGGAAATGCCACAGATAACGGTGTGCTTCTCATGCACCCCATTAGGAAAGGGTGGGAATGCTATCGCCGTGAGCTCGGAGTACTCCTCCGCAGTGGGGGCGACGTCAAACCCACTCGTCTCCCTGAGGTCCAAAATCATTATCTTTGCTGTGACGTCCCTCACAACCCCTGTGGCGAACCTGGGCGGCAGAAGTTTCCGCCCACACCCAGCCCTGCCATACTTGGCTTCCCAATCGGAAGAAAGAATAATAAAGTTGGTCCCAAACGAGAGTGCGGCTAGGGCCGCATGAGCATACTCTACCCGTGCCTGTTCCATTGTTATCGGAGATACAAGCTGACCCGGCCTAGTTGGATGTCTTCTACTCTTCTTCTTGATTACAAGTGCTTTGTGCACTTGTTCTTGTTCTTCTTCGTTGAGCTGTCCTTCTCCACAGCTTTCCTGCTCTTCATCCGTCCAACTTTCCGGATACACGAGACCCATTAATGGAATTTCTTCGAAGGGCTCACTCATGCAATTCTTGTCTTCTAGATCTGTGGCAGTGGCGGTAGGCTGACCTTGCTGTTCGGATGATTGCTCTATGATGTCCATGTTGCTATCTTCATTGTTCTCGGAGGTGGCCTTTTCTTCTGATCTGCTTGGTTTTTCCGCATCATGTTTTGAGTTGTCTTCGGTCATTTTGTCGACCGCGCTGGATGTGACTGAGTGACTTGTCGAGATGAAGTGTTGTTGTTTGTCGCCTACTATCCCTTCCGCTTGCTTTTGTACATGTTCTGTTTGACTTGAAGCTGATGTAGTGATAACATCTTCAAGTTCAGGGGGCCCTTGTAGCCGATATGTTGATCCTCCAGATCTTATGATTTGTTCTAGAACATCTACATCATCTTTTTGCCGACCCAGCTCTTGTTTTATAATCTCGATTTGATCTACTGAGACACCGCAATAGATGATGGATGTGCCTGTTTTCTTGGCTGCCTTAACCCTGGCTTTGTGCTCTACTTCGATTACTTCTTCTAGAGGCATGTCGTCCGATAACATGAGGAGAATAGGTTGCTCCTTCTGTCCAGGGGCTTTGTGATTGAAGGCGGCATATTGGGCTACAAGATCTTGTGACGCAAGTACATTTTGAGTGCTGCGTATTTCCCTTTTGTACGTGCTGCGATAGTTCTGTTTGTTCTCAACTTCTTGGGATGTTGTGATTGAAGAGTTGTTGCCGCTGTTGCTGTTCTGCTTGATGTTATGAGTCGGTCCTAGTAACCCTTCTACCCCACGAGCCGCAAACTGCTCCTCATCATCGTCCATTTTCCTCTTCTTGGTGCCTGCCAAAGATGGCTGTTTAGTGGAGACACTCCCCGCTTTGTTTGTTGCCTTGGCTGGGAAGGGCGCAGAATTTCTCGTTTGACTTAGGGATGTTGCTGACTTTGTTAACGTAGTCGCTTTGCCATCGTTCTTGCTGCAAGTCTTGACTCCCCTGCTTACTGGCGGGGCTGTGTGTGATCCTTCCATATTCATGAGTGGCTTAGCCATTCGTAGGGGATTCTGCACTTCCTCTTCTTCAATGTCCCTTGTTGCTGCTGTCTGCTTGAGATTGCCTGACAATGTGAAGTTGCCGAGTCGTCCTGTTCGCTTTTTCTTTCGCTCGCTGTTGTTTTCTGCTCCATTGCTACTCGGTTGGAATTGATGTGTTCCTTCTGCATGTCTCGGTCTTTTTGCAGCAGCTGCCTGCATACCTGGATCTTCTTCTTCTTTGTCAACATGATTTTGTTCCTCGAGGACTTCGTTGATCGGCTCTTTGTGAGAGTTGTAGTTGTTGCTGCTTGGACCAACATTCTCATCTTCATTATTCGTGTAGTCCCCCGTTGGTTGCTTCCGGTTCCATGTTGATGTTTCGACTCTATCACGTTTGTGAGGAGATGATCTTTTGAGATCTCTAAGAAGTTCCTGAGATTCTTTTATTCTCATGGATAAGGCACAGGGACCGGGATATTGATCTCGTTGCGCTCGACTATCATCTATTGATCCCGTCGGGGCGAATGTGTCGCATAATCCTTCTCTGCTTGAATTCTGGCCGCTGATTGATTCGAACGCACCGCTGAACTCGTGGCTTCCTCCTGGTCCACCGTCCATACACACAGGGACATGAGTCGGTTGATTTTGATGATTGTGTTCTTCTTCCTCTGCTGAGAACAACCCAGAAGACGGCAAATCTTCACTTCTCGTTGTTCGTGGCTGTGCTTTGATCATCGATTGCGCTACTGTTTTCCACTCCTCTGCCATATCAATGTCTCTTGGTTCCAGTGGTGAGGACGACAAGTGAGCATGCACGGCCATTCTGGGGAATTTGTTACTCGAGGTAGTGGATCTTTTAACCTTTTTATTAGCCCCTCTGCTGCTTTGCTCTTCCTCATTGTTTGATCTGCTTACCTTCAGTTGCTTGTCCTCTGGTGGATTATTCTTGGGTTCGGCTGCTATTCTACATATTTGCGACCACGTTATCGCTCCCCCTGCTGCTCCATTTGGCGTGTTGACTTCCTCATCTTCTGCTTCCTGCACCTGCGTCCCTGTTCGCATCTTGTTGATTAGGTTGTCGACTTCTGAATCACTGCTGTTTGCTGCAGGCAAGCTCTCAT